TCCCCTAGTATATATACAACTAGCTAGACGTCTATAGAAATCAGAGTTCACATCAATTTCAACCTGAGTCGAACTCGACAATGACCACCAGACGCGGCTGGGTCAGCTCACCGAATGAGCGAGGCACCATGGACATCATCTGGAGTTGCGTTTCCACGCTTTTCATCTGTCTATGGAGCATGCTTCATCTCAACGTACCGTCGAAGAAAGACTCATTCTGGACAATCGTCTGGCGCAAGGCCCGGTGGCTTCTGCTTGGCATTCTGGCTCCAGAAGTCCCGATGCTGTTCGCCTGCGGTCAGTGGGCATCCGCGAAGAGATCCGTGAACGACATGAGGAAGCTCGGCTTCAGCGACGCAGAATGGTCACTCGAGCATGCGTGGTACGCCGATAGTGGAGGATTTGAGCTTCAACCCCTGGAGGGTGAACCTCTTCCTATCACGGCAAGACAGGTCTGGTACCTCTTGGAAAACGGATTCATCAGCCTACCGAGCATTTCGAAAAAGGAGATCTGGGACAAAAGCAACGCAGACAAAGTTACCAAATTCCTCGCTTATTTTCAAACCGCATGGCTGGTAACGCAGACAGTGGGCCGCGCCATTCAGCACCTTGCAATTACTCCGCTTGAGCTGGCCAGTATTGCTCTGGCTCTCACTTCCCTCACTACCCTCGGCTTCTGGATGCACAAGCCCCTAGATGTTGGAACAGCTACAACACTCCACACCGACCGTAGTATTAGAGATATCCTTGAGCACGCTGGCGAAATCTTCCTAGCAGACTTCACAAATACTCCACTCGACTTCATCGAGCCACGCATCTACGTTTCGCGCAAGTGTGGCTCGGCGCTCTTAAACTGGATCCTTCACCGTGGCCTTCAAACCCGACCGATCGAGCGGATTCCTGACGACCGCGACCCTCAGCTCTACAATATCTATCAGCGCATCACACTAGGCATTGCCACTGCCTCCTTCGCCAGCATCCATCTCGCGGGGTGGAATTTTGGGTTCGACACTACGTGGGAGATGTGGCTATGGCGGAGCAATTGCCTTATTATGTGGGGTTTGCTGGCAACATTCGGAACCACAGAAGTGATCATATGCTGTCGAGACAATTTCCAAAGCATGGGTATGGACACACTAGGAGGATACAAGCTGCGATGGCCAGCGTGCTTGTGGTTCGTGATTCCGGGTGGTTTATACGTGATGGCGAGAGCGTGTTTGATCTTTGAAGTTCTATTCAGTATGCGGAGTCTTCCACAAGAAGCGTTTGTAGAGGTGCAATGGTCAGCAATGCTGCCCCATATATAACTAATGTATGTGACGGAGTACGTGTTTGTATCCTATATTTAGCCCTCTTAGTAATACGGTATGCTTGGTAAGAAGCTGTACCAGAACCAGCTGGAACCAGCTAGAACCAGCGATACGGCTTACAAAGCCTACCCATACGCAGTATATATACTGCGCATGTAAGATAGATAGTTCCTCACTCAATACATTACCTAACCCGTTCAACGTATTGTTTCACAACCATCCTCAGTATGCCTAGAACGAGATCTCAAGAAATACATTAGCCTTGTGACTACGCTCTCTTAAACTCTTTAAACTGAGAGTTTTCCTTTCCCTCGAAATATGTTATCTTAACAGTAGCTTTAGATGAATAGAGTTTGGACGACACTCGTGTTTAAGAGTCTTTGACATTACCGGGATATAATTGAAGGCTCCCTTATCGTCAATGATTTGATGGCTTTGCCCCGGCCCATTCGGACAATCATTCTCTCAACATCCGAGGCTTCAGAGCGCGAATACTGCGGAACTCAACAATAGTGAGAGATCTCTCTCGCGGGGTGGCTCAGCACATTATCAGAAATCTGGAAGAACTTTAAACGCAATAGCAAGGAAAAGTGCGCCAGACTAGGTTCTACTTTGTATTCTAAACGATGCGAGTATTTAACGCACTCTACGAACCTTAAAACTTACGCCTGCGAGGCCGCTATTCGTATCTTTCCCGGCCAGAGCGACGATGGCGGCGAAAGTGCCGCATCTAAGTTGCAGTTATACCGCGGCCGTCACGCAAAGACCAAGGCATGCCTGATGCCATGAAGAAAGCCAACCTCGATCAATCGAGCGCGAATCCATTCCCACTGGGCTTTGGGGACCGGGACCTCACGTATCGACAAAGCGGCTGCCAGCACCCAGATAATGTAGTGGCAGGCAATCCCTCGGCCGCGTCCCGCCGTGTTCAAGAATCGCGCGTCGTCGGACCAGCCGAGGAGGAAGGGTACGCTCGCGCAGACGTCGTCTATCGCTTGCTGCAGGCGGAGATGCAGGCACATATCCGGGAGTACCGTTGTGGTGAACGTCAACGATGCCTCTTGGACTTGCTGCTGTGCATCATGGTGGCAGTCGTTGAGAGGGAACGTGTGCTGGATAAGGCTCTGAAGTAGATATATCTGGCAGTAGGTGTATATGTGCCAGATGCTAGCGTGGTGGAGGTTATGGAACAGGTTTAGGTGCACGGGGAAATACTCTGCCGCTTCGCGGACCCGACCTGCCTCATGTATGACCTCGCAACTAGAAATAGACCAGTGATGTAGTTCGAGTGGAAGGGATTGCCTGAAGCTGAGCATGTCCTCATTGATCGAATGGACCTCGTGCGACCACTGAAGCTGCTCCATTGTCTTTTCTTCTGCCACGGCCGCATAGCCATCTGCAAATAACTCGCGGGCTTGGGAGCGGCCCAGCACGAGACGCGAGACCAGCAGCATCAAGTGCTTGAGGTGTGGTGATGGGAAGGCTGCGTCCCAGTTGAATGTAGGCCGTTCGGGCGGCGCCGCGGACTGTGCAATGCAGTTCAGTTGTTGACGAATCCAAACCAGGCGGAACAGGCCCAGGCCAGCCTCTGTCTGCAGCTGCGCCTTGCCGCGGTGGTTAATCAGGGCTGCCTGACCCCTCTCATGTGATCTCCAGAGGCCGGTTTCGTCGCCGCTGATGATCTATAAGTATCATCGTTAGAGGAGTCCTGCTAGAGCGACGGACGAGAAAGAGGCAAATGTGCATTGGTATGAACAGCATACCTCGTACTTAGCCAGCAGGCACAGGGTCGCCAGGACCTCATCGCTCCCCTTCTCCACTGGGTTGGCCAGCGACCGATTTACGAGGTTCAACGAGCGGGCATATTTTCGCCGCGCGCGCAGATTGAGACCATCGACTCTCCTTTGATTCGCAAAATGGACCAACGCTACGGCGAGTACGGCGTCAGTAAGATGCGACTGTCTGGCGTCGCGTTTGTAGATGCTGGGGAGGAAGTCGAGGTATCGAAAGGCGTTGCCACTAGCGTTCTCCTTTGGGAAGACAAAGTCATCGAAGAATTTGCAGAGGGCAAAATCCTCCCAATCGGTCGCGAGAGGTGCTGCGAGCTTCGGGGGTCGCACGGGTTTCCGCGGCGAAGCGCGTCGCTGGCGGTGGACTGCTCGCATTGCATGCTGTTGGCCATCCCGTGCCGTTAGTGGGGAGACTTTAGACAATGATAGTAAATGTGCTTAACGCAAAGAAACTTGACAAGGAGAGGCGACCTTGGACAGAACGAGATGGGGCGAGAGATGAAATTGCCAGATTACGGGAGTGACTCACGCTCTTGATTATGGCAAGATCTTCTTCGTCTGGCTTAGCCACCACAGAAGAAGCTGTTTGGTTCACGAAAGTGAAGCTAACAGGCACTGATTGCAGTGCCATTGCACTCATGGCTGCGGTTCAATAACGAATGGACTAATGTGAACTTGAAAAGATCAAGTGAGTAGCTTCTTAAAAGGCGCTCGAGGGGCTATAGTAGCATGACAGCACTGCACGTACGTCTTAGAGTCCTAGTTCTTGACAGACTTCAATGTGCCTGCACACGTAAGAGGTTCTCCGGTGGCCCTGGTGCCTCTTCCTTCTGTGCCTGCTGGAGCCGTTTTCAGGACATGGTGATGGATGATGAACGGAACCGCCGTCGGGCTTAGGCGGCACCCTCGAGGGTGTGTAATCAGTAGTCTTGCTGCTAAAATGGCGCTGGAGCCGATGGTGGTGGAGGGTTCGTGAGTGGTGGGAGTGGCGCGGTTTTCCAAATCAACTCGCATAGAATGACCCTTTTCGGATTGTGCACACTAACACACTTTGGGGAGCTGCACACTAGCACTCTTTTAGCCGGGATGTCAAGAAATTCAACATCATGTAGGCGTGTAGGCTTTGCTGATTATTCAACACAGCTCATCCACCACCAAGTCGCGCTCTGCGTCAGCCAGAGTCTTCGATCGGCTCTGGGGAATACAAGTGTTGAACTTCCAGATCCGGAATGTGCACACTACGCAGCGCTCTAGCTCGACAAGACCACGGCCTCGATGGCAGTTTTGATATGTTAGGTATAAATAAGAAGCCCTCGAGACCAGTTCAAACATCGCATTCCACTCACGAAGAACTATCGCATCAAAGCCAATACCTCCGTCGAGAATCAGCTCCTTTTGCTACCAATCTTTGCACACCAAACTCAGACAATCCGCTTCCACTACCATGGCCGCTTCATTGACTGTGCAAACCCTGCTGGAACGACATGCGAATGGCATCCACCAGCACCAACCGATTCCAACCTTCGCCGAAATAGGGGCAGCGGGAAAGCTCCCTCACATCGCCATCGTCACCTGCGCCGACACGCGATGCAACCCCGAGGACTTCCTGCACCTAAACACTGGCGAGGTCATCATCTTCCGCAATCCAGGCGGAAGTACCATGTCCGCGCTTCCAGGCCTCCTTGCCATCGACAGCTTGGTGACGCTAGAAGACATCATCGTCGTCAAGCACACGGATTGCGGCGCAACCATCTTCCGAGACGACGCAATCCGCGACACTATCAAGCAGAGGGTGCCGAACCGTGCAGTGGAGGTGGATGCAATGACTTTTGGCAACATCACCACGTCTCTCGAGGACAGTGTGAGGGAGAACCTCCGCTTTCTGAAGGGCTCTGACCTTGTCCGGAAGGAGCTGGCGGATAGATGTGTGGGATTTGTGTTTGATATAAAGAACGGGGCGCTGACTCCGGTGGAGTGAGAGAGGAAAGTCATCGAGTCTACATCAGCAATACTCTCCTATCGTCTTCGTCAGCTGGCCAGGAGCTAAAAGATCAGAGGTTCGAAGACACATGGGACAGAATTAAAAAGCTGATTATAGAGGCGACAGCACCACCAGTCCCAAAGTCTCGGAGATTTCATAAATGTAATAATTCAAAATTGGAGTATTCGGTCTGAACACGAGCCAAACTTACTTCTCACATGATGACGTTGTCTGTCCAAACCAGAAGGTCTTGTATTGCGGGCTAGCCTGCGCCCAGAAAACTCCAAGACTCCCCAGACCTATTCCCAGGCTTACGGTACCATCTCTAATCGCCACCTCCTTTTCCCAGTGAACCAAAATCATTTGAAGGTGTAGCTCTTGGCCTAAAGGTCCAGCCCCATCCCCCTGAAGTGTGCCAGTTTCCGATCTGTCAACGAGATGAGCAGAAACGACGAGGAAATCGCGAGTAGTTGACTCATTCACTCTGAGGGTTTCATGCACCTCCACGTCAATCCTCCAATCTTCGACCAGATCATTCCCTTGGCCAGAAGCGTCGCACGCAAGGCAAAGATGAAATCGCGGAACCAGTCTCGTGGTTTCTTATTCTCCCTGAATGCTGAGCTCTTTATGAATCGTGCATGGTAAAGAGAGTATCATTCCCCTAGCGTACAGACTACAAGGGGTAGGACCGAGAGTCGAGTTTGCTGTGAATGATTCGAGATGTTTGTCACAAATGCCGCCCCATAGCTGGTCCGAAACCTTCCCGCACAGTCTCACAGTATCAGGTGGACTATGGGGAGATGATGTGAGATTTTTATAGATTGCGTTATGGCGAGTGCGGGCGCAGAGGTCGAACGAATTGCCAGACATTGCGTCTACTAGCAGCAGATCCCCATGCAATGCCAACTTCAAAGGAGGCCACAGATACTGCCAGGGCTCACCCCGGCAAGGGACTTTTATTTCTCTTTTAATGCTCCAACCTACCCAGCTCCAGCTCGACACGACTGTAAGGAATACCCAACTAGCACGTTTTAAGCAGTCAAACGGTAGCTCTATCTTACGCACGCTGTGCGCAACTTACATCTTTATTTTTCTGCTAATCCACTGACCTCCCACTTAAGAACACCACGATCCACTCCCTCTCCTACTCGCTGAACACCACCGTTAGGAGTAGCCCACTGAGAGGCCACTGGCTCTTTAAAGGTAGCCTGACTTCGGCCATGTGGACCTTTACATTGTCTATAGAGTTTCCAAAGCACATCGAGCTACCACAAGCAGTGGCAGGGAGTGCTCAGTCGTACGATCAAGAGGGAAGATGGACCAAGACGCATTCGTCTCCGCTCGCATCGGGGCGCTTGTGGGTGCTGGATACGGGCTTACCACGAATATCTGTGACGGAATTATCCAGTTACAAATGACTGCTAGTAATTCCTGCGCGGGTTTGCAAAGATGGGGGACGGAGAGGAGGTGGCTGGGAGGCAGAAGATTGAGCTGAAGCACGGGTGAAGAATCGGCCCGGTCTCCAGCCTCGCCATCATCGTCCCAACTCAACACCACCACTTCCCTACCTTATCACTATAGTTCCATCTCGACTCATGAGGATCATGAGTCTTCATGCGTGTGCGTCTGCGCGCCTTCTAGCTTAGATATTCTATTCGTAACCGCTTGCCATTAACTTGAGACTTATCTTCGATTGATACCTGCAATCAGTCCATTGGTCATTTCTATTCTCGTCCTTAATTTCTCGTAAACATACAAAGGTATGCAGCTTGAGACTTTCTAGGCTCCGTGCTATCCAAATAGTGGCGCCGTGTCTCTATCGGGCATACTCATCAATCATCCATGACCGAAGGCAGGACACCTTTTTTACATTCCCGGTCCCGATAGTTCAAGGCTGATCCTAGGCCCATTCGTACTTTCTGTCCGTAGACTTGAAATGCTTGTGATCACTTTCTCTACTTCACGACTTGTTTCGTCCACGTTTTCGAGTTGTTTCTGTTGTATGTCGTCAGAGTACGAGACATCGTGGAACCATCACCGAAACAAATCACACGATTTCCGAGATCGATGGCGTCCGGCTAGATATGCACTACCTTTTCCAAACGGACTCCGTTCCGAGCAGAAAGAGGGGTGCAGATGCAAGACGTACCCCGCTGTGTCTAGACCCACGATCAAAACGCCCACGTACAACAGATCTTCGAGCAACGTGCGCAATATCAAAGTTCAATCAGCACCCGCGTGGGCCAATGCACATATCATATGCACGACAAATTATCGGAGAAGAAACTTCATCTTGCACAGTGACATCACCCAGCGCGGGAGCAACCGCCAACACAATGCTTGCGGCTCCACCTGTCGAAGTGCCCACCAATCAGGCGATATATCCCGCAGAGGCTACATACCAATCCCGCCGTGCCAGCTGTCAACCACCTCATGCGGCATCCCGGCAGTCTTAAAAAGGATTTCAACACCCCGAAGCAGCATGGCCGGCGTGGGGAAGCGTGGTGGTGTGCTTACGGGTGCCTTACCTGGGCCCTGGGGAAGCCCTGGGTGGAATATCATATCACTCAGGGTCCTTCTAACTCGGTCTTCCCAAATATCCGAATGACTGCAACTTTAGTTGCCACTATGGGTACTACAGTTGGTGTTCTCCACAAACACCCTGCTGAATTTGGACTGATGATTGCCAGAAAACATTGCCGGCGGAGCCTGATAACGTGATCGAGTCCTTACTGCACACATTGCTGGAGACTTTCACGGCGACACGGGACCTCCACAAGACGCTCCGAATAAAGGAAAAGAGGGACCATGAGGCAATCAAAACGTTGAAGGGCTATCCAGAGTCCCGCCGCAATTACTACGTGGATAGTGACGGAATGGATGAAGCGGGAGAGAATGCGATTAGTTTGGACAAGTCTGCCGTGAAACGAGAATTCCAACGAGGATATAGCGACTTGGGGCATCGATATGCAATGGGAGACGGTACTTCCGCAACTTTCCACTTTTTGGTCTCCCGGTACTGATTCCTGCCATCAGTCATCACCCAAACCGAACTCCAAGCTCAGATAATTGCCCTCCAAGGAACCCTCGTCACAGTCTTCCTCTACGGCCCGACCTCCCCCCATCCGATATCGCACCATCTCACGACGATCCTCTCAGCCTCGAAAACGGCCTCCATCAACGCGGTCCACAGCCTTGCAGCGCAATACCAACGAATGATCACCGCATTCCCTCAAATTCCTCGCAGCCCTCCATCACCACCACCCTACCCAGCAACCGTCCCGCCAGCCCGCCCACGCTCCGCCTCGCTCTCCCGCTCTCGGCCATCCACCGCGCTCGTCCCATCCCGCCACGCCTCCACCCACACCAAGTCCGCCCGCCCCCTCAGCTATCCAGCCTCGTCCCGCGACTCTCTCCCCGCGGCCCTCCCAATGCCCTACCCTAGCACGCGCTCCTCCACGCCCACCACCTCCCTAACCAACCCCTCGCCCACCTCCAACCACGCCCTCTTCTGCCCCTACGCCCTGCACCTGCAAACGCACCCCCACCAACCCCTCTCCCCGGCCCTTACTTCCTCAACCCCCTCCTGCCCCTCCTGCGCTCGCACGCTCAACCTCACGCCCGGCCGAACCTGGGAAGTGCGCAAGACGGACATCGTGCTCGAGCACGACGCGCGCGGCCGCCGCGACAGCGTGCGCGAGCGCGAGATCAAGCGCGTGTTTCAGGTGAACAACCGCTTTGTTGTGAAGTGCCACCGCGCGGGGCCCGAGGGGGGGTATTCTTGTGTGATTTGCGCGAGAGATGACGGGTGTGAGGCGGACACGGTGTGTGGGGACGTGAAGGCGCTGGTGCGGCATGTGTGGATGGAGCATGAGGCGCGGGAGTTGGAGGGGGAGGTGGATGTGGTGGAGGTGCGGGAGGAGGGAGACTGGTGGGGGAGGGGGAGTCGGCGACGGAGTTGGGATGGGGGGGAGAGGTGAAGGGTGTTGCGTGGTTTGCTGTATTTGTATGATTGTTGGTGAGTGTGTTGAGGAGGATGGATGGGTTTGAGTTTCTTGAGATGTTTCGGATTCTTTTCTTGCATTTTTGTATGATGGTCGACGAATCTTCCGGTTAACGATAAAAGGCTGGTAGCCGAAAAGTACGATGCGGCATTGTCATTGAATCTCAGGAGTTCTAGAGTCTTTTAAGTTTCGGTGTATTGTAGCAGAGTTTCGGAAAATAGCAGGAGGTACATCGTGTTCACTATTCGTACACTCAATCTCCCTCCTTGTACTACTCATCCAACCTTCTTCAAACTTGGACAAATAGCCACTTAAAATCAGATGCAAATAAATCTCCATCTTCCTCTTGGTCTATATTGAAAAAACCTGCCTCAATTCGCCATCCGCCACGCCCTCAACGGCAGCGCCTGTAACCTCATGGCCGCTGGCCGTATGAAACCCACAAACGTCACCACCCCAATGACCACACAGATCACGTTCATGACGTAGTAGCCATCAGTAGTGATATTACACGTTCCACCCCCGTCCTTGCAGCGGTGCTTATCCGCTTCTAGCGCGCAAGAGAAGGGAGAGGTGACGAGCGGTGACTTCAGGCCGTCCGGATTGGGTGGATTGGTGGGAGGGATACAGGTTGCAGCGGTGAACAAGTCAACGAATTTAAGGATGAAAAAGCGGGGAAATGTGCCACCGAGGTTGGAGACGCTGATGGGACGTTAGTAACCTGGTTTAGGGATGGAGGAGAAAGAGGGGAGCTTACGTAGCTAAGAGCGTCATGTAGGTACCCCCGATGACTGGATCCGCGATTCGAGCGTGGAAAGCGCTGATAGCTACGAACATGACCGTGTTCATGAAGGTGCTGTATACGTGCTCCACGATTACGGTGAGAAGGTACCATGTTGGCACGCCCGTGGCCGGTGTCACGCCTGAGGGGAAGATCATGACAACGAATTGAGCAAAAACAGCAGCTCCTAAACGTCCTATAAAGGCCCAAGACCATAGCTTCATGGGTGGGTAGGTTTGGCACCATTTTCCGGCATAGTAACCTAGGGAGATCTCGAAAGGAAAGTCGATGAGGACGGTAAGAGCAAGGTCTTGCTGGCTGAAACCCTTGTCCAGCAGTTTGAGGTTCGTGACGCCATCGTTGGCTTGGAATCCAATCTTCGCGATCAAATGAATGATGATGAAGGTTTGAATGTTCTTGAGCTTCAAGATGCCGCCCATGACTTTGTACACGTCCCAGATGCCATCCGTGTTCCTTGTGCGCTCCTCCGTCTTCATGATGGCGAGACCGGCTGTTACGATGAGATACGCCCAGCCCCAGAACTTAAGATATCCGTCCAGAGTCATGAGACCGACTTCTAGGGGGGCATCGGCAGGTCGGAACCAGCGATTCGCAAAGTCTTTCGAATTGAAGGCAAGAAAAACGGTGTATGAGAGGAACTGTCCGGCTGTGAGACCGACAGTCTGTGCGGTCGAGGCATAAGAGAGATTTTCGTGCGAAAGGAGGGTCAACGCCCAACCTGCATTCCAAAATTAGCAACATATCCCAGAAACACCTCCATCTCCAAGTTTTGAGGCCTTTTGTGTCTCTTGTGTCTCAAGGGAATGAAAGACTCACCATCAACAGCAATATCCTGCGTCGCGCATAGAAACACTAATGCAAACCACCACCATGTAAAATTCCATACTCCACCGCCATCCTTCGCCTCAGCACTAATCATCATCTCCTGCACACGCCCGCCCAGCCAAAGCATTGCAAAACCACTGATGGTCTGGATCGGCAAGATCCAGCTCTTCCTCCGCCCCAGCTTCGGACTCCACACGGCATCCACGATGGGACTCCACAACAGCTTCAAGCTGTACGGGTAGCTGGCGAGCGAGAACACGCCAATCTCAGTATACGAAACGTGGCTCTTCAGCAAAAACGGAACAGACCCCGTCGCCAACCCCATCGGGATACCCTGGAGAAAGTACAGCAGCACGAGCAGCAGGAAATTCGACTGATCCTGCTTCGGCAGCTCGAAGAAGCCTTTCGACGACGCCTCAGAGTCGTGCGTCATAGTCGGCACGGGGTCATCGAGCGAGAACGAGTGCCGTCCCACCAGACTCGCGGCTTGGGATGTTGGACTGTCTAGAGGCGCATGTTTCCGGCGGTGCTCGACCCCGTTCATGGCGTCGGCGCCGCGCGCTCTGCCGTTGGCGCTCGAGGGCGTCTCGGGGCGGGCGGAGGAGGAGGCGGACGGGGGAGGTTGTGGGGAGCGGGATTGGCGTCCTTTCTTGCCCATCTGATGTTTTTGAGGGTTATTGGGGTCTTCGTCGGTGGCTTCTTCGTCGTCTGAAAATTCGGAGGGGTCGAGGAGGTGGGCGTGCTCAGGGGAGCTTCGAGAAGACGAGGACGCGGGGACGTGGAGGGGTGGCAGATGCGTTGTGTCCTTTTTCTTGGGATCAGAAGAGGTATTGTGTGTTCCTAGAACATTCGGAGAGGGTTCTATCGTCTGCAACTCGACGTCTGGCTGGCTTCTTGCCCGGCGATGCTGGGCGTATAAGTTCTGCTCGTACTGGGCACGGTGGGTGGGCAGTATATGGGTCTCAGCGGCCGAAGGAAAGGAGGGCGGTATATGGGATGGTTCGAAAGCGTCACTTGTAGTGGGAGGCATCCATGAAGACCCCTCGCGGCAGGAGATGTGTGCTAGTGTCGAAGACGGCCCTATGCAGGAACGGAACGTGTCCTGAACCAAGCAAGTGGAGCAGAGGGCCAGCGAGTGGGGGCGATGGGAATTCGAGGGATATGTCAAAGAGTGAATGAGAGCGTGAGTAGAGAGCGTAGTATAAAGCGGGAGCGAGAGAGCTATTGACAGCTCCTCCCGTTGTTCCTGTCGAGATAACGGAACTGAGTCTTGTTTCACCACTGCAGGCGTCACGTGATTGCGGTTCTACAGCGCGTTCACCACCACACCACCCCATTCCTGTCCCCTCGCCCTTATCCTCCACCACAACTTAGCCCACCGCCGTCATGGCCACCTCCGCGCCCCAAACCCTCGACGCTGAGCTCGCCAATCTCCACGCCCAGATTGCGCACCTCCGCCACCGCCGCGCCAACCTCTCCACCACCCTCCTCGCGCACCCAAACACCTCCACGTTGCTGAACACCAACCGCCCCCGCGGCATCCAAAAGCCCGCCCATCGCAGCGCCGCCTCTGTCCTCTCCAAACAACAAAACCACACAACCCACTCCCTCCACCGCGCGCTGGCGGGGTGCACCGCCTACAAAGTGCAAGACCCGGACCCATACGCCGTCGACTCCGGACGCGTCCTAGGCGTCCAAATTGAAGTCTTCACAAACGGTAAACCTCATCCTCCCCTCCAACTGCGCCTTAAACACACACTAGCTAACAACCCCCCAGGCGCCTTCCTCCCACCCTACCACATCCTCCTGCACCGGCCCTACGCAACCCACCCCCACACGCTAAAGATCCACAAACACACGCTCCCGCCCTGCATCCCGTTATCGCAGCTCGCGCGGAAGCACCTGCCCCAGCCGGCGAAGAACGAGGCGGGCGAGCCGGTGCAGGATCTGCAGAAGCTGGTCCGCGCGGTGCGGTGGGAGACGCAGAGCTGGCATCTGCGCGTGGCGGCGGTCGAGAGGTTGCGTGAGGAGGCGGGCTTGGGCCCTACGCACCCCCGGGCTCCTGAGGATGAGGAGGTCGGGGTGATGCAAGGGCTCGACGTCGACGCTAACCCCGGGGATGTGCTGAATGGTTACGTCGCGCCTGCGAGACAAGGCCCGCGTCGCAAGGGCCAGATCGTGGCGGTAGAGGCGGATAGGGCGGTGAGCGCTGTTTCGATCGAGTGGGCGGGGGGCTTGGGGGTGCGGATGCGGGTGACGAAGGATGGGGAGGTTGAGAAGGGTGTTGCGCGGTGGCGGAGTGGAGAGCGGGATGAGAGGACGGAGAGGGCAGTGCTGGGGAGGATTGAGGGGGTGGTGGAAAGGTTGGGAGGACGGAGGTAAGGATGCGGCGTTGTCACGACGGTCATTTTCATAGTCGATCGCAGCGGAGACCCCGTATGATCAGTGATGAGATGAGTAATATAGGCGAGTTGAGGATATTAGTATTATGAATGATACCCAGCGCTCCCACGCGCAATCCACAGGCTTTTTCAAAGCTCCAACCGCTTCATTTCGCTCAATCCAACAAATTTACTCAGACAAACAAGCAGAAGAGTATTCAGCTGCAAGATCAAACCGCCCCAAGCCCACCTCACCCTCGCCCCGTCTGACAAAGCGCAATACAGAACTCCCTAAAATCGCCCTTCGTCGCCTCTTCCAAATCCTCCTCTATCACTCTGCCATACTTATGCTCATACTCCTCCTTCACGCGAATCATATGCATTCTATCCCAATGCAACCGCACCAGTCGCGAGATGAGGAGCTCGTAGCGCTGCTGACGCTCGTGCTTGGAGACTGACTCTTTCGAGAGTTTGGAGGATGATGAGCGCGGGCCGGGCGCAGCGGGCTCGGGAGGCTCGATGAGGTCCATGAGGGCGTGGTGGAGGAGCATGCTGTCACGTGCTGGCCGGTTGATGGCGCCGTTGAGAATGTGGGCGATTACTTCGCCCTAGAGTGTGTCTTAGCATCCGCATACCAATCTTCAAGGACTAGAGGGAAAAGAAGGGGGTGAGTGGGAAGGGAAAAGTTGACATACCACAAGATTATTACTCTTCCTCAACGCATCTCTCGCAAAATTACCCTGGTACTTCCTCTCATACGTCCGCAGCACCTCTCTGAGATGCTGGTCACTCCGCATAACCACAACCCCCAACATCGCAGTCTCACCCCCCTCTCTCGCCTTCAACGCCTTGTAAAGCGTATCTACGTCCTTATTCCGATACTCCATCGGCCACACATCGCTCTCCTCCTGCCGCTCCCCCTCCAGCGCCATCAGCACCGCTTTGCGAAACTTGTCTGCTTTGAGCTCTTTGTCCATACATCGCGTCAAGCTGTCCCCGTACCGCTTATCCTTGAACGCGTCCTTAATCTCGCGGATGTCATGGTTCTGCCGCCCCATGAGCGCTTCGACGAGGAGCTCCCGCCGCGCATTGCTAGACTGGTACCAAAAATTCGCCCAGTAGCCCTCGCTCTCATACTTCCCTAGCGCGGTCACGTGGCAGATTTTGCCGAAGTTGGACGAGGGGATTTTGAGCTTGATGTGCTTTGCGATGTTGATACCGCGGCCTTGGACCTTGCAATGCCGCTTGTACTCGGCGCGGAGCTCGAGCATCTGGTCATGGGAGAGGGTGGGCAGGATGTCGATGAGGGTGTCGACGTCTGGCGTGCGGCTGGCGAGGGCGTCGACGAGAGCGAGGGCGTCTTCGGTAGCGTCGTAGATCTTGACGCGTTTTTCCTTTTGGGATTGGGATTGGGATTGGGATTGGGATTGGGATTGGGTGGTCAAGGCCATGGCTTCGAGGGCGAGCTTATCGCCCTTGCGACCTTTCGAGGGGGGCGAGGGGCGGCGGCCTGAGGTGGAGGGCGCACGGTGTCGGCTTGATGTGGAGGTGGCACGATGGTGGCCGCGGATGGAGGAGGTAGAGTCGCGTGGGGATAGGCTGTTGAGCATAGGAAGGTCGTCGAGATCATCGTCGGGGAGCATCATGGCAGAGGGCATGGGTGAGATGGATTGGTAGACTCCGTGATACGCTTCTAGCAGAGGACTGCCTGGTGGTGCTTGGCCTGGGAGGATTTGCTGTATGTCTGGACGGTTGCCGCTGACAGATAGACGATCCATGTGGGGCATGCCTGGCGAAGGAGCTCGAAGATCGGGACGTGGGCCGTTTACTGACATTCTATGTGGGTGCAGGCCTGGAGACGGGGGTTGGGGCACTCTGGAACCTCCCGGAGTTATCTCGACAACAGCGTGATCGCCATAATATCCTGATGACTTCCGAGAGTGAGACGGAGCTGATTGCTGGGAAATGGGAGGCGGAGGTTGCTGATATTGAGCTTGAGATGGAGGAGGGGACGGCTGATATTGAGCTTGAGGTAAAGGGGCCTGTTGGTATTGAGCCTGAGGTGGAGGGGGCTGCTGTTGTCCATGCTGAGGCTTAGAGGTGTACTCGTAGAACTCAGGCTGCTGATATTGCGGTGCTGCAGGTTGTGCACTATGTCTTATAGGTGGCTGCTGCGCCTGCTGTGCCGATGAAACTACAGGCTTCGACGTAAAGGTGATCTTGTCTGGCGGTGCTGCATACTGAAACCCTCCCGTCCCTCCTACTGCCCTCTGGGGACCGGACTGATTCGCAGCATTCGGCGTATACCCGTATTGCGGCGCCTGAGAATACGAAACTGGCTGTCCATACGGGTAAGACGGCGACGTCGGCGACGCTGGTCCCCGGTCCTGCGGTTGGCTCGTATACTGATACTGCTGGGCCTGTTGCTGCTGCTGGATATATGCCGGCCTCTCGTGCGGTGGGAGATCAGTGTAATCGCCCATAGTGATGTTGCTCGCCACCGGGGGCTGCGGAACGATACTTTGAGCACTCATCTCAGTTCGATGGCTTCCTGAAGTCCCTCCTAGGAGGTGCGCGGGGGTTACATACCCGTGAGGTTGCGCTGATGGCTGCGAGGGCTGCCTAACCTCATACTGCGGGGTAGCTCCCGCCCCCCCTTGGCCTGGAGCTGCATATGAATAGACAGCTGGGCTGGGTGAGGGAGCCCGCACGTTGCTGCGCGATCTATCACGTTTCCCTCCATCTCGCGACTTGGAGCGCGAGCGGCTCTTGCGGTCGTCGACGCGCAAAGACATGGCAGGGGTGATGAAGTTTGATGTTGAAGTATGAGAGGACGTCAATGGCACGCGCAGAACATCAGACGAAGAGAGGATAGCACTACGAGACGCGATTGAGAGAGAAGGAAAGCAGAAAGAAGAGAGAGAAAGGGAAAGACACGAGGGTTCAGGCGCGTAGAAATTTGGATGGTGGGGAGCGAAAGGCGTTTGCGGGCGGCGGTTCAGCCGCTGACAAGGATTATTTGGGGGCCAGAATAGGTTGCTCAAGTCCGAGGCGACATATTAAGACGTCACAGGGCCAGTAAAAGGGCACGACTATCTCGATAGGCTATTCGTGACAGACATATGGTCTCACAATACACCCCTGGAGAGTTTCAGGGCGTATGGCGTGGTGTCCTGTAAGCGTAAGCAGTTCGTATCACGTGATGGGTGCTTTTTCCACATCTAGCTTTGTCAGCTACTTTGAAATCGAGAAACATCTGATTCACTATCAGGCGACAGCAATATATGGAAGCTAATGTCGGTTTGTAGAAGGTGGTTTTCAGGGATGAATGGGCTTTCAAGATCTCGAGGATACCTACTTTTGTATCAAACCCTAGAAAATTACCTGCGCGCTTTAGCACTCATCAAAACGGCCGGAAACACTTACTGAGCAGGCAGCGAGACAGCTGGCAGCTTCACGAACAGCGGAGGATGTGTATCACGTACAATCTGACGTGGCGGCGCCACAAGAACAGGCAGAAATGGAAGAGGATCTTTGTTAGACGGCCCTTTACAGGACGGCGCAACGATGGGAGTTTGGATAATACATAGGCGGCAGGGCAGCTAGGAACACGGATTCGTACACGAGATTGATAGTAAGTTTCTGTCCTCAATTCACTAATTTCGACAGCACTAACCTCCTCAGGAATATGCCTTACTTCTTCCTGCTTAGCGTTCTTTTTTTCTGGAGCTTAGTGATTTAATTCCCTTCGGACACTATGACAGACCAACGCGAAGATTTCCATGAAAAAGCACTTCATAACTTTAACCGTCGGCAATCCGCGCGGCGGACGACAGGACTGTCCACGACCATCACAGCCGTATCGTTGTCTGTAATATGTTATGAGAGGTCTCGTACAGGAATTACGCAGATTAGCTGCGATTTCCAACTGTACCTGGACGAGTGAAGTATATCACGCTTAGACGAGGAAGGTGGCGTTGGTCTTCAGGCGGTACTGCGACGCGATGAAAAGCCGGCTTAAGGTATCCACCGCTCAAGTACGACAGTGTTTCCTGCGACATCAAGGGTTAGTATAGCTATCATGAAACCTGAACGAGAATTACTTACGCCGACGTTCACCACTAGAGCGCAAGGCACATGCTTAACCCATAACCATTCCCCTTCCTCCACCTGCCTAATTTGTAACGCTGCCACCGGCTAACTGAAAAGCGGTGTATATGTCCCGAAGTCGGTGTGTCGAAGTATCATATCTCCGTCTCCGCTGTCTGTCTTTGCCAATTTGATTGCGTCATCTTTACTCTGAGGATGCTGCACCATATAGCGCATATGGCAGTCCGATTTGGCATCGTAGTTATGCAGATCCCAGAGTTGCTCCTCCTTTGCCAATTCCAAGATATCAGCAGTCAGAATGAGAAGGCGCTTGAGCACATGATTATGCAGATGTCTGCAGAAACGCTCTGTCTGCGCTGCCTGGTCGACGCAGGGTCTTAGACAGGAGAAGCCTGCGAATTCCGACACATATTCAGGACCATCGTAGATTTCGACGTTATCTCTTAGATTTGATGCTATCTTACGCTCACCTGCGGCTTTATATCCCAAGTCTGGTAGGCTTCTGTCCACAAAATGCTTATTCTTCTCTTGCTGGGAAGTACAAAAATCGATCTGGCGAGAGCAAATTTATCGCTCACTTCTTCCTCGCCGAGGCCGAGTTTGTGACGTGGAAGAACCCGACACTTTCAATGGAATCCTTGAGTTGAGCAACAAGTCTTTGCTTCCCTCCGGGTTGGTCGAAGGTGGATAGGTCAAGATTCGTAAGCTCGGCGTACTTGAGGTTGGTCGAGGATGGCAAAGTCTGCTGATACTTGGATGTACTCATTTCTTTTCTCTGTCTCACATTCATGATTATGCTGCCGATTTATCTGAGCTTTGGAACTGTGGGAATGCGAAGTTAGGTCGATAGAGACGCCGGAGAGGTTACAGTGCTGCTTGACAGGCTTTCGGAATGTGCGGGATGAAAGTAGTAGAAAGAGGGGGGCACTAATGCTGGGAAATAAACCCATACTGGAAAGAGAGTGACCACAACTTGCATTTGCATTGCAGTCTTGTGTTCGTGGGCAAATCTTAGCCAACGGGTTAATTTCAGGTGATATCAATTCTACGTCACAAAAGCCACAAAAGTTGTTCAAATGCACTTATATCATAAGAGACAGCATTTTATTTCGGACGAGCCTAATTACCACCCCCCTTTTCTCTCCGTATCACCCCTCTTTTCTCTTGCTATAACCCCCCCTAGATTTAGCTTAGCTACGGCCTGTAACAACTTTGTCTCACCAATTAGAAGCAGAACCGCTAAGCTTTAATACGGAATCTACGTTAACCCGCGTGACCTCACCACCTACTTATACCCCCCTAGCCCTGTGCCACTAGGACTGCCACGCATTTATAGAGGAGAGCATAAGGTCTACTATCTTTCTAGAAAGGGCCTTTATATACTCCTAAGAAGGAGGTAGTTTATAGTTAAGGGCCCGGCATAAAAGCAAGCTATTTAGGCTAAATGCTTAGCTATCTAGGCACGTTCTGTTTTAAATATAATGGCAGGTGACAGGCTGGTATATAGCTATTAATTCACTCTCGTGGTGTTGCAGATTTAAAGCTTCGAATTGGTGGGACAGAGTTGTTGCGGGCCGGAGCTAAGCTAAATCCAGGAGGGGTTATAGCAAGAGAAAAGGGGAGTGATACGGAGAGAAAAGGGGATGCTAATTAAGCTCGTCCATTGTATATAGCTATCTACTAGCTAGTTGCCTGCCGTCCAGGGCACGTACGTGCATTGTGTTCTGGTGAACTGCACATGCTGCACTTAGGTGGTGCTCGTTGCCGTGGCCCGACCGCTGCCTTGGCCCGACCGCTGCCTCTGCTACCACCTCTGCTGCCACCTCCTGGGCAGTAGATGCCCGAGAGGCCCCTTCTACAGCTGATAGCACCCCTCCCCTAGCTATATATAACACAGTGTTACTCGCTACTGGCCTCTGTTGAATATGCACGCTAACTATAGCATGCGTCTAGGGGCTGGATTGTCCTAAACAAGAACGTTTCAGCCTCAACCGCCGATCGCGCGATCCACAAAGCAAGCAACCTAGAAAAGAACCCGGCTTGTGAAGATACGGTGAGGATTGCACACAGCTGTCGTCAGGCTTCGTGATTAGTTCGTGCCAGCGCGCCATCGTCAGCTCTAGACTCGCCGTGGCTTGGGCTACTGCCAAGCTTATTTTTGTTTTCAGCTGATTGATGCGATAGAGGACGGATAAGGTGAGCTGAAAGAGTGCGAGTGTGGCGACTTTGCCGTTGCGTATATAAGGTTATCCAAGTCCCCAGGGCTAGCAGAAAGACTTTTCCATTGCGACTCCAGCTGTTTATACTTCTAGCCTTCGTCCCACTTCCCACCTCTCGCCCTCACCCCACCGAAACGAACGTTATGGATCGCGCAATGCCTATGGATCCTCAAAGGGAGTCGCCTTTTCTCCGCCTCCCAGGCGAACTTCGCAACCAAATCTACAATGCAGCCCTCGCGACACGCTCCCCGATCATAGACCCAGGCGCCCCCTCCCACCACACCTCTACGCCACCATTATGCCTCCCCCTCATCCGCACCTGCCGTGCTGTTTATGCCGAGGCTAGTTTGGGCCCTCTTTTCGCCTTGAATCGCTTCCACTTCACCGCCGTAACGCACGCGCACCTCTTCCTTTCCAACCTCACTCCCGCCCATCGCGCGTTTATTCAAGATATAGAGGTGGATGTGCGAAGCGTACACGCCCAGCCTGGGGAGTGGGCGACGTATCTAGACTCGAGTCTGAGCGGTATCGGGAAGCTGGGCTCATTGAGGACGGATGCGCCGGGGTTGAAGGTGTTGCGGTTGAATTTCAGCGCGTGGCCTACGATTGGACTTAGTAGGGCGGAATTGGGGCAGCTGTTAAGGCAGATGGTAACGGGTGTGGCTGGGTCAGGCCTAGAACGGTTGGTTGTCATGGGTGCGAGTCGAGGAGAGACGATGGCGAGGAGGGACCCGTGGAGTCCGGTGCATTACGTAGGCGCTGATGACTTTGGGGCGAGGTTCGACCTCGTCGGCGCTATGGAACAGGCGGTCGGAGACGGAGACGAGGGCGATGAGAAAGTCGTGCGGTGGACGAGGGGCGATGGAGTGATCGAACTCGAGGTCGTCTTAATTTCGCACATTCGAAGAAAGAGTCGGTCCTGGGCTACGGCGCCCGTCACGAAACCCATGAGCGAGGCGTGGCCACGAAGTGGATCTTGCAGCTGGGAGGAATACCAACAACGGGATTCAGAAAGCCTCTCATCTCTGGCATCAAGACGATAGGTCCCAATGCCTCCGGATGATGGGCCTCGCAGGGTCCCATGGTCCGTACATCTCGTTTTTGTATTTTTGGAGTCCAATTAGCCACCAGCAGCAGATACCCATAACAAGGAATGTTAAAACGCTGCCAAGAACTGCCCCTACGATAGCTGCGACTGCACCACCGTTCGAGATGATTACGCCCATCCCTCCAGACGCAGCAATCACGAGGAAGTATGTCAGGGTCCGATGGCCGGCCGAGGAACTGTTGCGAAGTTGGCGCCGAAATACGGGAAAGAGGCCAAAGACTTCTATGGAGAACAGCGTCAACGAAAATACGTGGGTGGTTGAAGGCAGTCGGGAAGCCATCACGGCTGAAGCCATAACGGCAGCATTAGTAGAAAGGGACGCGGGGAATCTGAAGCACGTGTTAGCAATGTTAGAATAGAAGCAGAGGCTCGGTAGAAGTACTGCGCTCCAGTTCCGCCTCCATAATCAAAAAAGAACACATTCATGCACATCAGCCACGAGCTCATAGCCCAAATCGAATCGCTAGTCGTCGAATCTGTGAGAGACTTCAATATCGGGCTGAGTCCAAGCAACGCGCAGTAGATGAGAACAGCAGACTTGGCAGTTGCTAGGCGCTGTCTGTTTCGAGGTGATAGCGAGGATTCAGGATCGCCATATGGAGGATATTGGGTCGCGGAACCAGATGGTACCGTTGCTGAGGATGCCGACATGTTTGAAGTGACGGACGTTGCACTCGCGCTGTGAGAGTGCCCCAATCGAGGAGTGTTGCTTCCATTTGGTATCAGCAAGCCTAGTCCTTGGGGATCCTTCAAGGAGCTTGTTGAGCTTGCGCTGGATGCGTCTTCCGCGAATTCCTTTTCAGCGAGAGCCTGCGCCTTCGCGGCCTCTTCTTTGCCCATCCAGTAATCCCAGAGTATCCAGCCCAGAACTGTACTGATACTGCCGGCGCTGGCAACTGCCACGGGAGACACGTTTATTTCTTTAATGCCCACGAAACAGCATATAAAGATTATGACCGAAGCAATGTGCTGTATGATGACGGTGGAGTCGGCCATGAGTGACCAGAACTCGTAGGGTTGGAGGCGAGGGTTTCGTTGCAGGTGATCAAGGAAGGTCTCTTCGTCGGTATAATTGTCGGGGTCTGAGATTCGATTAGCATTCATCTGGCTATTGCTCAGATATCGTGACTTACACGGCTGCTTGAACCACAATAGCTTGTTCCAATGCCTCTTCTTCCGCCTGCTCCCACTCCGACCTCTCTCCTTCTCCCGCTGTCTGCGCGCATCGGTCATCCCCCGCACAGAGCTGCCGCCGGAAGCCCCCAGGCCGAGAGGGCTGTGCTGGCGGGCTCTTCGTGGTGGAGAGGTTGCGTAGAAGGCATCTTCGGGGGCCAGTCGCGACGGGTCGGGGGCGGCAGTGCGACTGTGGAGGAGCTGGCGTGAGGCTGCATGCTGCTGGACAGTAGTTGTGGACATCAGGGCGGCATTGCGCGTCGTGGAGACCGTCATGGCATCGAGGTTGAGGTTGACGGGGGAGCTTCGAAGATACAATTCTAGGCACGGTCCACTCGAGGTCGAGGCGAGTGCGAGGTTCGCTGACGTCGGAGGGATTCCCCCACACCACAAGAACACTAATGTCGGGAAAGAAGTGCTAGTAAAGTACAGCATCCTAATTATATGGCACTTATGTCCATCTTGGAGATAAAATCATCGAGTGCGCTGATTCCCATGTTTCGGTGAATGCACCGAGACTCGTTCGATATACACACATAAGATCAGAACTATCAATAGGTAACAAACCTTGAATTAGATCACGCAGTAGCTGAAATAACACGAGGTAATGTTCAATCGTTTCGTTGTTGGCTCTCGCGTTCTGCTATTCGTCTGTTCAGTACTTCAAAAGTTCCAATATCAAAAACCACTATCACAGTCTTTTCGCTCTGTACAGGTGGCTGCTAGCCTGGTGGTATCCAAATTGCGTTCACCGAATTCCTTGCTCCTCCCACCAGGATCGAGTGAAAGGAAAAAGTCACCAATTGGAGAGCTCGACACTCTAGACATTCTCCCCAGTCGTAGCGCCAACAGCGGTGACACCATTGCCCGCAGCACCTTGCGTCGCTCCACGCTTCTCACGTTGAATTCCACCGTGGACCATCGGATCTTCGTCGTAATCGCGGATCCTCAAGCCCAGACGGCTAGGATCAATATTGCGGTGACCGAAGAGCAAGAGTGTGCCGAAGATCGGCTTCGCCAAAAAGTCCAAGACACTGTAGAAGATTGCCTCCGAGTCGGGCGGGATGACGTTTCCGCCCTCGCAGACACCCCATGCAATTGGGTACATGATCCAGAGGACGGTGGTTAGGGAGCCGCACATCAGGAAGACGCGCCCAATGTCGGGTCCTAGGGCTGACGCGTGCTTGCGCGCTTCCCAACCGAGGACGTAGACGATGTAGACGAGCGCGGCGCAGCCTACCATATATTAGTATGGAGAGAATCTATTTTCTAGAGGGGTTAACAGCTTGCTTACCCATTGCGAAGTATCCCCACTTATAGTCCGATCGCACCAAAGCGCCAACAAGTCCAGTAACAATCATGACCTCGTCAACCAAGATGACCCAAAGCACACTCGGCCAAGGCATGCCTGCAGTCAAGAGCAGATCCATCAACAGCAGCGGGGTGGTGATGAACCAATCGATGTACCGGACGTAGAAAATCTCACGGTAGTTTCCGCGTACGACGGACTCGCTACGGTGATATTCCACCTCGATCGGGGTCCAGCCCAGATTGCTGCCCATGGAAAAGTACGCGATGGTTGCGACCATGGTGACGCCGGAAGTGATGTAGTGGAAAATACGGTGCTGGCGCGGCTTGGTGAGGGCGAGGCTCATGAACACAATGGTTGCCGTACCCATAGCAGCGCAGATGGCGAAGTAGAGGTCGGAGCCATGAGTTGTGATGGCGATATCTGCAGTTCCACCATTTACGGTATTACCTAAGCTGAGGTTAGTTGAGATGGTTATCGAGAGAGAGGCGAGCTTACCATTGGTGCTGATGGCACCGTTGCCTGCTCTTCGATCGAGGGCTGACATGTTTGCCCAAGCACTAGCGAGCTTACCCTCTTACTCTATTTTGACGTGTTCAATTCGGTTGTGAGAAATTACTTCTCTTCCATGGATCAAGAGATAGAAAGAGGTCTTAATTGGGCTGCCACTACACCTATATCAAGACCGCATCAAATTCAAATCCCCTACAAGTTGTATGACGACAGGAAACCCTCATCACGCGGCCATCACACTTAGATGCCATCATGATTCATGTTCTACGGCAGTCACAATGCCCATCACATTCACAACACCTCTGTAGATGTCGGATCTCTACGGATCGCTCCTACCTTTGTATCGTATCGCGCTAGGAGTAGACCGTACCTATCACCACTTCAAATGCATGACAAACAGCAACGAGCGATTCTTTTCCTTGCTCAATCACGCTCATGGACTTTGATATTCTCGCCTTACATCATGGCCCGCGGAGACGACCATTTTGCTAGCGGCGCGCTTCATTGGCTCAAGAGCGGCATCCCTCGTTTCTAGCCGAAAAGTCTATGACGACAACATCACTGCTTTGTTTCAAATGCGATGCCCACGAAGAGTAAATCCACTAGATTTAGACTCCGAAGCGGCCGTTGAGCCCACTGATGATGCTGGTCGATCATACAAGCTTTTGAACTATGGACGCGTGAGCCTGTTTAGATGACTGGTGACAGGGGCGGTAGCATCGTGATATCACTGATAATCTCAAATACACAGCACTCACACATCCATACTACCGGTTAAGGTCTTTCCTCGGAATATGTGGTTGAATCGCCAAGCTCATGTCCAGGTCAAGGCAGATTCGAAGCCTTAGGATAGGTAACGAATTTAAGTTCACCATTACATCGTCGAATCCCGACGTCTCGTCAAGAAGCTGTGGTTCTAGTTTCGAAGCAAGGAAAAGCTTGTTTGTATGCTATGACTACTATCCGGAACTATCCGGAATGCTTCATGCTTTGACTAGCGGTCTGGAAGAGTCGCTCTCGCTCGGACGTGGGTGGGTTTGCGTCTCCGCTCTTTCGACCTTCAATCCTTTGGCCACCGCTCGCTCTTCTGGCCATGGATCTTGATATCATGCGATCGGCATCGCAGCATTGGCGGGGTATGAATTGCCGTGCAAGCTTACTGCTTCGGAAATCTGTCGTATCTAATATTTTTGTGGATGTACTCGGGCCTCAATTCCACATGAAGACGTCGAGATACACGTGAAAATGGTGGTTGCTGGGCTGGATGCCGAGTCACCTATTTAGGAGCTCAAGATTAGATATAGTGATTGAAATTCTTGACATGTGGATATAGTGTTTAGCGCAGTTCAATCACATTGAGAAATGAAATATCTTTGTCCTAATACCAGCACCGTTCACCCATCCTTAGCTCAGCTCACACCTCCTTCCCCATCAATCGTTCCCCCCATACCCAGATAACCACCAATAGCCCACTCATTTCCCCCAAACAGCCCCGCCAGGAGCCCTACGGCAAAAGCAAACACCATAAACTGCCACCCACTCACCAGCGGCCCTGACTTCACCTTATCAATCTCCCTCCCCGTCTCCTTGGTCTCAAACTCGCCCGCCTTCCACGGCACCACCATCCCTTGATCCTCCATCACCTGCTCAGCCACAATCTTACTACCCGCCAGCACAATTGGCACGCCGGTCCCGGGATGCGTGCTCGCGCCCACAAAATACAACCCCTTGATCTTCCGATGCTTCGTCCTAGGTCTAAAACTCAGCACATTGAAAAACGAGTGCGAGAGCCCTAGAATCGCGCCCTTATCGAGGTTGAAAGTCGACAACCAGGTCGTCGGCGTGTTCACACTCTCGTGGATAATGAGGGGCGCGAGATCCACGCCTGTGCGCGCGTGGATGGTGCTAATAACTGCTTCGCGGGCGGTGGCGAGCATGGTGGGCCAGGCTTGCGTGTTGCTGTCGGACGACGAGCTGCCTTTGTGCTCGTTGGAGGTGGAGGAGATGAGATGGCCGACGGGGACGAGCACGACGACGGCGTCGCGGCCGGCGGGGGCGGCCGTGGGGTCGATGCGGGAGGGGACGTTGACGTAGAAAGAAGGGTGCGTGGGGATGAGATGCTCTTTGAAGATGGAGTCGAAGCTGGTGCGGTAGGCGTCGGCGAGGAAGATATTGTGAGCGGTAAGTGCTGGGACAAGGGTGGAGAGAGACCAGTAGAAGGAAATGCTGCTACATGAGGCTTTGCGGGTGGAGAGAGAGGTAGATTCGGAGGTTGGGGGAAGGAGGTTGTTATAGGCGTAGACGAGGTCAGCGTTGCAAACTACGATGTCGGCTGTAAGGGTTGAGCCATCGGGAAGAACGACGCCGGTGGCAGTGCGGCTGTCAGAAGAAAGTAGAATGCGTGATATGGGGGTCGAAAGGAGGTATTCGACCCCTAATCTTCTGCCGATATTTACGAGGCCCTCTATGACCTATGCTCTGTTAGTGGCTTGGGAGTGCAGGATCGCAAAGGAGATAGTACCTTGTAAAATCCGCCGACAGGATACCATATACCTTCTGCGAGCTCAGTGTACTGTAGAAGACTATAAGTCCCTGGGGCATCAAAGGGACTCATTCCCATATACATGCTTCCGAACGTGAAGACTCTTCTAAGCCTCTCCGTCCAGAAGTATTTCGATGCTCGGGAGTAAATACTCTCGAACGGGTGCAATGCTAGCAAATGTCTGAGGAAGCTCGGCCTCGCCATAGAAAGCAGGCTCGTGAAGTTCCTCCTTAACACATGGGTGACACTGAGCTCATAATGTCGATGCGATTCCTGGAGAAAGCCTAGGTAGCGATCGAATCCATCTTTACCTCCCCACTTCTCGATCTCGGTCTTCATACGGGAAATGTCGGTGCTCAGCTCGAAGGACTCGCCATCGCCGAACCAAATGTTGTAGTTCGGTTCACATTTCAGGAGCTTAATGCCTTCGGCGTCTAGACTCGTGTCCAGGTCGCGAAAAGCCTCTTCGAAAAGATGAGGAAGAAGTAGAAGGGAAGGACCTTGATCGAATCGCTGAAATGAAGAATGAGATGCTTGGAATGTAAAGGAGCAGTAATGAAACTCACATATCCTTCATGATGAATCAACGAGCACCGTCCGCCTGTGAAGTCGTTCTTCTCTACGACCGTCACTTTGAACCCAGCCTTTGCAAGGCGTGCAGCTGTTGCGACTCCTCCGACACCAGCTCCAACGACAATCGCTGTCTTCGGCCCCTTCTTGGTGGCCATAGTCTACTTGATTGATGAGCGAGCACATTTTGTTGTTGTGTTGTTGCAAAGTCATGACGTGGGAGGTCCACCAAAGTCGAGGCTGACTCGGCTCGACTTGCACAATTAGTGCTTAGAGACTGTTTAATTTTGGATTCAGATAGGGTCTCACGGGTTTGTATCAATCTTTATGCAGTGCCATGAGCTTCTTGTTAAGGGTGATCATTTAAGGCACTTCGAGTTCATTACGATATCACTAGGAAGGTATCAACCCCTCAACGCCCGCCATGCAACTTTCATCCTCCTCAGCTTCGGCACAGTAGCTTTCCCAGCCTTGACTGTGTAGTGCTCCTCTCTTAGAACGCGGCCAATCTCCATATAGCTCTCCACGGCCACTCTCATTGGCCCCTGTGCTTCTTGGGGCAACTCCTCGATAGCTCCTCGGGCTTCCTCATAGATGCTAAACGCTTTATCCAATAGCCGAGAACGAAGGCACTTAACCCGAGGACCGTCGGGGTCCAGAAGAATGTTCCAAGCGGTTAAGCCTTCCTCCTTAAGCCAAGCTTGGGGGAGGTAGACCCGATTCATTTTGGCGTCAACGGCAATGTCTCGCGCAATATTTACGTATTGCAAAGCAACACCCATACGAGCTCCCGCGCTGAGAACATGGCCTCGCTCAACTTCGCTAAATTCGGTTTGGAAATGATAGAAGACCAACTGCAAACACAACATTGCGACCGTTCCAGCAACGCGTTGGGCGTACGTCTCAAGGTCCTGTTCTGTCATGATTGGCCAACGGATATCCCGTTCAGACGAGGGGGGATCTGCAAATTCCAAATCTTTCTGAAAGCCAAGGAGCATATGCGCGAAATGTTCCTGGGATAAGCGATGAAGTGGTAATTGTGAAAGCGCTTGATGACCGTCAGGCGCATTGGCCATTAGCTCGCAAAAGTGTTTATGGAGGGAGCCGATTACAGCCGTTGGGTCACGATGACGGTATTCTTCCTTGAGGAGGCGGTCGAGGTCGCGAATGGAAGTTTGTGCTTGCTCTAGTGTTGTCGCATTGTCGACCATGTCATCAGCAACTCGGCACCAGGAGTATCTATCTATCTATGTAAGTCATAAGTCCACAGCAAGGTCGTCAGGCTGGCTTACAGGAACAGCAGATCTACGCGCAACTTACCGCTGAACGTAGAGCTAGCCAAATAGAAGCTCCGGCTCTTCTGCTTCAGCCTATTCGCCGCGTCTTGTAAACAAAATATTCGCTTCTCGTCATAATTAGATGCTGGGAGGAGCAGTGCTTCGACTAGGAGTATTGGAGACGGTAGGGGTGGTGTGTTCCCAAATAGATTTGGGAAGCTTTCCAGAATAGCGACCGCATTATCAAAGGCTAGAAGACCAAATACGACCAAAGTGTTGGTGGTCAGGAAGAAGACGGCTTCTCTTGATAATGTTAGTGGCCTAGGTTATCCCGGTAGGAAAACCAACGTACTCAATTTCAAGGCCGTCCCACAAGTGAATTCCTAATTTTGTGCCAGATTCAATAACCCACGTGCCACGTTGTAAGGCTAGAGTATCCACGTGCCAGAGATACAACGTTGGTATCAGGATCGGGAGGGCGGTATTAATCGTTGGCAGGCCAAGGATGAATTGGTATGCTAGACTCCAGAGAAGCAGCAAGAACGGCGCTGCCCAGAGCACTATCAATCCCATGTACGATGCTCTTCCATTGTCTCTGATCATGCCAATGCCCGCAATGATCGCGCCCACAAAAAACAACTGTCCCGCGATCCTATATAGCCGCCATGACGTATTATTGAAGTCCTGTCGATGCTTTTGTTTCCGCTCTGCTCGCAAATATGCAGGTTGGAATGTAGCCTTGCTGAGTAGGAGGTAGAGAATCGAGGTTGTGTAGGTTTGGATGACGAAGAAGAAGAGCTCTTCTGCGGGAATGTCAAATAGCGTAGGCCCAATTATCACGTTCGACGGATATGTCCATATTCGATTGCGGATCAGGTACGAGTCCCACGGAATGGTAGCAAGGACAGCGATCTGTCCTAGTCAGCGTTTGCTTTAGTATTCAGACAGAGGGACTCACTGTAACTAGGAATCCAACCTTGTAGAGGTCGAGCTTGGAGAGCAGTGGTTGGTAGAATACCGTGAGGAGTACTGCCGGTGGTATGGTGTACAACACGTGTCTAACGCGATGTAAGCAGAGTCTCGAGAGACGAAATATGCGTAACAGCGTACACCATGGCATATTCGATCCCCATTGCAACCCGAGGCCGTAGTCAGGCCATAGAATGGGCCAAGAACCAGGCTATATAGGCGGGTACGCGCTCAACGGTCGAAGAGCGGCCGAAACGAATTGGAGGACACGAGTACAACAAATGTCACGATAGGTAGCGTCATGGTGTCGGAGTGACAGCTGCAGCTCATGTCGGCATTCTGTTCGTGAGTGGCGGGGAAATGGTAGCGGCTTCGAAGCTTGGTTGAGAGAGGCGCGTCCCGAACCATCTCCGCCGGGTTCCTGACCAAAGTGACGGTTGGTGAAGTCATCGATCTTGGACCATGGCATTGCGGCATTGTTCATGCCCCCATGCCTCTCCGAGGTCTAGAATGGCGCTTTTGGCACAGACTGGGCTTCGCCATGCCGGAGTCGTCGGCTGACTTCCATGGAGCTTTTCCATGCCGTCATGGAGCTTCTCAGAGACACCGCTTGGGATGTGGGTAGAAAGTATTCTTCAGAGTGTTTCTGTACACAACTTTCTTCATACTATTCAATGGCATTGAGAATGCGCCTGTGTCGCTGAGCACTCGGTATGTCCTTATATGAGCTTAGAGGAAGTAGACAAAAGCATCCGTAAGTATCTCTTTCTGGTAAAATCCGGGTACTTACCATCGGCAGATATCTCTCTGGAAACTTTGCCCCCCTTCACGAGACCTGCTCCGAGACACCATGCAGCTATGTAGGGAGCATACCAGAGGCGCTGTTCGGCGGGGAGTACATCAGAAATGGTGGAAACCCAGTCTCCAACAATGACCTGGGCCGAGACGCGCATTGGTTCGATGGCGATGGAATGCTCGCAGGAGTCATCTTCAAGAAGAATGAAAAAGAAGGATATATCACGCCTCACTTTGTCAATCAATACATCTTGACGGACGTCTACCTTTCCACCGTGGCCCATCCAAGTCTAAAGACACCAATTCTCCCCAGCATCACCACGCTGGTCAACCCTATCTCCACCCTTGTATATATAATCTTTCGAATCTTTCGGGCCCTTTTCCTCGTATTCATATCACATCTCCTAGGATCTCAAGTTGCCATTAAGAGGATAAGCGTCGCCAACACCAGCATAATATACCACGACGGACGCGCATTGGCAACCTGCGAAAGTGGGCCGCCTATACGAATTCAGCTTCCTGGTTTGGAGACCGTCGGCTGGTACGATGGTCGACTTGCGCAGGGAGAACCTAAAATCGCGAACGACGCAGGAACTGGAGACAATCCAGCACCTTTCGGGGGCTCGGGGGTACTCAGCTTCCTGAGGGAGTTCACGACGGGGCATCCCAAAGTTGACCCTGATACCGGGGAGATGATTCTTTTCCACTGTACTTTCATTCCACCATATGTACATTATTCCATCATTCCCTCTACCCGTAAACCTAGCCACGACATGTCTCCACCACGTAGACTCCTTAACTCTCCGATTCCCGGCATGTCTGGAGCGAAGATGATGCACGATTTTGGAGTATCCAAGACGCATACGATCATAATGGACCTTCCGCTCTCCCTCAATCCCTTCAACTTACTAAAAAACCAACCCGTCGTATCTTACGACCCTTCGAAGCCAGCTCGCTTCGGCATATTTCCAAGACAAGACACTTCCCAGGCTCGCTGGTTCGAGACTACAGCTTGCTGTATCTTCCACACTGCCAATGCATGGGACACACTCGATGCACAGGGTGACGTCACCGCAGTAAATCTCCTCGCATGCCGTCTCACATCTGCGTCTCTCGTCTTCAGCGCCGGGAACATCGCGGCACCTCAGGCCATGGACTCCACCTACAAAGACGAGCGCAAACCAATCTCCTTCTTCGCAACATACGACTATGACGAGGTGCTCACCGACCTACCTGTCTCTAATAGAACGGACTTAGACCTCGAGTCTGAACGGAAGCCACTCCTCCCCAAAACTTCATCGAACTGCCGTGCGACTCTTAATCCCGACGACGAAGAACAATGCCGCCTTTACTATTACACATTCTCCCTCACTACCCCGACCCCAACGATCACGAGACAATACGCCCTCTCTGCTATACCTTTCGAATTCCCGACGCTGAATCCGGCCCGTGAAATGGGAGATGCGCGGTTCATATACGGCTGCAGCACGAGCACTTCATCGTTCGGCGCGGCGCTCGGCCGAGCTACGAAGATCGACGTTCTAGTGAAGATGGACGTTCATGCTTTGATTCGTGAAGGTGGAAAAAGATCACCGCGAAGCGTCACGGGGTGTGTCGACAATCGAACAATCACTGAAATAGCGGAGAGTAGCGATCTAGACGACGCTATCAAATGCTTCAAGATGCCCGAGGGGTGGTATGCACAAGAAGCCCGATTCGTCCCTCGAAACCTTGGTTCGTTAGATTCCGACGAAGATGACGGATTCCTGCTCTTCTACGCTTTTGACGAGGGGCAGTTGGACGAAGAAGGGGAGTGTGCAGGCACAGCGGCGTCGGAACTTTGGATCATGGATGCGAGCGACTTCCAGAGTGTTTTGGCCAAGGTGAGGCTGCCGCAGCGGGTTCCGTATGGGTTGCACGGGAGTTGGTTCTCGGAGGAGATGATAAGGGACCAAAGAGAGGTAGAAGAGGTTAGGAAGGTACCGGATAGCAGTGATGGAGAGGGGTTTTGGAGGACGGTTAATCGGATGATGGTAAAGGTGGCTGGGTAAGGTCTTGGAGTTGAGCCCTCTACCTATACCCGACGATGATAGATATTCTCTGTGTGGTCTGTACAAATCACAGCTAGTTTTCCGGCACTCCAGCTCGTTATGCCATTGTTGCATTGTAAATCCACTAAGCTTCAAAGTCTTCGCAAATAACGTTAGCGTGCGCCTCGCCTCTGATCGGCTCGCAGGTGGGGACGTTCCACACCACCACACCACGAAGCCATCGGCGCCGCGGCGGTAGTCCATGACACGCTCTCAACACTGCGTGCAACAACCAAACAAGCCGAGCTCCCAGATCTCGATGGACTACGATGATAGTCTGGACTAGCGAGCACCAAGGAGTCAGCGAACAAGAAAACGCCGCTGCCCCACGCCCTGTTTCCGTCGCACCCCAAATGTTGAGTGCGTTGACGTTGACGTCCCTGACGTCTCAATACCTTGTTTCATGTAGAGTATTCTCTCTCTCTAGAGGGCTGGTCCATTCATGATCTACCATCGTCGTCCAGGATACCATCGCACCAATTGCACCGTCTTCCTACCTTATTTCAACCTCCGCCTCAGCCTTCGTATCGCAGAATCATGAGCCTCCCCAGACGCACCAATTGGGTTAGGAGCTAAGGTGGTGGGCGACAACGCACAGCCTGCTTCTCGCTTCGAGATGCGCCTGCTGCAGAAGCCACACGGTCGCGGCATTCAGTGGTCCCAACCGCATCGGGTCCTGACAGCTGAAACCTTGAAAACTTGTCTTTCTCGGCCAGATGGGAGTGTTCTAGTCTTCTGGACGCTTCTTCTGTTCTCTGCTTCGCTGTCAATAGCTCACATGGCACAGAAGGACCTGATGAGAAGCGAACGCAAGATGGCATTCATAAGGTCTTTTATCAATTTGAATTGTAAGATCAAGGGAGTCGAAACTTTTCATCATCACGCAGTCGAACGTCATCCCCAATTTCTATCTTTAAAACTTGCGATGTCCGACGCAGAGGCAACCACGGAGGCTCAGGTTGTGGTGGCTGTCCATGGGATTCGATGGGATGCAACGCCACAGGACACCCCGCCTCCACCGAAAGCAGTCACCAAAGATGACACGGACCAATTATGTGCAAAAAACTGGTAGTCTGGTGGCCTGTGTCTCTTCAGCCCTACTTGGCTGCCCCTGTGATATCCCACCTGCCAACAGTCTCCAGGCCCAGAGCTGTTGCCTCCGTATTAGTCGAGAACGAGCGCTCCAGCTGATTTTATTGGCTGCTATTCCTGTTTAGTGGCTGCATGTTTGTCTTCAGTAACGAAGTCGTGGAAATGGCCAAGAGATGGGCTGAGATTCGGGCGCCGCCATAAGTCTGATCCTTTCGCACTTGAGGGAAATTGCCCTGGCCGTCACTTTCTCCTTGTTTAGTCATCTTTCATTCATATTTTGATCAAGATGAGTTCTGCCACTGTCGCTAAAGGTATTTTCTCCAACTGCGGCCCTAGCCTCGATTTTGAATTATCATACACCTGCGAAGGGCCTTCCTGCTCCTCCCTCCACGGCCTGAAGAACGTAGCCTGTAATCCCTCTGGGGGCGTCGCCGTTGACTCTGTCGTATGTTCCAACAACGTCAAGTGTCCAGGGGGTGTTACCACCTACCAATCCAACTTCACATTCAACCAAAACGCACCAGACTCGCAAAAGCCACCTCCGAATCACGCCGACGTTCTCGTACAACAGCAGCAAGACATCATCCTTTCGGATTGTAAGAGCTTTCAGGTACAGAGTGATGGGACGAAAGACGGAACAACGGTCAAGGACACCTCTTCCAGCAGCGACTGTCCTATCAGTGTTTCGTCGAGTAGCAGGACAGCTCCCACGTCGAAGCCTACAAGTTCGAAGCCTACGAGTACGGGCCCAGTGCAGTTTACCGGAAGCTCGACGACGAAGCATCCTACCAAATCTGCTTTTCTCATCACCTTCCTGCTCTGCTTCACTATACTCATAGGAGGAACGCACGCTACGGATTCAGACGACCACATCAAGAGGAGGAATGCTGATATTCGCATCCGCGCCCTTTCCGACGATGTCCGAACCTTTGCAGCAAGTCTCGATTCTAGCTTAGCAGCACAAGCAAACGCAGAGGGCGAGAACGGAGAAGTCTTTGCACACAACCTGGTCGCCGGAGTCCTGACTTCCATCTGCGGAGCCTTCTGGGCTGGGCAAAGCGTTGCGTCTTTTACTCCGCAGATCGTGGGAGATTGCGTCAAGACGATATATGGTGGAGCAGAGCTTCCAGAGCCAGGTCTTGGATTTCTGGCTGTGTTCGGTGCTAGTCTACTCTGTGACTACGCTGTCATCGAGTCCTTTCCCGTTGCGAAGGAGTTCGCTGGGGATGCCTGTGAGGGACTTCAAGACCTGGGGAGGTTCATATCATCGACACCTGCTGTATCAGCTACCGGAGCGAGCGTTGTTATTTTGGCGTCTAATCTACCTTCGAGTCCCGTCGTCACGCCGGTTTCTATCGCCTCTGGTACCTCCGTGGCTGGCTCGAGTGTGATTGCGCCGACAGCATCCGACGTCTCACTAGTCTCTACTGCAGCGGCAACCTCCCTCGGTGCATCCAGTGCCTTAAGTCTACCAGCATCGATAACTCCGCTTACTTTGATTGCGTCGCCCAGTTTGGCTACTCCAAATTCGCTATCGGTCCCTGATAGCAGCGGGAGTGCTCCCTCATCAATTCCTTCGCTGTCATCGAGTGCGGACTTGTCACTACCATCCAGTGTCTCGGGCTCGACTATCGCGAGTTCACCACTGCCATCTCCATTGAGCACTCCAGATTTTACTCCAGCTATCAGCTCTACTCCAGGGGTGTTGAGCACTCCGGTCGTCAGCAGGACCAGCCTGGATGCAATCTCAGCTGGCGCGACCCCTACCTCAATCCCGTCGAGCTCAGCATCCGTACTCTCCGTGTCCTCATCCTCATTCGACAGAATAGCATGTCTAATCGTGAGTGGCCTGGGGGGAGAGTGTGGTCCTCCGTCGACACCACCGAGCTCGCCCCCACCATCTTCGGCTAGCTCTATCTCAGCCCCTACGAGCAGCCCGTCTGTAGTAGTAGCTTCAGGCTCGTCGATATTAACTTCCGGGAGGACTTCTGCCTCAGACGTATCCCCTTTCTCAGTGTCGTCCTCGTCGCTAGTCCCATCTTCCACCCCGCTTTCGGTTCCATTGTCAACTCCAGTCACGACGCCATCCTCGCCCCTGTCACCGTCTTTGGTCGCATCTTCGGATTCTTCCTCGGTCCCTTTATCGGCACCGTCCAATCCACCTCTAAGTACGCCGCCCACTCTCTCCCCTCCCTCATCTACACCCTCGGTTCTGGTTGCGTCAACTCCATCCATTACGCCTTCCTCTACACCCCCCTCAGGTTCGCCTTCACTATCTTTGGATTCCTCGTCTCCCTCACTATCGATCTCGTCTTCTACGCCCTCTCCGCCTCCAATCTCGATCTTCTCCACGCCATCCTTCACGCCGTCTTCTTCGCCGTTGTCTACACCGTCCTCGACCCCCGGTTCTTCGTCGACTCTCTCACCCACGCCTTCATCCACACCCTCATCTACACCCTCATCCACGCCCTCATCCACGCCTTCATCCACTACGCTTTCGTTCTCTTCGCCTTCGCCCACGTTTTCGTCCACCACGCTTTCGTCCACCACGCTTTCGTTCTCTTCGCCTTCGCCCAAGTTTTCGTCCACCACGCTTTCGTCCACCACGCTTTCGTCCGCCACGCTTTCGTCCGCCACGCTTTCGTCCACCACGCTTTCGTCCACCACGCTTTCGTCCACCACGCTTTCGTCCACCACGGCTTCATCCGCCACGGCCTCATCCACTACACCCTCATCCGCTACACCCTCATCCGCTACACCCTCATCCACTACGCTATCCTCTACAACGCCGTCATCCACAACGCCGCCATCCACAACGCCCTCCTCAACTCCTTCAAGCTGTCCAACAGTAACGCCAGATCTCTGTCCAGACGCTCGCGCACTGAAGCTCATCAGACAAGCAACCCCCCAAATATGCGTCAACTTGATGACCGATCCCGATCACTGCGGCTCCTGTACCAACATCTGCGAGGGTGGGATGAGCTGCGAAAGCGGTGTATGTACTTCAGCTTGCCCAGCAGAAACCCCAGACACCTGCATCGATCTCGGCTGCGTCAATTTCGCAAACGACACCCAGCATTGCGGATCCTGCGGCAACGCCTGTGAGCCGGGTCTCGCATGTCTGGGTGGTGTTTGCAACGCCGTTTGCACTAGGGAAGCACCCGACACATGTCCCGGCGCCGGTTGCGTGAACCTCTTGACCGATAACCTCCACTGCGGGTCTTGCGAGAACGCGTGTGCTGGGGGGTCCAGTTGCGTAAGTGGTGTGTGCACAGAGTTCTGTCTGGGGGATACGCCGGATTTCTGCCTTGGGTATGGGTGTGTAGACTTGCAGACGAACGATACGCATTGTGGGAGTTGTGGGAATGTGTGTCCGTCGGGGAGTCGGTGGCAGTGTATTAGTGGTGGTTGTAGGGAGATTCCTGCGTAGAGTGCGGGGGTATTCTCGGGTTCGGAGTATGGTTTCAATGGATCTTTTCCTTCGATTCTTGGGCTTGGCATGGCTGATTGCTTGATATGTTTGCTGCATATACGAGACTGGGTTTTTCTTACAGATCTGAGCGGCGTTTTGATCTAGCATTTTTCTCGTTATCTATATGAGCAGTCCATCGCGGCAAAAGGGTCCTAGCCCGTGTCCTATAACATGTAGCATTACCAAGCTCGGCTTCCAATAGAAAGCATGATTGTGCAGCTTTGGTGGTAAGGAGAACCAAACCTTTTGGACTTTCTAGCTCAGCCGCACTCCTGGAAATCTTATTCTTGCGACGTGAACTTATCTATTACACTGCCTACTATCCTGCACGGAAGGAATGTGGCAGGAGCTCAAGGACAAAAAGAGGTGATGCACTACGTTCGGATGAAATGAAGGACGTTGTGTGCTTCTATTTATACGACCCGCACCAGCCACCTCGACCCCCGTTCTGCCAAGACGGACGTTTTCGCGGCACAGCTACCTCAGCGCCTAGGTATTCTCTCCGCATTTTCGCTATGATTTTTTCATCAACCCATGCTAAATCTCATCTCTTACAATCAATCTCATCTCTAACTAGCAAGTTCTAGCATTTTCTGAAGTTTATGGCTTCCCTGACATGTTCCCTGCCGTGTTTCGGAGCGCAAGGCTGCAGACGCCCATATTACGGAGCCGCAGCTCAGATCCAACGGCTTACCGCGCGCCTCATGCATGATTCCCAAACAAGAAACGGGGTCCGTTTTCGGGTTTCCAAGTCTATTTCGAAACACGCCTGAGGTACACATGTTGCAGAATTGCTGTGCCGCAATCAACTCAAGGCCCAATCTCCCGCCATATATATAGACATGTCTGTAGTCGTGCAGGCGGCTGTGCCCCCTCTCGTGCCTCTCTCGTTGCGACAGTGTCCATAATCTCCAGTCGTCTCTCTTTTCTCTCTCTCCTAATATATCCCCCGCGATCCCAGCACCATACGCGCCAGGATGAGCAGCGCTTGCTACTTCCCCGACGGTACCAATACCAATGCCGCCTTTGTACCATGCAACCAAACCGCCATAGAAGAAGGTAAACATACCTCGTGCTGCGCGCCCGGCGACATGTGCTTCACAAACGGCATCTGCAAAGCCAATAACTCGAACCAGCTGAACTGGAACTGGCGGGATGCTTGTACGGATCCAACATGGAAGGATCCTGCGTGTCCAAACTACTGTAAAGGAACGGGTGCGTACCGAGTCCATCGCCGCAGAAACTAAGGCCGAAGCACTTAAGGCTAATATTTGGCGGTTTAGATCCAGGCGGCGCACACGTCATCTTCCAATGCCAGGAAGAAGATCTCTGGTGTTGTGCCTTCGACAACCCACCCGTTGGCCACTACAACTTCACCTGCTGCACAGTGGACCAATATGCGTTTCGAGCCGGCAAAGCCGTATTCTACACAACGGCGCAGCTGAATCTTGGTATCGAAACCTTGAGCAGCATTGCCTCCGCCTCGTCCTTCTCGACAGCCACCCTTGTCGTAGCATCAACAACAAGCGTTGCATCACAATCAATCGCTTCGTCCACAGCACGGCAGATCCAGGGCCCGTTTACTCCGAGCGTTCCGAGCGCTACAGCAGCTCCGGCCTCTCAATCCCATTCTTTGGCGATCGGCCTCGGCGTAGGGATACCTGTTGCGATTCTCCTCTTCGCGGTCGCGTGCTTCTTCTTTTGGCGCTTAGGCAAACGCGCTCAAGCCAAGGAGGAGCTTCCTATAAAGGAGGTCATATCTGAGGCATACTCGATGCCGGCGCATTCAATGACACAGCAGGAAGTAGCGCGGCTGGAAATCGATGGCGACATGTTAAAAGCCGAGATGGCGCATCCGCGCTCGCCCGTAGAGCTTGAAGGGCCCCGATGGGCGCCCCGTCCGCCGTCGAAGAGGGGCGCGGGGCATGATAACTTTTTTTGAGGTGAACGCAAGCATGCTTTTCCTCTTGCAGCCAGCTCTCTTTCTCTTCTAGTAGCATCAAGCATTTGATAAGGCGTTGTGCTGTGCCAGAAGGCATGCGGCGAGAATTATGTAAATATACAACATTCATAGTAATCAAAACACAGAGAGCGCCTCTCTACACAATCGGCACGCTCAAACTCCAATCAAACTGACAATTCAAGTTCGCCGCAGACATATCCGTCACCCCTCCCCCTGCCCCTCCACACCCACCACCCCCCATACTCTCCATCAACCCATCCCCGCCCCAAAACAGCATTTCCTGATTCGCCGCCACCTCGTCATACGGCTTCTCAAAGTCCTTGAACAGATCCAGCAGATTCTGACTAACCCCCTCATCCATCTGCAAATCGCTCATCCCGTCCGCCGAGTTGATGGGGAAAGACGGGAGAGATGGGTTGTTCTCCTGCTTCAGTTTCTCGATGACGGAAGACGCGACTTGGATTGCGGCGTCCAGCCTGTGTAGCATGAGGGCCGCGATGCCGAACCCAGGCGAGATTTCACGTAAGATGGAGAGGGCTTTGCCAAAGGCGCGGATGGCTTCGTCGCGGGCGGTGGGGGAGATCTGGTTCTGAGCGCTTTGGGCGCTGCTGTTGTTAGAGACCCCGCTGTTTTTGTTGGTGGTGGTTGTGGAGGTGGAGCCGTTGGCGGTGCAGGAGGCAGGCTTGTTCTCTTGCACGATCACGCAGATTAGCGGGATGATAGCGGCGGTCAAGAACATGGCGGCTGAGAAACGGAACATGTGCGCGTGCTGGTTTGAGGAGCGGTAGGCGTCGACGGCGTCGGTGGTTGAGGCGGCGATCCAGATGCTTTCTTCGGCCATTTTGCGCGAGCAGGTGAGGGTTACGAGGGCGCGGTGGCGCATTACCAGGCGCAGGTGGTTTGTATGCTTCAGCTTCGTTAGTGGGGGAATCTGGAAAATGGGTCCGAGGAGTTCGTCTTACAAGATGCGAAAGACACATGTGTCGTTTGATATAGCGCGGTATATCGCTTCTTCGACCCGGCTGGAGCGCGCTGGGGTCCCATTGCATGATCTGCGGCAGTGAACAAATGGAGTAGAGGATTTCAGTGTCCAGCGATGTTATGAGCTCCTCACTCGCGGGTTTTGGCGAGTTCGGCGTGAACATGGCGTCCCAAATCGTAGAGCAAAGCTGGGACCATTTCATACACGACTCAAGGTACGGGATGAATGAGAACGTAGGGCTCTCTTCCGGCAACGGACGATTTGGGTATAGATATCTATCGCCAACTCGTGCGGGGAATTCGACGTTGAAGTCAGACTCGCGGAGGAGATACGGCATATTCGCCCCCAACGCAATTCCACGATCCATATAGAACAGTGACCAGAATATTCGCTGCCTCATTGTCTTTTCGAAGGGAGTAATGTTGGACCATCGTGGCTCATTGTGGAGGCCGGTGTAGAAGCAGATCTGGACGGCTTTGCACATGGTGTCGTATGCTGACCTGATTCTCTGGATAGTGCTGAGATACCGTGCTTTGATCATCAGGCACTGTATGATTTGCATGTTGCCTCTGCTTAGCCACGAAACCCGGCTTAGGATCCGGTCCGCGTAGCAGAACTCCGGCCACCCTGGAATTGCGCTCTCAGCTGGGGAGTGCTCGCTCAGCAGCATTGATTCCGCGTAGATGAGATTGGCCAAGACGACGAAGAGGTCCTTGGATCGAGGATCGCCCTCGTTCCCGCCTGTGACCAAGTGGTTCTCGAACTGGAGCCTGAACTGATTCTCGTTGATAAAAGGGAGGTTCGGATTGATATTTGTAAACCACAAATCGAATGCTCGTCGCAGGCTAGCCACATTACTGATCCTAGCATTCGTATCCGGACTCGTAACATTCGTTCTCGAAGAAGGCGACACGACATCAATGTCCCCTAGCGAGACGTGATTCTCCGACTGCCTCCTGTTGACTTTTGTTCCCGGGCTTCGCCCGGCTGGTGGTTTCGTCTGGAGAGTACCATCTAATGCGTCTATCGTCTGCGACAAAGACGTATGCAGCTCCGTTTCATGACTCGGGTCCAGTGTATTCCCGCTCTCAGATTCTCCGGTAGGCGAGAGTATAGTGGCTCCGTTGTCAGTAGTTGCAGGTGTATTCTGAGAGGCTTGCGATGATGCAAAGACCTTCCTCTTGAGAATATTCTGCTCGCGTTCCACGGCATTCAACCGTTCTCCCATCTCATGCATCAATTTTATTAGCCGCTGGGTTTCCGCACGGCTCGTATCGAATGTTTGGCTCATTGATGCCGCTATAGTGATCTGCGTTAGATATAACTCCTCAAGATCACGGAGAGAGAGTACCTCTACTAAGCGCCAGCAACGGATCCTCAGACATCTGTTGATTGGAACTAAACACCGTCGTGCCGCTGGGCCGCAAACTTGGCTCCACGATGCTTGCTCTCCTCTCTCTCGATGACACCTCTGGGGTCCTTGGTGTTAGAAATGACGGTTCCCCAGACATAAATTGTGAAGGTGATCCGAAGAGCTGTGGATCCCTAGGGGACAATGGCAAAAAGCAGGTATTTGAATCTTCTTGCTGCTGTTGCTCAATCCCTGGTGTCTGCTGCGTCTCCATTTGCGTCGACTCCGTGGCTGTAGGTGTCGAGTGCACCCTAGGTAGATTCGTTCCTAACCCTAACGGCGGTCTTGTATGCGTCCTATGCCCTCTCCTGGAAGCCACATACTCGCATGCTTCATCCGCAAGTCGACATCTCTCACAGGGCCGCTCTTCAGAGCACTACTTATATCAGAACAATACTCATGCTTCAAGAATTCGGAAGTGTCAAACCTTGACTTTGCGCACTCGACAGTTGAGACTAGCATTATGAGCAAGACGATTAAAGTCAGACTAGCCTACTTACCATGCTCTCGATACATATCTCCTTCTTGTGCCATGCGGTAGCCGTGGCGGCTCCATCCCACCGGAGTTAGATTGCGTCGAACTCATCGCCACGCGCGCCTTTGCAACGCAGTCGCCTCAGGACTATTCCTTGGGCCTCAAAGTCTACCATTGTCGTCAGTCAAACCCCTAAACACCCTCAATGAACCGAAATCTCAATTCCTGGTCTTTCGCGCTCAAGATATTCATTGACATACAAATTGGCACTCCCGGATTCCCAGATCTCACCGGTCTCTCCGTTCTCAGCCCTTCAGCACTTGTCTCAACAAGCCAAATTTTCGTTCGTGTCTTATAGGACGTATGGGGCTGTATGGTCTTCCAGAGATAGCAATCAGAGCGCTAAATTGGACAAAAGACAGAAAGATACCCAGAAGCTGGCGATATTGCAGGTGTATCATGCATTTCCGGATTCCGGGGCGAAGCCAGCTGAACCCCGCTCCCCGTGCATCTTCTCCACACTTGGGCTTCGATGAACGTTCTCCGCAATTTGCTAGCCGGATGGGGCGTAGTAGGGGCTGGGGTAGAACGTCGTTATGCGATCTGTGGAGAAGAAGGGGAGGTGTGCCTATCGTGGTGGTTGAGTTTCAGACTATTCTTCCCAGGGAGATCACGTGACCCCAGTGGAGTATGGAAGAAGGTCTATGAACAGGTACACAGAGCAACTCATGTGATAGAATTTCTACGATATTTCACCTAGAAAACGGGTTCTAGATTCTAACGCGTTAAAAGTCTAATACCCCCTCTTAGCCCCTTAATCCCAACAACCCCCTCCCCCGTTATCTCACATCATACTCCCCCAATTCAGGACTGACAACCCACGCATGATACACCTCACTCGTCCACGGCATATTAACCCCTTGCCTCCCAAACTTATTCACGAAATACCCCGCGCCCTCCCTCTCCCAAATCAGCTTCGCATTCTCCTTATCCAGCCTCTCATTATACTCGTCATACACTTCTTGCTTTACTTCCATACTCCTCTTCCCGCCCTCAATCAGCTTCACAATACCCGCAATCACATACCTCCCCCAGATCTCGCTCCAGCTGTGCAGCGACGGCCCGCCCCGCGGCTGGTGGTTCGGACCATACAGCGTGAACAGATTCGGATAGCCTGGGATTGTAAGGCCCAGATAGCTGCGCGCGCCGTCTTTCGCCCACGTCTTATCGAGCTTCGCGCCGTCACGGCCAGTATAGTCGCAGGGATAAAGGTACTCAGTCGGCTTGAACCCGCAGCCCAGTACGACCAAATCAAACTCCCGCTCCTTCCCGTCGACCGTCTTAATCCCCTTCTCTGTAAACGAGGTAATCCCCTCGGTCACCAACTCCGTATTGTCCCACATCAGCGCGTCGTAGTAGCCGTTATCGACGACGAGCCGACGCACCAGCGGCGCGGATTCGGGGATCAGCTTCGGTAGCATTGGGGAGTCCTTGCCGACTTTTGATTCTATGTATGCGGTCAGGCCCTTACGCATGCCGTCGTTGCGCTCGTTGATCAGCCCCCCCTTCGCGATCCAGTCTTTGTCCTCGACTTGGAGGGGTGGCAGCTGCATGCCGCGCACGAATAGTGCGTAGCCGTACCAGTTGCGGTAGTAGGGCATGCGGTCGAGTAGCCAATCGAGATGCGCGGGGACTTTGGCACGGTAGCCATCGTAGGGGGCGATCCACTGCGGCGTGCGTTGATAAACTGCGAGGTGAGAGGCGGTTTTTGCGAGGCCCGGGATGAGTTGGGCGCCGCTGGAGCCGTTGCCGATGACAGCGATGCGTTTGTTGTGGTAGTCGTATGAGTTGTCCCAGGCAGTCGTGTGGAACATGGTGCCTTTGTAGGACTTGATGCCGGGGATGTCAGGAAGGTTTGCGGTGGCGAAGAGGCCGCCCGCACTTATGATGGCGTTGGCGGTCATAGGCTCGGTGCTGCCGTCGGGGAGCTTAAGGATGAGTTGCCAACTCTGAGATGCTTCATCCCAGGTTGCGGCGATGAGCTCGCGATTGAACTTGAAGCGGGGTTTAACGTCGTGCTTGATGGCGACGTAGTCCAGGTATTCGCGGAGTTCTTGCGCGGAGGGAAACATCTCTTTCCATTTGTAGCCGCGTTCAAACTTGTATTGGAATGAGAATCCGAGGGTGTCGACGCGGGCCTCTGGGTATGTGTTGATGATCCAGGTGCCGCCGGTGTCAGATTGTCGGTCGATAACTGTGTAGTTGATGCCGAGACGTTTCAGTGAGACTGCGGTGGATATTCCGTTGATACCTGCGCCAACCACAACAATATGAAAGTTCTTGAGCGTCTCTGGGGATGGTTGCTTAGTCCAATTTACTGCTCGGGGCATGTTCTCAAATGCTAGTTCTTCGTGGCCAAGGCGGAGTTCGCTGGGCTTCAAGTTCTCTCCTGTGAATATCTTCATGAGGTTCGAGGAATCTTCGAAGGAGGGTTCCGAGAATTCAACTGGCGTAATAGGAGCCTTGCGTTGCTCCTGCAGCGTGAGGAACTCTTGTGCCTTCGCTTTAACCTTCTCTTCATCTTCTTTGGATATCACGTAGTCCGCCATTGCGCCACCACGGATAGGCTCTTTCGAGACTTTCATATCTCTAAGCTCGGCATCTCCTGTTACCTGGTAGAGTGCCAATCGGAGTGCATTAACTGTGGCTAGGTTTATCGCATCTTTGATGAATTCCTCGTCAACCTGCACTGTTTCGATTTTGCTGGTTCCATTGATAGTGATCGGTTCGTTGTCATGCAGGTAATGATTCTCTGAAGATGGCTCTGTGGGATTTGGGAGTTCAGGCTCGGTCAGGGTGGTCGCGGATGCCATCGTGAATCAGAAAGTGGTGGTCTAGTCTGTGTATCAAGGTCGAGCGTATGCAACATCTCGAGATCAGAGTTGGTGTAGTGCCTTATACAAGTTCGGAATCAATTTTCGACAAGACAACGGATTTAGCAGTGGACTTAGCGGTATTGGGATGGTATGAGTAGTTGAGGCTGATGGTTGGCGGTTCTCCACATTCCGGAAGTTGGTGTCCACGGAAACGCGGCTTTCGGGATCAGCAAGCTTCGTTGAGCGTAGTATCTCCACGGGGTAGATCACATGACACACTCTGGAATGTCCAAGAGAAGTGGAGGAAGAAACCCCGTAGTAACACCATGTGACGTTGGGTGGAAGAGTTAGCATGCGAAGTAGAGGTGAGCAATCTTCAGAGGGGTCTGCATCAGCATGCCAAGCCGCGTTATGCAGTCTCATAAGTTCCATATCATCTTTCATTATCTTAACTCAAAATTGAATCCACCTGTATCATGGCGCGTATCGACTGCAGGCTCAGCGCTTAAGGCATGCCGTGCGACGGTGGGTGGGAACGTAAGGTCCTCGTGACTCCGGACACCCTTTTGATATTTTGCTGGAACCGCCCTGACAGGGCCGGTGATCTCCGTCTCCAATCCAAGGCCATGCAGTTCGATGCTATCTTTGATTATGTGTCGTGGTGGCGACGCTGACCGGCGTTGTTGTTCAGAGACTTCCGGGGCAGAACTGACCAGAGTCCTGTGTGTGTAGGTGTACGTAAGGACATCGACACACCCGCAGGACGTCATGACGCATCCAGCGACCAGCAAGTATGCGTCTGGGAGGGTGTAACCACTCATTGCGATCATGCTACCGATGGCGAGTGGGCTGATTAGAACGAGATATGCACCTGCATACAGAAACATGTACCAGGTAGCTCTCCACAAGCTCTTCGTGGTGGCCGACTCGTATGATAGACCGCTTTTTGGGTCTTGCAGCTGATTCCGCATTCGATGAAAGAGGTACAGATAAATGCGGAGGGTTGACGCTTGGTCGATGAAGATCCACAAGTAGTGAAAGAAGAGACGCTCGGACTCGTATTTCGGAGAAACCCAACACTAGATAGCGTTAGCGTGTAATTGTGAAAGATAATTCACAATGACATACCCAAGCTCCTGCCCGAGTGAAAAAAGAATTCTTGTGTAGGATGGGGCCAATGTTCGTCATTACTATGGCGAAGATCCAGATCGCAACAATGCTGAGAACGAGCGCGTTGAAACCAAGCTTATAGTCAAAACAAATCAAGCAGAGAGTACTTCGTATGAACGGCGACGGCGAGGACAAAAGCTCCGCTGGCGACGTCCCCAATGTGTAGAAACCAAGCCTGTGTAAAACAGGCTGTCGTTGGAGCTATGATCTTGCCTAAGCCGACCCAATGCCATGAGATCATGAGCGCCAGTGCCGGTTGAAAGTCTGCAATGAGAAGATTCAAAATGAAAAGCACATATTGGTTCGCCTGAATGTATTGCCTGTAGCAATACCTCCAGGTGTAGAGGCAGTGCGCAATCAACGCTATGAGCACAGAGGTCGAGAGGACGGAAAAGGTCGCGAAGATGGCCACGCCAATGAGACCTTCTCTCATCCCTCGAGGCATCGGATCAATAGAGTATGGAAATGGAAACATCTCGGCACGACTATTGAATGCCATATCGGAGGAATTCGGTAATGTAGCGCTTTGAGTGCGAGAAATGGTGCACAAACGGTTAAGAGAGGCCTAAGTTACGGCCAGAATGGCAACGAACAGCTGAGCAGAACTGCATCGAGTAGTGTAGAGTACCGGCGATGGTTTCCATGGTAGGAGAGAAGGTGCATTACCAAAATGTGGAGATGTTAAGTTCCCCGACTATGGGAGCGCGGGTCCTTGCGCAGGGTCCATTAGTGTCTCATGCTGATCCGCAGCCACAGCAGACAAAGGGTACAGTAAAACGTCGTTATAGGGGTCGGTGACTAGGGGTATTATCACTCTTTACGTAAGGTCGCGTGTGAGGGATTTGTAAGCAAGTCTGTCCCAAAACAGCCCAAAACGGCCCAAAAAGGGGGCGGCTGAGGGGCTACGGACCACTCTCTAATGATATAGGAGGCAAAATCTTACAATCCAGCAATCTGTATCACTGTATATCACTATACACCGGTATCACTATACCGAGGTTTTACTGTATGCACAGAAGCTTTGGCGTTATCTTGACGGCATATCAGCCGAACAGATGCTGCCACCTAATGCGCCAATAGCAGGCGGGCCGATCCCTCCACGGCCCCGTGCATCTCGCGAGCCCCATGCACCTCCCTGGTCTCGCTGGCGGCGCTGCGTTTTCTGCTTTGGTGTGCACTGCGGCACTTGGGCAGTTGAATGAATCAGGAGACCCGCGCCAGAAACTGTTGACAGCGAAACAGCAATCTGTGACACTAGTTGCATGCCTGTTCGCTGGCTCGAGCCAGGGGAGCTACAACCCAAATTGGGCATCATACTTCCAACGGATCAGCTTGATAAAGCAACTTCTCCACATGTCGTATTCGCTGCTGGCAACGAAGTTGTCACCGCGTGTGAGACATTTCTTCAGCATGACACCCATGACATTGAGCTCCAGCAGCGTTTCGCCCACGGAAGGCTCGACGTCCCGCATGCGTTGGATTTGCTGCTCGACGATCCCTTCATGCAGACGGTAAAGCAAAGTCACCTGCTTCTCTGCGTCATCTTCTTGGTAGTCCCGGCGGAAGATCTCTCGCCTGTAAGTTCCGCAGGCCTCGCCCCATGGTCTTCCCTGGCAGGTAACATAGAGGTCGAGCTGGAAAAGTATTCCATCGACTTCGAGCATGTATATATGAGGATGAAGGTGAAACAATGCATTAAACGAGGTAAGTTATGTATTGGATAAGCATCTATCTAGGCTACGTACGCCGTATATATACTCTGTGTATATGGAGGCTTACTAAGCCGTACCGTAGAACTGTAAGGGCGAAGTATAGGAACCGTGTTACTCAGGTTGAAATTGATGTGAACTCTGATTTCTATGGGTGTCTAGCTCGTTGTTTATATACTAGGGGAAGGAGGGGGGCCAGCCCCGGGGGCATAACGTGGTATCTCTTCCTGACGCGTTACTTGATTCATCCTGTTTCCTGATACAGTACTGATACCGTGCTGCAGCACTGCTGTTGCACTACCTGTTACTTCCTCCTGTATCAGCATGCTATCCTGATACGTTACTGCATATGAGTTGCTGACCCTAGGTTGTAGTGCTGCAACCCGAGTGTAGAGCTTCAAGCGTTTTGCGAGATTTCTGATGAAATAGGTGGCCTGAACCCGTTCGTAGGTTCTGTAGAGTCCAGCGTGAGATTGAGTATCGTGGCACTCTCTAAAGATGTCGCCTTCCAAGGCCTTCCGTCGAGTGCGTCTATGTGGTAGATGAGGCCTTGGTGTATGAAGAACGTGATTCCCGGCGGGCTTGCGTTCGAGGCCTCAGGTTTGTAGGCTTTGGCGCCTGCTTCTGAGAATACTGTAAGTAGAGCGCGTACACCCAGTGCTTGTCCGTAACGTAAGCCTGGATCAGCTGGTCGCGAAAGTCGTCTGCAAGCTCTATAACCGACAGGTTGAACGTAAAAAGCTCCTCAAGCGTGTCGGACGAGCTGTCGGCAGGCCGGCGGTTAGGGAGGCGGGACAAGGCATCTGGGACTATGTGCTGTTTCCCGGAGCGGTGAGTTAGGTAAGCATGTCTAGCTTTGTGGGGTAAGCTCAGTGTATCATGTGATCCATCCTGTGCACGGATCTTCGAACTCGATGCTAGTGGGCGAGGAGTCACGAGGATGGTTTGTCGAAGAGCGATTGGGACGGGTTTGGCATAGGGTTCGGCGGATTTCTAGCGCCGAGGCGCGTTGACGTTATTCCGGTCCAGCTTCCTGAGCTTGCAGCCGTCGTGCCTCCATCGTTGCATTCCCTTCCTTAACTTTTGCTCCTGACATTGCATATTTATTCCCATTCATTCATGTTTCTACACGTCTCTATGAGATACTACGCAACCGCAAATAGCTAATATCAAATCGAGCAACCTAAGAGCGACGTTAACTACTTGCGTGGAGACACGCAGGGCATCGCTCATGACCACATCCAGCGCAGCTCCCTTCTGTAGAGAGCTTGACCCGACATTGGCAGGAACAACAGTGGCGATTAGGTCTTATCCTAGGGCACCTTTCCAGCAGCTTCTCTGCTAAATCTTCAGCTCTTCTAACTTCCCTCTCGATTTTGAGATTTGCGGGAAGTGTATCTAGATCTAGACTGTCTTCATTTGCTGTTGCTGTTCCGGTATTCACTCCGCGTACTGTATCTACAGTGGTATCTGAGGTGGTATCTTCGGTAGGTGCGGGGGCGTATTTGGCTGTCTTCTTTCGATCGCCTGTAGCCTCTCCTACTGCCTCTGCAGATCTTCGTTTACGAAGACGAGGTGATGGAGGACTCAGCGAATCTGGCATAATTCCCTGTCTTCGCAGCTAAAATCAATAGCAGTTCATTAGCTTTCTTATCAAAAGAGAGATCGAATACTGCTGTTCTTACCGTAAATAACGGCAGCAAAACTGGGAATCAAAATTCCAAGGGGCTAAAGCCTTTAAATGTAGAAACCTTGCACCTTGTATTCGTTAGGGATGCGCCCGAATCATTCAAGTGTGCCCCAATATGAAGCATTGGAGACCCATTCCTTGTAGCGTTCCTCTCCGCTCGACATTCGACGTATGTGGGCCCGGAGTCGGCGAGCAGAAGCATGGCTCAACGAAATCGAGACGCTGTAGAGAAACAATGTTCAACAGTTCTGTGCGAGAACTGGAGCTAAGACCGGACACTGTATACCAAAGCCTTGATATTCTGCCTCTTGATAAGAATCGATCTATATGCGTAGAGCATACCGCCAAATATTACCAACGCAAAAACCAGTTTCAGAAGGTGAGCATTAAAGAGATTTGCTAACTGTCTCGTGATGGGCTTCTGGCACAAGAGCAGAGATATGCAAGCTAAAGAGGGTAGGATACAAAAGAAGTTGCAATTCAGAAATGGATCTAATATATAATCGAATCTTCCCCCCCCCTTTTTTTTCCCAGCCAATTCCAGGTTCAAAACCGAAAAATATCCTGATCCTTTCTCCCCCTACAGCAACATCCAGGTCAAGGTGTCTCTCATTACGTGCTCGGTATTGTTCGACCTTTATGGGACCCATGTGGTGCATGATATGCGTTTGTGCACCCATCATCGGCTGAGGCATTGTTTGCTGCTGCATCCAACATGACTGGCATTCGGCATGTACCACTGGTGACCTCCAGGGCCCTGGATCATCGGCACGATTATATCCTCGGTGCTCCTCCTCTAGATACGGCGAGTAACCTGATACAGGAGTGCTATAGCCCGGCATGGGCTGCATGGGTTCCATGGGCTGCTGGGCTACTGGTGCGTTTTCTATTAGGCGTATTAGTGGCGCGGTCTCGTGTATGTATGTGCATGTAGGGTGCTACAACTGCCACTGGTCGGATTGTAAAATATGTGGGGGAGAGAAGGGCGCGTGGTGCGTGTAAGTGGGCCTGGGCAGGGTCGGGGAGGACCTTCTCCTGTAATCCTCATTATTGTGCTTTAAAAAAGCGTAAACGCCGCGTTACTACTATTCCTCAATTCGACGGAATCGATCTCTACACCGTTCCAATATCCTCACCCAAGGAGTTGTGGACCAAGCTTCGGGACAATAGTGTTATCATTCATCACGGCCAGTACACCCAGAATGGGAATGTTTTACACATCGGACTCGAAGGACCGCGCGACTTGCTAGAAGGTTTTGGATTGATCCTTGCCTCTATGTAAGTATTTTATACCGTTTGATTCATTTACTAACGTTCTGGTGTAGGTAATCCACGCTTTTTCCTGTCTATGAGGTGAAGTTTGGGGACTTGCACTTATATTCTTCGATTACAAAACGGGACATGAGGGCGTCAGAAAGAGATGGGGCACTAGCAGGTCTCCTCAACTCCACTTTGCAATTGCTCTCCTTTTTCCTATCTCTACGTTACTTGTTATCCCTCTTAACTAGTGTGTAACGCGCATAAGAATCTGCTTTTGTGCCAAATTGTAGTAGCCAGGTCGCTGGCCTCACATACCTCTCTTATGCGGATTTACACATCCTCATCATTATACTTCCAACTTTTCCGCCATATTATTCCGTCTCTGAGCAACTGTAATCCCGCTAGGTATACACATGCATTCAATAGTCATGGCGGTTGACGTACCTGTGCGAATTCCCTCTCCCAGCAGGGCTTGCACCAAATCTTCATACACTTATTGCACCAATATGCATATTTGTGTTGAGTGTCACAACAAAGAGTGCAGGAAGTACCCATATCTCGGGTGCGGTACTCAATCGTATGCTGGAAGACCGAGTATAAGTTTGGACCAAATGCTTCTTCACATTCGGGATGGCGTTGAATACCCATTTCCTCAATGTGTGGGAATATGCAAGCAATCACTAATAAGTACCGTGAGCTGATTGTCCAGTTCTCTGTCCCCTCTGGCTGAATGTGCTTTATATTGCCCGCTTCGCAGAGGACGGTAGGCAATCTAATAACGGGAGAGGTGTTCCCATGCGTAGCCGCGTGGAAAGCGGGTCATTGGATCCACGCAGGCTGAACGATTCTGAAAACCCGCAGAGACAGCGCGATTGAGAGTGGAACTGGGGATGACGTCACGGCGAAACCCGTTCACCACTGTGTGGAAACAAGGGAGTACGCACAGAGGCCCATGCACGTGCACGCTAGGAGCGCCCATTCTCAACAAAGAGAGTGACAAGCAGCTGCGCTTTGTTCGCCAGCGAGTTTGCGATGGGTAGGCTGGAGCATGGTGTTAATGTTCGGCCCTCGAAGAGCGGGGTTGTGCCAAGAGCCACCTCAGCTCAAGCTCATGATGTCCTCATAAATTATCACCTCCTTGCTGACTGGAGCTAGTGATTCATCCCGGGCTTCCTTCATCGCCATATTCCGGTTCATGGCCAAGTACCCTGAGCACGCGGAGAAGGTGTATGCTGAGCTTCAAACCGTTGATATCCACGATGCCAATGCGCTCGCTTCCCTGTCCCATATGACTGCAGTCATTAAGGAGTGCTTACGACTGTTGCCCCCGGTTCTCACGGGTAATGGTCGAGTCACTGGTCCTGGGGGCTTGGTTATTGATGGCACATTTATCCCCGCGTACACTAAAGTCAACGCTCCCAAGTATGTACTTTAGAGACGTAAGTAAAAGTCATACCTCAAGACGACTGATATCTAATCCTCCGCTTAGTTCCTGAAGCCTTCATACACCCAGACGACTTCATCCCCGAGAGATGGTACTCTCGACCGGAACTCATCATCGACAAGCGCGCCTTTCGTCCCTTTGGCGTCGGTAAGCTTCAAACCCTCTCCCCGTCCAGACGTTTCGTAACATTGCCAAGGAAACCGCACCTGCGTCGGCAAGACGTTCGCATGGCTGGAGCTTCGTCTCGTGACTGCGATCCTATTGCATCATTTCACGGTCGAGTTTGCGCCGGGATACAATGAGGATGACATCTTCACAGGACTGAAGGACCATGTCACTGCGCAGCCGGGAAGAACAATGTGCTTGTTCCATCCTAGGACGGCAGCAAAGTAAAGAATGTGGATTGATGAGATACGAGGTACAAGATATTCCCGCCGTTGGGTGGGATTCTGCAACAGAGCTCGAGAATTTCCCTCTTCCCCGTCGTCCCTCTTCCTTTCTTTTTCTACGTCGCAAGTAGCTTCGGGAGGTAAGCGTGCTATTGTCCCCTCAGACTTTAGGAACTCGAAGTAGCGATCACGGATACTATTACACATCACGCGCATCTCCCTCAGCAACTGAAACTTCAGGAGTTCCGCGACAGCCTTTGTGAAATGTGAAAAGAGTCAATGACTGGTGTTACCTCTGCAGCCGTTACTCTAACTGCGGTCTCCGCTCTAGCCGCCTTTCCCTTATCCAATCCGTCACTTGGTAATATGTGCTACCGCACGACCCACTTGTGCCCCCCGTTCCACTACATAACCGCGGATACCAAGTCCCAATGTACATCCCGAAAAATTTGCTTTCGGCCCTCCGCCGTCCCCATAGACCACACTAATTAAACGTTACTAGCACGCAAAACTGCCGCTCCAGTGAAGACAAACCCCGTAACATCTCGAATCCTCCTCGCCACACCCAGCTTCAAGACGGTCCGCCCGCCTCTAGCAGACCGCCGTATCCGTCGTGCAAGAAGGATCGAAACAGCGGTGAGGCTGAAGATATCTTCGCGACTGTGCCTTTTACCCTTTCACTAGCTCATCATAAACGTGATAAAACGTAGGAGCAAGAGCCTAAAGCAGCAATGAGAGAGAGCTCGCGCGTGCGGGAGGTGAGTCGTTGCGAGTATAGATAGCCAGGACTTGAGATCGGACAACTCGGCCATCAGTTTCAATCTATCATCTTCATTATGTCTACAACTTGCTGTTTGATTTAGATGGCTGCTGATAAGTTAAACTTCCGGGTGAGCGGTTCAGATGGGTGCTCGTCCGACGTCGCTGTCCCTCAGACATCAGTCCACCCGCAGGCTTCCCACTTATTGCGTACCCCCAAACTTAACCTGCTCTCCACCCTGCGATTCAATTTCTACAACCTCTACCTCATCACAATCGAAGACACTCCCACATTTATCCTCCCAAACACCATTTTTGGTCTTTCAAGCGCCCTGACCCCTTCTCTTACCAACTGCACCAGCCATGCCTCCCCAGTCACCCCACTCCCTCGGAATTTGCTACTCCAAGCAGTCATCCACACCCTCCTCTTCAACTGGACCAACCTCCTCCTCTTCGACCTCTCCAACCAACGGCTCACCTGCGCCGAAGATCGTCTGAACAAACCCTGGCGTCCTATCCCCTCTGGTCGCATGACCGCCGTTACCATGCGCCGCTGGCTCATCTGCTGCATCCCGCTCGTTCTAGCCTACAACCACTTTATCCTCAGCACCGGCGGAGAAACGGCGGTATTGATAATCCTGACGTGGTGCTACAACGATCTCGGCGGCGGCGATGAGAATTGGCTCGTTAGGAACGGGATCATCGCGTGCGCGTTTGGGGGTTATAATCTCGGCAGTCTCCTCCGAGTTTCAGCAGGAACACTCTACCCTACCTCATCTCTGTCCCCTAGAATGGGCGTAGAAGTCTCCCACCTCGGCCTCACCTGGACTACCCTCGTCTCGACCGTAATCTTCAGCACAATGCACGTTCAAGACATGAAAGACGTTGCTGGCGATCTCGCGCAAGGCTGCCGCTCGCTTCCCATCGTGTATGGACGCCAGGTTGCGGGGTGGAGTGTTGCGGTTCCGTGGTGGTGTGGTCGGTTGTGTGTGTTTAGTTTTGGGCGTCGAAGAGGGCGGTGGTGGTGGTGGGCCCGCTGGGATTGGGGATTTGGGTTGCGTGGAGGTGTGTGAGGAGGAAAGGCGCGAGGGAGGATAGGAGAGCGTGGCAGTTTTGGTGTGCGTGGATGGCGGTGGTGTATTTGATGCCGCTGCTTGAGGGGAGGGGATAGTGGTGTTGCAGGGAGCGGCGGGCTCCGCAGTATAACGTTCGTTAGGGGGAGGTCAAAAGGACCGTTACGTGGTGGCGTTCCGACTAGATATATTGTAGTAGTGCCGAGACTTAGGACGCCCTAAATCTTCATTTGCTCCATTTTGGGTCTATCACGATTGCCGTTTGGGGCGTTTCAAACCGCTTTGAAATGCCGCAAACACTTTTTGACAATTGATGTAGGCTTGCTAAACACGTTGATATTCGGGACACGTCCCTGCTAGGCTATCCCTATGTTCGGCACCACTCCAGGGCTATTCGACGGATGTTGGGAACTCCCCGAGCATGAAACCAGAAGCTGCATCTGGAACGGGATCGTAACGCAGGAAATGGCGATTCTGCTGGGGCGACTTGGCCTGCTGGGAGAGTGGAATGGTCAGATTTCCCACACACATTGTCTAGGTGTGAAGCTACTGCGATGAACCAGGGGGAAGCCGAGACGTAAGCAATTGGCGCAATACTGGCATCTCCGCAGGGATGAGCGTCTAGCTTGTTCGACCGAGTGGCCCCAGTCTTTGCTAAGGTTCCTGGGAGAAAAGTCTTTACAGGTTCCATTGAACTCTAATAGATTTGTCACGTTAGAGGCGTTAGAGAATAGTCGGTAGCGACGGGGCTTCGGGCGCTCGTCCGAATGTACCCCGCGATGTCGAGATGAGACGGTAGCGAGAACGTATTGCGGCGCCGTAGAAGCATTCGCCCGCGAGGTTTCGGTCGATGCGAGTGGATGGTGAATGGGACAGAGTTGGTTGGTGGAAGGACCAAGGGGACGTTTGGGCCTGGGGAATCCATGTGCATCGTGGCACCCCAACCGCACTTCAGGGGCTCGCTGTCTCTCCCTGCCGTCTTCTGCACCAAGACCCTGAGACCCGTTCGAAAATCCGGGGCCCATGTGTCACAGCTCCTCAGTCTCCCCTGCTGCGAACATATCCGGCCAGCAAAGAGCCGCCCGTGAGTGTGAGCACCACTCGCGACTGTCACGGCATTTCCCGTACCCCGGCGACTGCAAAGTTTGTTCATCCGTCGCACTCGGCTTTGCTGCATCCCACCCAGCTCGTCTTGATACGCATATTGTGGCTTTCTCATACGAGTTTGGTTAAGGACAAAGCTGGCATCGTCATCCACAGGGGGCCCCTCTTCGCCTTCTCTCGGTTTCTTCGGGTGCGGAGACCGCAATGCCGGCCCACTTGATCAGGATAGCTCACACTTGAAACGTTTCTCTGTAGGCTGCAGCAGCTCTCGCCATCTGGTGGGGCAGTCCGTGCTACTGAGTGCATTGAAGACTCTATCCCAATGGTTTCTGTCCTCTACGTAGACCGCCGTCAACTGTACCGGCTGGAACCTCTCAAACCACTAGATGTAAGGAAATCTCACGTTGGGTTCAGGCACCGAATGCTCTTCACGCTACTCTCCTGCTCTCACATCTAGGCTACTTTTCGAACCTTCCAACCTTCAGATACCTCTAGGTAGTCTTTGCATCTAGCCTCTACCAAGACGGTGCAAGACGACTTGGTCCTCGTGCGGGACACTCCACGCTGGGCATAGGCCTAGAAGTAGCCTCCATCTACGTTGACCACCTGGTGTCATAGTTAGCGATATGAAGTACCATAGAAGAGATGGGAAGACCTACCGATGCAGTGATGAAGCTTGCCTCGTCACTGAGCAAAAATAAAATGGTCTTCGCTATCTCCTCCGCTTCACCAATTCTACCCAATGCTGTGGTCGCTAGGAACGCTTCGCGTGTGGTGCTCGGGGTCGCAGTTAATGCTGTGGCTACCACACCTCTACACGCTATTAGCCTTCGTTTCAATCCACCCTTAGATGGATCTTACGGTGCCACAGCGTTCACTCGAATCCCTTGCTTGCCAACTTCTTTTGCCGCAGTCTTTGTGAGTCCGATGACTCCCCATTTACTAACTACATATCTATTGTTCTTCGTTAGCAGCTGTGGAAAGCGATGACGTAGGTAGGATCTAGAATCTACGTACGGAGAGCAGTTTGGTGGTCCGTATTGTCCAGCGGTACTAGCAGCATTGACGATGGATCCAGGGCCCTTTATAGCTTGCAACTGTGCTCTCAGACAGTTCTTTACTCCGTCTAGATTCGTCTTCATAATCATGTCCCAGTCATCATCCTCAAGAGTGGTAAGGCCAAATCTTCCAACTGGAGTCTTTCGGGTTGCTGCTATCCCGGCCATGTTTGCGGCCCCTGTTTCTCTCAGTACTGATATCGGAACCAAGATCTGGTATGTCAGAACGTACCATGTAGACTCCCGAATTTATTAACCACCGCCTCTGTCGCACTATCGACCGCTTCACGGCTTTGGACGTTACAGGCCAGAGCAAGACAGCTGCCTCCCGCTTTTTCAATCTCTGCGGCCACCTCATCTGGTGATCGAAGATCGAATAGACCGACATTCGCGCCTTGTTGCCCCAGCAGGATAGCAGTTGATCGACACATCCCGGACGATGCACCCGTGACTATAAATGTCTTTCCCGCGAGACTTTTGTACGACATGTTGAAAGAATTCTTCTTTGGTTTTTTCTCTCGTGTTTTGTTCTTCGTGACTTCGGATTTCAGTCAGAAATCAATATTTCTGCTTTCAGCGGTGTCGCTTCGGTGCTGCTTGAACTGAGGACAACGCAAGCTCCTCCACAAACAACTACAACAATCCAACCCAAGACCCCACGTTTCCGCGTGCCCCTCATCAAAGCCACTAAATACCCCGCATAAAGCCGTTTATGGTTCCGCGAAGCATCCCACCAGATTTCCAGTTCTTAATCCCGCGAGAGCCAATGAGAACAATGCCTTTTCCGGTGACATTCCGGAACCACCTTTTTTGGACCTTTGTATATCGCGACTCACGACATTTCTGCCGCTCTAGATTCAGCATTCAGTTCAAGCCAGCTCATCTCTTCGCGTCATGGAGGCAGTCAAGTCTGACCCAAGAGTGACAGCGGCAGTTTCAGCGGGAGTGCTAGGGTTGGTGTCGCATCAGATTTTCAAGCGCAATGAACCGACGGTGTAGTGAGTTATGGCGATCTCGAAAACGAGGTATGAGGAAACTGATTGTGCACTAGTTCATTCGCAAACCATGTGCTCATTGTCAATGCTGGATTGACCATACTATACAAGTATTTGCAAGGGAGCGTCGACCAACTTGCCGTAGTAGCGCTTGTAGATTTCTTTGTCTATCTTTTTACACTGAGGCAAGTCCACAATGAAGAACCGAATCAATCGAGTCAGCGGTGCTGATGGGTTTATAGCTCGAGCATAGTACTGTATCGAGTCTTTTTCCATCCGCTCAACCAATACCCCGGCCCTATCCTCTGCAAAATCACCAGATTCGCATCCAGCTGGCATGTCATGACTCGCGATTCCCATGAGTGGCAGATTTCGCTTCACAAGAAGGTATGAATTCGGATGCGTCAATGAACATTGCATACTGAGAATTGCAGTACGGAGACGTAGTCCGTCTCTCCCCAAATGAACTCTCCTTCATATCCGCATCCTCAGTCGACCAACTCCACGGCAGCAAAGCCGGAAGGCTAGCCCGTGGGCCCTTCTACTCTGGCGACCCCAACCGACCAGCCGATTCTATGCTCTCCACTCAAGATCTCAACGAGCATAGATGGCGGCGCAAGACATGGGAGCGAGGGTTCGGCAGCAAGCAGCTTCGCGACTTTGAGCCGCGTGTCATTCGCCTGTTGGACATACTGGTCTCACAGCTTCGAGAGCGCGTTGGGAGTAAGTCAAACTCCTTGCCCAAGATGCACAGATATTCACAAGATTCGGTTAGCAACCCAGAACATGACCCGCTGGTCTGAATATTTCGCTTACGACGTAATGTCTGACCTCGCCTTTTCTGAGGACTTCGGAATGTTGAAAGCAGCCAAACCGCATCCATACATACCCGCGCTCCACGATGCCACCAGACTGCTCGTCATCGCGTCTCAAACTCCCTGGATCCGGCCTCTGATGCCCTGGTTCCCAGTTGAAGCGCAGTCGAAGAGGGCAGGGAAAGAGTTTGCGCGGATCTCGAGGGAGACGTATTTGAGGAGGAAGGCGAGAGAGGTCAAGGAGCCAGACATGTATGAGTACATCGCGTCGCCAGATAGGTCGGGGCCAAGGCCGCTTACTGAGGCGGAGGTTGTGGCGGACTCAGCGCGTAAGTATGCACTTGAGGCCTGAAAGATTTCGTACTGACAATAGGACAGTCCTGATTGCCGCTGGCGCGGTGTCGACAGCTCTCAGCATCACATTCATGTTCTTCCATCTGCTGCAAGACCCGAAGCAGATGGCGCGTCTGCAAGCCGAAATTGACAGCTGTTGGGACGGCGTGACGCCTCTCGACGTGACTATGCTGGGTAAGCTTCGTCCACTCTGCTCTCACTCCCTTTTAAGCCGAACTTTCGCTCTTCACATCCCAATCTTCCGTCCTATTTCATCTATGTACCCTTTACTAGCCATTCACTTTCCCTCCTCTAACGCCCTCTAGCACCCCAACGCGCCCCTTACCTCGACGGCTGCATCAACGAATCCCTCCGCCTGTGGCCCCCCGCCCCGAACGGGATGCAGCGCCGCACCCCTTCCTCCGGCATCGTCGTCGACAACCGCTTCATCCCGGGCGGCACCCAAGTCTCCAACCACACGATGGGCATCCAACGTGACGCGCGGCACTTCACCAACCCCGATGCCTTCATCCCAGAGCGCTGGATCGATAGCGAGCGCCCTGCGGACTGGCACCACGATGTGCGGGCGTTTATCCCGTTCACGATCGGGCAGTTTGCATGCTTGGGGAAGAATCTGGCGTATCAGGAGCTGCGGCTGTTTATGGGGGGTGTGGTGAGGAACTTTGAGTTTGCGTTTGCGGAGGGGTTTAGGGCGGAGGTGTTTGAGGGGCAGATTAAGTTTAAGGGGACTTTCTTGATTGGGGAGTTGCCGGTTGTGTTTAGTGATAGGAAGGCGGGTTAGGAGGGATGAAGGGGTGAGAAAACGGCCTGAGGGACTTCAGAGATATTTGGAAGTGGAATATATGGGATGGTGTAGAGGCTGCTACTGGAGAGCAGTGATGTGTGTGGTGTTCAGACATCGCAGAATTATAGGCGTCCTCAAAGTCTCTACATCATCGTACGCAGATTTCTGGTACTACACAGGGACAGCCCAGACAGCGGTAGAACAGTTTGCTCAGGCTTATATCTAGGCGTTTTATGCCAGGGTTCTTGCCAGTGGATGAACAGCAATAATGGGAATTACGAGTGTGTACAATATGCAGCGCTTGATGGAGGGCTATTTGGGAGGCTAGGTGAGAGGCAAAAAAGTCACCCCACCACTGATTTTCATGGACATTGACGTTCTATTATATGGTAGGGCAACCGTACCATATTAATCTTCCACCTTATTAACTTGGAATCTTATTAATCTAAATCACTCGGTGCTCCACACTTCACTGCGAGCCAAGACCTACTCACTTTAGTAGGAGTGAAACGACCCAACCATGTAAATTTGAGCCACTTCAATATTTTACTCGAATGAGTTTACAATCAAAGAAAGGTACTCTGAAAGGGTGTAAAGAACTTCCCATTCTAGATGAGGGAACGCTACTGCACGTGCTGCTATTTGGCGCCTCAGGCGTCTAGGATTCCCCACCCGTGCGTCGATGACCAGCGATTGGAACGGCCACCTCTCTGACGGCACGCGCCTCCAACCTTCGATATCAACACCACGCGCCACACTCACGATCCGCCACTCGAATGCCCGGGGAGCTGCAGATGGCTGCTTGCACCCTTAATTGCCCTCCTCTCCCGTAGCGATGGTGACGTTATCCGCCTTCGTCTTCATCTACGTGCTCGGCGGCATCAGCTTCATCCCACTTGTAGTGGCGGCAATACTCCTCCACGCCCACTTCACATTCCCTACTCGAGCTCCCGAAGAACCTCTAGACGGGGCTGCGGCGTTTTCTGCGAGGGATGCCGAACAACAGCGTCGTGACCTCAACACGGACGAGGATAACCTGCCAGAAGAGCTCAAACCTCGCGCCCACGAGCCAGATGTTGCCGCCGGATACTTTGCAGTCTGTCGAGAATATGTACCGGGTGGTGTGAATGGGAAACCTCCGGAGAGGACCACGCCGGCGGGCGTGGTGGTCGCCAACGAAAGCCCCAGCGTGTACCAAAGCATGTATAGAAGCATCTTTGACCGCAACAAGGGCCAGCCACCTTCCCTGGATAGTGCCAACGGGAAGACTAAGAAGGCTAGGAATGTCTTCTTCGTCGTGTTGAGGTGCGCACCCACTACTCGCTTCATGTGGAGTAAGCTGATTGTTTAATAGACACGGCCACTTGATGCTCTATGACGACTCCGAACAACTCGACGTGCGCCACGTCATATCCCTCGCATACCACGATGTGGATGTCTACGCCGGAGGAGAAAAGATACCAGAGGGAGAGCTTTGGATCAAGCGGAACTGCATTCGACTGACAAGGCGGAAGGTTGTTGGGGATATAACGGATGAGGCGAAACCATTCTTCTTATTCTCTGACAATTGCTCAGAAAAGGAGGATTTCTACCACGCTATGCTCCAGAACCAGGAGCGGAACAAGACGTCGCCTCAAAATCCACCGCGACCCTTGCTGTTCGAGACAGCCGATATTGTTAAGCTGGTTCAACAGCTTCACGCCAATGAAGAGAACCTCCAAACTCGGTGGATAAACGCCTTGATTGGACGATTATTCCTTGCCATGTACAAGACCGCCGAGATTGAAGATTTCATTCGAATGAAGATCACAAAAAAGATAGCTCGCGTTCCGAAACCCGCGTTCATCAACAGTCTCAAGCTGCAAAAGATTGATATGGGAGACTTGCCGCCGTTCATCACCAATCCAAAACTTAAGGAATTGACTGTAGATGGAGACCTGACGATTGAAGCCGACGTCAAGTATAAAGGTAGCTTCCGTCTGGAGATCGCAGCTGTTGCCCGTATCGAGCTAGGATCACGTTTCAAGCCTCGCGACGTCAACCTCGTTCTTGCAGGCCTTCTCAAAAAGCTAGAAGGCCATATTCTGATCAGAATGAAACCACCGCCAAGCAACCGACTATGGATTTCATTCGAAACCATTCCAAAGATGGACATATCCATTGAGCCAATTATCAGCTCCCGGCAAATCACATATGGAGTAGTTTTACGAGCAATCGAAAGTAGGATACGAGAGACTATCGCCGAAACACTTGTCTTACCCAACTGGGATGATATCCCATTTCATGATACCATGCTGCAGCGCTTCCGAGGCGGTATGTGGGCTGATGATTCAAGACTTCGGCCCTTTGGAGACCATCAAACCGAGGCAGCTAAACATGGGCTTGCTGATGAGATCGATAAAGATTCGGACTCCGAGGAGTCCATACCGCCTCCCACTCTGAGCGCAAAAGATAAGACCATGAGCCTGCCGATTCTCGTAGACACGCCGCCAAAAGGATTGGTTTCGCGAAAAGGAGCCAACTCGACTATTTCTTTGGATGATAGCGTAGGCGTCACTTCAGGAGCAGAGGCTAGGCAAAGAAAACACCCCAAAATCATCCGGTCTGGCTCGTTTGCCTCGGCGAGTAGTCCAGTAGTTAATTTGGATTCATCGACGGTAGAAGCTTTGCGTGCTCACGCTCCGCAGGGTGGCCAAGATGCAGCGAGCGCGATGAAGATCATATCCTCTCGCTCGCCCCCGACGTCTCCTTTCGAGTCGCCTGTCGGCTCTCCTGATCCACCAAGCCTCATTTCACAGCGATCGAAGAAGAATAGCGTGTCATCGGTGCGGTCAACACCGAGCCGCACTGAAGATGAACAAGCATCGGCAGACTTTGATGCTTTAGTGGATCGCACTGGCTCGTTGCTAAAACGATCCAGCGCTGGTAGCTTGACTGGCACTTCCGACGATGTTTCCTCTCATAGTAACACGCCGACAGGTCTGAAACATGCACATACAACGGCGTCAGTCAAGAGCAATCTCTCCAACGCCGAAAAGCGACAAGCGCTAAACCAGACCTTGAATTCTGCTACCGCAGCTGCGAAGAAGTGGTTTGCAAACCGGCAGCAGGGTGGAAACTCTACTGCAGATTCTAGCCTCTCCCACCATCGATCAACCGCCAGCTCCAGCTCAGTCTCTCAAGAAACCCTGGTCGACACCTCGAGTAACCCCTCCTCCACCCAGCAGTCCAGCGAAAGCGACTCTCACAAAAACGGAGACCGCCCCGGCTCCACCGCACAACCCATCGGCCGAGGCCAGCCCCTCCCACCACCCGGAACCCCCCTCCCCTTCCCCGAGAACCGCAAGTCCAGCTGGGTGGTCCCCGGAGCGGCCGCTCTAGCGAGTATCGCGAAACGGAAGCCCCTCCCGCCGCCTGCAAAGTCGCCCACCGCTACCTCCACACCGCTCGCCACCCAGTCACCGGGGAAGAGCCCTGCGTTTTCCTTCCCCAAGCAGTCCACATCGCAGGATCATCTCCCCTTCGATATGCCGTCACCAGGGCATCATAGATCGAACTCGCACCGCGCGGTGCCGAACCCGCCGCTGCCCCCGAGGCGGAAACGGGTCTCGAATGCGGGGCTGAATCAGGATGTGGGGGGGTTTGGGGAGGGCTTGATGGTTGTGGAGGCGCCGGTGTCGGATACCAGTACGCCGAATAGTCCGTTGAAGGAGCGGCATTCCAGGGAGCACGACGACGGTGATCGTGTTGAGGAGGAAGAGGGGGAGAAGACGAAGACGCCGCAGGAGGAGAGTCCTAGTCTTGATGAGGTGGAGGAGGGAGTCTTTCAGGCGATGGATCTGGAGTCTAGGAAGGAGGGCGAGGCTCCCCCGGAAAGTGGATTGGGTGGGTTGGAGAAGAATCCGTGGGGAGAGGAGGGTGAGGCGGAGGAGAAGCCTGTCTGAATGCCGAGAGAAAGAATAAAAGGGGTTTATTCTTGATGCTCTGCACTCCATCCATGCGATATCATGATGGGTATCATATCCTCAGCGCCGAATCTGACGTCTTTCCCGAACCTGGTCAGCCATGACGCCGCATCGCCGTAGGTATAAAGTAGGGTCACGTAAGGAAAGCGGCTGCGGACGCAGCTGTGTGGTTCATTCAACGAGGTAGCGTAAGCGCTGCTTCCAGGGCGAAAGGAAGGAAGGAAGGGCCACTGTACTAGTAGACGGACAGGTTTTTTCTGATGCGGCAAAATGGCGTATACGTGGTTTCAAACTTATCTCTAGCCCAAATTAGGTCGGATAGGGACGTTCACGGGCGTCTTGGGCGGGGATAAAGAGGATACGAAACCGGGGGATACGGTAGTTTTACTTCGAATCTTAATCATATCACTACTCTATCATTCCTAGCTCTTGTTGCAACTGTGTCATTTGGGCAATTTTCAGGCGGTCTCTGTCTCGGTATCCTCATGTTTTCACTATGAGAGAGTTCGAACTATATGTCTCACGTGCCCATCACCGCCCGGCTGACTAACACCCGCTTTCCTCTGCCTGTAAAAACCACCGCTGCTTCTTGGACCTTTGAGCTTCTTCTGCAGGACGGGGTCGGTGGGATGCCAAAAAGCGCTTCGGAGAGCAGAATGGCCGGTTGGGTTGGGTTGGGGATCAAACTGGACGTACGGGAAGACTTGATGAGCTTGAAACCAACCAATCCACTCACAAACCAATCACTTGCCAGCCGTTACCCCAATGTGTGGGGTTTATTCGTGGGAAAGGCGGGGAAATTCTCTACATCACGCTTGAAAAGAGGTACCTTTTTTTTTTAATTCATGTTTGTTGCATTCAGTCTATCTCCCGTGGTTTTGCTTGTTTGCGTCGAAGCAATCTAGGACGGAACATGTAGCTGTGCTAGTGCTAGGCGAGATTTACTCCATGGCGAAGCCCGCAGTGTTCTCCAGTCTCGCAAGTGAATGACGCCGAGTCGACTCGTTCGTGAAGACAGGGAGAAACCTATCCCAACCTCGGTCCCCAGCCATTCATCACATCCCCACAGCCCACCCATTTCCTCTACAAGCAAGCAGTCCACCGCAGAAAAGAAGTCCACCATCGTATCCACTCCCTCGGTGATTCGACCTAGGCGCGTATTGCTCGCATGGCCATCAGGTAGCGAAATCCCACTCATCCACCCCCACCCCCATCTGTCACGTGCCTAGAAGCACGCAGAGACCCCGAAACCCAATACACACACCATCATTCAGGGGCCTCGACAAAAAAAGCCTGTCAGAAGAAAACGTCCAGGCAAAGGCTGTGGAAAAGATAGTAGCAGGAAACTTGACTGCTCAATATGACACAGCACAGCACCGCTAGGGAAGCAACGCCATCAAGATTTGCCGAAGCAAGGTACGATGGTAGACAGAACCCAATTGTAGCATAATTACCAGATAGGGGTAGTGTGCATAAACGCATTCGAAGAGAGTCAAAAGAGAAAGATTAGGGGAGCAGAGAGGGGGCATGATATGAGAAGACAGACAGAAAAGCAACATAAGGATTCTCAACTCTAAGTAACGTCGGGCACCCTGCGGCAGTATACTCTTTGATGTGAAGTCGTGACAAGTCGTTTCAATCCTCGCGGGTGACAAGAAGCCTCTTTTTGCAGTCTGGTTCGTAAAATATGACAGAATGTTGTGATCCCGCCCAAATGCGGAGAGTTGATGGAGGTTGTAAAGAGTTGGGGAGCTGCGTATCATACTGGAGTACGAAGCAGAGGCGCGTTGTGAGGAAAAGAAATCGTTTTAGGGTGACAGCAGAAGGGACGTAAGGTATAATTGGGTATGATGTGAGAGTTGAATGATGCTCGCAGTTGAGAGAAATCGTCAAACTTCGTCAACAGTCGTGGGCGTCATCGGAGTGTTTCGCAACCTTGGCTTGAACAAATTAAAGAGCTCGATGAACGCCGTGCCTAGTTTCGCTAAAAGGTACAGAGATAGCCTCCCGGGAGCCGTTTTATCGTTTCTTTGCTATTTGAACCGAACTAGACAGTCCCAGAGGGCTGGGAGAGATGGGAACTTTTATTGCGACGTCGACTTGTGCCGGGAGCGGTTTGTCGTCACATATTCCGAGTCCGGCGTCCACTCCTCGGGCTGGAAATCAGGATTTAAGAAGTGCGCTGTGTTGTAGTGGGAGCTAATGAGGTTAGTGTTGATCCAAAATATTCCAATGATAAACCTACTTCCGGAATATCGACGTCTGGAACTGGAGCGGTGCTTGGCCGGAGTGAAAGCCAGGTTCCAATTCATAGACTGACGGCCTGAATGGACCTCCGCGAGCCGACTCGTTCGCCATGAGAGGATTGAGTGGCATGTTCACGGGTGGGTCGAGAGGGACGTTCTGGTGCACGGGGTTGGTGTACTCCTGATTTGGAGCAGAGACGGGCACTGGAGCGTACGATGACACTGGGGCCATTTGCGGCTGAGGAACACGAGTCGGCTGGTAGTCGTAGCTGACAGAAGGCCAATTCTGGCCCCCCATGCCGGTGGGATAGAGGCCAGGGATCAGAGTCATCACGTCGGACATTCCTCTGCTCATCGGGACGAAGTCGTCGGTGTAGCCTGCCAAGTTGACGTGCAGGGGAGCTTGGGAGACGATGGGCGACTGCACATCCTCGATCTTGTAGAGGATGTCGTAGTGACCACTGGAAATAGTTAGCATGTGTCATCATAAAGCAATCCGAGGTACGTACGGCCTGTAGAGTAGTCGCATCGTAGGGGGATTGTGCAATGGCAGGCCGTCATGACCCAGAGGATCGAAGTTGTACTCGGTGACCTGGTCTCCCGGCGATCGGTCGAGGTATAGCACCTCCATGGCAAATCCGGCGGGCTTGACGAGGACCTCTGCTAGCGCACTCATGCCGATGTGGTCAATTTCACAGATGGAGGGCTCGATCTGCGTGGAGCAGTACTGCTTGATGTCCTGGCCAAATTCCAAGAAAGGCTGGAAGTCGTCCGGGTGTGTCTGGATCCAGGCGCTCGTCAACAGCTGGAGCGAGAATTAGCAATTGATCATGTCATAAAGCTTTCCGGTATCTGAGTGCATTGACGACAACTTACCTTGAAGTAGGTAATAATGGCCATCGAGATACCGACGTCGTTGAAGCTAGCAAGCAGCTCGGTGGCAGCGCTGTCGTCCACGGCGGGAATGGCCGCCCCGGTGCGGCGCAGGAGGTCGAAGCACTCATCGGCAAAGTCCTCGTACAGGTGTTCCTGGAAGCCGATGGTGTTGAGGAGGTTACGCAGGGACCGCAGCCGCGTCTCTTCCTCCAGGAAGCGGTTCTTGTCGCCGACGCGGAGCAGGGCCTCGAAGTAGGTAAACGCAATAGCTGTCGACGTGTATCAGCTTAATATCCATGTGAGGTCCGTGGATGGAGGCGATGCTTAGGTACCTCTCCAGCCGCAGTGGCCGTCGCCTCTGCACGTCCGGTAGTGGGAGTACTTGGACGGGAGCGCCTGGCGGGGTCAGCGAGCTGCCACGGCAATGGCAGAGCAGGGCAAGGGCACTCACAGCTGTCTTGGTGCGGTAGACGGGGTCGGCATTGGCATATTCGGTGGTGATGGCGCTGCTCGACTGTCGCTCGCCGACCAGCGGGCCCTACGCAGCGTTAGACGACGACCTCACAGCGATAGCGGGGCAGCACCGACCGTCACCTGGGGCTCGTACTCGTTCGACAGCTTCTGCAGGTGGGCGAGCTCCTCGTCCGAGGGCATGTACGGGGGGCCCGACATGTGGAGCGGGGCGTGGAGCTGAGGGTGTGGGTGCGGGTGCGGGTGGAAGTGGTGATGCTGGGCGGGATGCTCCGGCGGGCGGAGAGGCAGCCGGTACGACAGCGATGCGGCCGTCGCGGGATCAGAGAAGGGCGGGTGGTGTGGGTAGGAGGAATGCGACGAGAGGTGCTGGGCGCGCGCCGACGACAGCACCGCCGGCCGACTCATGCTCGCTAGAACGCGGGGCAGCAGGGAATCGGGAGCAATGGGGCAGGCAGTCGATACTGGGCCTCACGATGGTGTTTTGAGGCACGCAACGGCGAGCAGCGAGCACGGGAGGCACTGGCGTCACGGACGGGCGGCCAGCGGGCAGGCTCTGGCGATTCCACAGCAGACGGGCTTCGCAGAGGCTTCGCAAAGGCTTCGCAGACGCAGCTTTCGCGGTCGAGGAGGGCGGCTTTAGTATGCTGGCGGGAGGCCGTCGTTGCTGTGATACGCACTTGTCCCCCAGGGGCACGCCAATATATCAGCGAGCAGCGGCGTGCTTGGGGGCGCCCGTCTTATTGAATCTGCTGCCAGGTACCAATGCGTGTTGCAACACATTCACCCTGCCGGGTTGAAACGGCCAGCGTCGTTGCACCGCGAGTCCTGGGTCGCGGCCAATGGCGCGCCAGAGCACCGCGGGCTGGGAGGGCGCCGTGAGACGGCGATGGGGCACAAGAGGGAGACAGGCGCACACAGGCTGGGAGGAGCCAGAGGAAGCCCAGGAGCCTGCGGCAGCAGAGCAGCAGGACGGCCAGGACTGCAGCGAGCAGCCAGGACGCGCGAGGCCTGCAGCGCGCGCCGCCAGGGCTCGATGGATCGCAGCGGGCGGGGGCTGCGTCCTCTCACGATGGACTGTGCAAGGGGCCTGTGGTGGGGAGCGGCGTGGTGTGGGAGCAGACGGGATGGGCGTGATGGCGAGACGGCGAGACATGGGCACGTGACTGCTATCGACACTCACTGCGCGGCATGCACCAGGCCTTGCACCGTCACCCTCGCATCGGCGCGCGCTCGCCTCGACGCCTCGACGCCTCGACCTCGCGCTACGCCGTGCGGCCTCACACGGCCCTCGCGCTACGGCCGGCACGCTCGGGGCGAGCAGTAGCGGCGGAAGCGGGAGGCGGGCGCAAGACGACTGGCCGCAGCCGCCGAGGACAGCTGGCGCGGCGACGACGTGCGGCCAGTGAGCAGCGCCGCCCATGGCAAGGCACGACGCTCGACGACACGGCGCACCAGTGGCCGCGGCAGGCGTCCAGCAGCGCCGTCGTCTGTCACCCTGCGCCGTGCAGACGCCCATGATTCGCGCCGCAGCAGAAGAAAGTCGGAATGCGAGCCTGTCTGTCTGGCCCGTCTGGCTGGTGCTGAGCCTGCCGCCAGGTCGCTGGCAATGGGACGCGCTCCCGCTTCCCCGGCGCGATCGCGCCCCAGGCCCCCAGCGCCCCAGGCCCAGCGACGGCATCGCCCGGCTTCGCCAGGGGCTGCGCTCACGGCGATAGGCTGCAAGTCGTGCTCTGCCCGCAACCGCGGTTCCTTCTGCGGCCGTCGTCGAGAAAACGAAGCCAGGTTACATACACGTCGCCCTCGCCCCAGCCCCAGCGCCCACCAAGCATCGCGCCCGACCAACGCGGCCCCAACCGCCGCCGAGACCGCTGTGTGGAATGCCAAAGGAAACGCCTCCCAAGTGCCACCAGCCCGGGTGCCAGACTGCCCTGGCCGCAGCCCGGGTGCAGGTCTCAACGCTTCGAGTCTGGAAAGCCTCAAATGACGGTATCGTGATACTGCCCTGTCCGCCCAAAGCCCCCATACACGTCCCCATTGGCCCGCGCTCCGCCGCCGAGTGCCACTCGCTGCAAGTCATCCGCGCACATCATCCTTTGCTCCCAGCGCTCGGCAATCTGCCCGCGAGACCCTTGCCTTTGGCCTTGCCAGCCTTGGGCCCGACGACATTGGGGTTCCAGCTCATCCTCTGTGATGCCTGCCCTTCGCCGCCCATGGACGAGTACTGGCCTCCGCTCTCGTCCGACTTGAAGCCCTCGCCGTCGTTGAGAACTGTGGCCCACAGCGATCCAATTGCCGCGCTCCACTCCCGCATCGCCTGCACCCGATCCATGTCTGTGTGACTCTCGACCTCCACCGTGCCGTGGTGCTGGTCCATCTTCCCGTGCAGCTTCTTGTCCACGATCAAGAAGCTCACAATATCTTGCACCTCCAGAAGCGAGATCTTCAGCTGCTTTGAGATGAACGCCAGCGTGAACCGTGTGTATGGCGCGACGAGCTTGAGAACCGCCTTGGTGCGCATGTTACGCGTGACCTCATCAATGTTCTCGGCGATGAACGGGTCTGCAAGGAGATCCTTGTTGTTTTGCAGAATCTTTTCGTAGCTATGAATGTCGTCCCTCTGGTATGCGTCCACGAGATCCGTCATTGCGGATATGCGAGGATCAGTCTTGTAGGGCTTGGTCTCTTGTGAGTCAAATGGGTTGATATCGGAACCCATTAGCATAGTCGTGAGAACGAGATACTTGAGCACCTGGATTCGCTGCAGAGAGCCGGCTTCGTCGTAGTTCTTGAAGCTCTCGAAGAAGTCGCTCTGAGCCTCCTTCCAATTCTCTGTGCACTGTTAGGGTCTGACCCAGCAACATTATGCGCACTACTTACCTTCGCTCATGTGCATTTTGCCGCCGCACTCGCGAATGATGCCCATGATCTTGGGATGCGGCACGGCCGATCGAACCTTGAGGGCGCGCTGGTACAAGGCCTGCAGTTGCAACAATCAGCATGCATGTCCAAATTGAATATCCGGACGAACCACTTACTTTTAGGCGCTTGGTATTCCTCGTCTCCGCATACATGAGAATTTCCAGGGAATAAATCTCGAGCGAGTATGTTCCTTTGCTGGGGTCATCTGTGCCGTCCTCCTTTTGGCATGACTTGTGCAACTCGCGGACCTTATCAGCCAGTTGCCGGTAGTCCTTCCGCTCCAACCAAAGCTTCGCCAGCTTGATGTTGGTCTTGAGCCATAACCGCTCGTTGTTGGTGCTCTGGAACGATTCGAGTGTCAGCGCATAGAATTTCTCCATGCATCGGTGTGCATCAGCGTCTTCCGCATCCTTCTCTATGAAGTCGAGCATGTTGTTGATCGACTTCTCCGAGTAGTTTCTGGTGACAGCCGATTTGACATAGGTGAGCAGTTCCTGGTAATGCTCTACGGCCTGCGAGTATATTTAGCACGGCCGGAAAGGGCAGATAATGCAGTGCACTTACCTTGTTGTAGCGCTTCAGCTTGAATTCAAGCTTGATCGCCTGCTTCAGCCCTTTGAAACCCCTTGCGAGTGTCGTCAGCTTGTGTCCACTGTAGGCAATACTGGCTCTACCAACCAGTCTCCTTTTTCTTCCTCTAACGCAGGAACGCCGAGGAACTCGTCCACAGCCTCCTCGGGATTGTCGCCTTTCATCTGCTTGGCGTTGTAGTATTTATTCTCGATATCCACATCTCCGCCCTGCTCCTCATCGTCATCCTCGTACTCGAAGTCATATCTGCATGGATTAGTACTAGGTAGAGCTATGTATAGTGTTAGGTTGCGGGAAGCTCACTCCTCCTGGTCGGAGTCTTGCATGAAATCATCATCGTCCGACATGGTTGCAGCTATGAGCCCGAGCTGCGGTATTGAAGGGGGGTAAGTAGAAATGAAGCTGAAGCTCCGAAGGGGCTATTCGATGAGCGAGAGTATTGGTGGGTGAGGTTGTTGGAAGTGCGGGATTGGGTGTCGTTGTTGCCTGCTTGACGATCTGCCCACGGTGAATTCAGTCCCCCGCGCCCGCCCGCCCTGCTCCTTGGCGCGCCACCGATCCTCACTTTCCAACCTCGCCCGCCACCTCCCCTTCACCCACACCTCACAAACTGTTTCTCCACGACCTCACCATTCTGCCACCCTGCACATTTCACCCTCGCCGTTTGTCGCTTTTCGCTCTCATCTGACTCCACCGCAATCGCCCGACCGCAAACATGGGTGGTGACCTCAACTTGAAGAAAAGTTGGCATCCGAATCTGTGGAAGAACCAGAAGCGAGTCTACGATGAAGAGCACAAGGCGCTTGAAGAGCGCAAGCTGATCGACAAGCTCAAGAAGGAGCGGCAAGAGGAGAGGGCCATTGAAGAGCTTCAAAAACTACAGGAGGCCCATGGCGGGAAGACCAGGCTCAACCGGGTGGACTGGATGTACTCCGGACCCACGCAGGGGCAGACCGGCACAACGGAGGAGATGGAAGGATATCTGCTAGGCAAGCGGCGCATCGACCAGCTCCTCAAGAACGACGAGAGAAAGGCGTTAGAGAAGGGCGCGGCAGCCCCCGTAGAGGGAGTCATCAGCAACGCAAACTCGGCCAGGGATACTGCTGTCAAAGTCCGCGACGATCCTTTGATGATCATCAAGAAACAGCAAATGGAGGCGATGCTCAAGGCTTCGAAGGAGGCGCCTCGCATTGCTCACAAGCGGAAGGACGAAGACCGCAAACGGAGTAGGAGGCACGACGACGATCGCAAGGAGCGACACCATCACCATCACCGACGACGGTCACGATCGCGGTCGCCGCGCGAGAGACGTTCAGACGAGCGTCGACGTTCTCGGTCTCCATACCGACGCCGTTCCGATGATCGCCGTCGATCTGACAGTCCTGCTCGCGATGATCGGGACTACCGCCGGCGTTCGCCCTCGCCGCGGCGCAAAAGCTACAACGACGGCAAGCGCTCTCGGTCGCCACCGCGCCAACCCTACAACGGCCGCCCACGCTCCCAATCGCCGCCTCCAACGAAGCGGAAGGACGACATGGCGGAGAGACTGGCAAAGATGCAGGCTGACGCTGCGGCAGTGGAGCAGGCGCGCAAGGACAGGGTCCGGCAGCGCGAGGACGAGGATGCGAAGGAGGACGAGACGCACAAGAAGTCGGACGGAGGGCGCAAGTTCATGGCAGATGTTCGTCGCAAGACGGGAGAGATGGACCTGAGCGAGCGACTGGGGCGTTCTCGGGGAAACTACATCAAGAACGAGGTGTGAATGGGAATGGTAGTGCGTTATGACTGTGGCCTGTTCTCTAAGGAGTAGCCGGAGGACAGCTTTCTTTGAGTTGGATGACTGCTTTCTGGGCGCAGTCTGTCAAATGATACCCTGATTCAAATCTATGCTCGCTTCGAGTCTGTCTTAGCCGTGCACTGTCCATGCTCGTCCATGATGCTGCCCCTCACAGCTCATCCTCGCAACTCAAAGGGTGAACGGGACAAATGAAGTGCCGGAGTGTTCCGTGATAGCAGCTGCGCCACATCGGTTCAGGCAGCTGGCGGGCGGAGTGTCGCTTGTAAGTGTGGAGAAGCCGTGGCCAGGCCTGAAGCTAGGCAACGGACAGCGGAGAGGCAGCGGGCGTGGCACCGGCTCCAACTTTAGCTCTCGATTGCAACACCACCAGGGCCCCCCCGACCATCCCCGTCTCATCATCACCACCCGCCCAGCGCCCGCGCCCTGCGAACGTCTGCGCTTCTCTCCGACTTGTGCACCCGCCGCCCGCGCATTGCGAGAGAGGCCTATCCGCCCTCCCCACGGCGTCCTCCGACCCCGATCCTCCCCCGGCCTCCCCAGCCAGCTCTCACGATGCCGCTCTGTGGTGGAACCAAGTCCGTGCAGCGCAAGCTCGTGCTTCTGTACGTCTCCCCTCGGCCTGTGATGCAGCTTTGTATTCGTACAATCCGCACCGACTGATATGTGCTCTGTAGAGGCGACGGCGCTTGTGGCAAGACGTCGCTGCTGAATGTCTTCACACGCGGGTACCTTCTCCCAGAGCCTCCGGCGCAAGACGAACGCTAACGATAGCGCCCAAGATACTTTCCCACAGTATAGTGAGTTACGGCCCGCCCTCAATTGCTGTCTAGGAGCCGTATTAACCGCTCTGCGCTGCCTCAGCGAGCCTACAGTCTTTGGTGAGCATGGCTCGACCTGCCCTCGTCGTCCGCCGTTACTCGCAGCTAACTAGAATTCTCAGAGAACTATGTCCACGGTACAACAACTTCTACCACCCTTAATTCCGCGGCACCGTCCTGACCCGACTTAGACATATACATCGACAATGTGCACGTTGAGCTCAGCCTCTGGGACACAGCCGGCCAGGAGGAATTCGACCGCCTGCGCTCCCTGTCCTACGATGACACACACGCCATAATGCTCTGCTTCAGCGTAAATGCCTCTGTCCTGTACATCCCTGGACGAAGGCCGGGGTCAATCAGCATGCCTGGCATGCCAACCTACATATGTCTGGATTGCTGACACGTTGGCGGACAGGTCGACTCCCCCGACTCGCTGGAAAACGTAGAGACGAAATGGGTTGGCGAGATCGCCGAGAACTGCCCTGGCGTCAAGCTCGTGCTGGTCGCGCTCAAGTGCGATCTACGGCGGCGCGAGGACGCCGATGACGACGAGAACCCCCAACCTGAGAAACCGATGATCATGTACGACGAGGGGTTGAAGGTCGCAGAGAGGATACGAGCATTACGGTATCTGGGTAAGAGCTTTCACAAGTTTCCACTCCAGCTTTTCCTTGATTTCGTCATTATCATCTGAGCTCTTGCACGAAACATCTATACTACAGCACCTAACCACCCCCAGAATGTTCCGCAATGAAGAACCGCGGCGTCAACGAAGCCTTCACAGAAGCCGCGCGCGTGGCTCTCTCCGTAAAGAACTCGAAGGACCGAGATCGGGGCTGCAACGTCATGTAACCGCTTGCACCAACCCCCTTTTCACCTCGTCACCCGCTCGGACTTCATAAGCCGTACCATTATTCCTCCCTCTGCATATCCACTTCTTTCTAGCGCTTGTAACCAACCCCACGGGGCGGATGGAATTCAATTCTTCGACGGAGTTCAAGGGTCACGTGAACTTATCGATACCTGTCTTGCCTCTCCTTCACTTCCTTTTCCTTTCACTGGAAAAGGCACCTCTAATTTTTAAATCATGTATATGGCTACGGAGGAGGCTCTTTGCTGCTATTCCTCCCGTTTTCACTTAGTCCTTTGTATTAGAGTTTCCGCAATTGGATTCATTGATTTTGGACGTTTCGTGCCTGCTTTACTTCTTTTACTCCAGATCTGGATCAAGTTAGCTTTTGGATTCTGATGTTGCATTGTTGCGTTGATTGACCTTTTAGTTCCAGGAGACATTCTTAGATGTCGCAACTCGGAGGACACCCTGGACTGCAGATACTAAAATCGATGATGCGAATCGAGTTATACATACTCAAGCCCAACTACCTCATCAGTGCCAACAGTATAACAACGTCTAAACAGCACCTACACACGACGCAATGGGTCCACTCAACTTCCAGAACCGTACAATAACGTCTGAACCGCACCCGGTTATCCAGATTTGAACCAGCTTATTCGATCCTTATCCTCTAGGGCTTCTGACCTCCTACTCCTGTGCTGAAAAGACACTACGTAGCGTCTCCTCCTTGCCCCATTCTTGCCCTCCACGTCTTAACGAAAATCTATTCAGGCGGTCAGATTCGTAAGTATTTGTAACAGTTCTCCCCAAACTTTACTCCCTCGATGCCCCCTCTACGTTTTCCGCGACGTTTACTAAAATTGAAATTCACACGGTTCAATCCGTAAGTATTTGCAACACTCTCTCCCTAAACAGCCCCTCTGCGGCCCCCTCCAAGTCTCCCTTAACATCATCCTCCGCGTCTATCCAAAAAAACCAATCACGCGGTTGGATCGGGAGGTATTTGTACCACGTGTTCGCAAAGTGTACCCCCTCTGAGCCCCCCTCCACGTGTCCCTCTGCGTCCCATCTGCTTCCACCTGAAAACCAATCGCGCGGTTAGATCCGTGACTATTTGCACTATATCTACCCAAAACTCAATCCGTCCTTGCCCCCCCTCACTCGCCCCCCTCCACATCTACTAGAGATCTTCACGCGGCGAGGTCCGTAAGTATATGCAACACTACTCTCCAAACCAGACTCCCTCCACGTCGCTTCTGCGTTCCCGCGACGTCTATCAGAAAATTGGTTCACACAGTTAGATCCGTGAGTATTTGCACTACTTTCCCGCAAAGCGCAGCGCAGCCATTCCTTGCCTCCCCTCCCCTCCCCTCCCCTCCCCCTCCGCGTTAGCCTGAAAACCAATCGCGCGGTTAGATCCGTGAGTATATGCAACACTACTCCCCCAAAACCACCACCCCTCCCTCCACGTACGCCTCTGCGTCCCCGCTCCATCCACTGAAAAACTAACTCTATACGGTCAAAATCTGTGAGTGACTATTTCGCACTACTTTCCCCACAAAGCCCAACCCCGTCCCCCTCCACGTCCACCTAAGTCCCAATTCGCGCGGTTAGATGCGTAAGTATATGCAGGATTTCTTCGCCAAAGCGGCGGGGCCCTTTTCGTCCCGGAACAAATCAACTTACACGGTTCGATCGGGGAGTATTTGCACCACTTTGCCCTCCCAGGTCCCCCACTACGCGTGCCCTCTACGTCGTCACCCTCCGTGTCCAAAAACACGCTGAAAATGGAGGTAGCGCAAATACTCACGAACTCAACCTCGTGAATGCTTTTCCCACAGCTTCAGGCCCCGAGACATAAATGATACTGAGTTGAACTTTACTGCCATTCCTCCTAACCTATATACACCCCTCTCCCCTGCCCTCCCGTTCCAACCCAATAACAAAAGAAAAACCCCACTTGGCGCGTCCCAACCCAACCCAACCCAACCCAATCCCCCAACCCTACCGTACCCAGCCCAGCCCCACTCCCCAAAACGCCAAAAAACAAGAAAAAGCATTGGTATCAAATAAAGCGCTGTGCGCAAGCGGGGTCGGTGAGTTCAGCAGATTCCCATCAGCGATCCCGATCCGCACCTCCCCTCCCCGCTCTCCTCGTCAGCCCCACCCCGGCGCCCCGGAGTGCTTCGAAGCCTCTCCAAATCGTGGTGCGGATACTGCTTCCACCGCTCTCGGCGCCGTCGCTCCTGTGCCCGCGGTCTCGCTCGTCGTCGTCCTCGGCCCAACCCGCTGCCTCGACGTCCGACTCCGGGAAGCCTTCGTACGCGGCGCGGGAATGGGACTCGAAGCCCGGGACAGGGACGGGTAGAGAAGCGGAGGGAGACTCGTTGCGGGTCTGGGCGGCTTGGGCTTGGACGTCTGTGTCCGAGAGGTCGTCGCGAAAGAGGGAGAGATGGGATGGAGAGCGGGAGAGAGAAGGGGCCGGTGAGGGGGAGGCGTGGCGCGCGTGGTGGGAGGCGGAGAGGGAGCGAACGACGTCGCCTTTGCAGATGGGGCAGGTGCGGCGGCGGGTTACGAGCCACGGTGTTCTGTTTTCGTTAGGATTGGATTGGAAAAGGCACTGGGGGGTGAGGAAGAACTTACATGCACTCGGCGTGGAACTCGTGACCGCAAGGGAGGCTCATGACACGGCTTACGCCATCCACGTACTCTTCGAGACAGACGACGCACTCCTTTTGGCGACCACCGTAACGGCGTCGCCATTCTGCAAGGCCGGCTTCCCGCTTTTCTTCTTCAGGGGATGTTGGACGCTGATGTGGTTGGTGGAAGGATGAGGAGCTTGCGGGGACCTCGGAGGTGGTGCGAGAGCGCGGTCGAGGGCGCGAAGTGGTTCTTCGAGAATGTGAATGTTGGAGAAGGGGAGTGGTTGGTGAAGATGATGCTGGTGTTGTCGCGGGAGAAGACCCGGAGTTGGCGTCGCTTGATATCGTGTGATACGTGCGAACGGGCAGTCTCTCGACGACAGACTTTGGTGCTCGCCAGCGTCGGCGGCGGATACGGGAACGTAGAAGCAGAAGTGCGTAGACGACTGTAAGAGTAACGAGCGGGCTGACGACGAGGACTAATAGTGTATCGAAGAAGGGGCTCGAAGACATATTCGTGGGCGTGAGAGTTACCCACAGCCCCTCGTGAGGCTCGGTGTCACCTGTATTATCGTTTTCATCCTTCGTGTGGGCGTTGGATTCTGCTGCTTTCGTGTGTAGTGGCAAGTGGTACTCGTTGGTCCTCTTTGACGGCACTGGCCGCGAGCTGTCATCATCGCCATGGTCACCAAGGAAGCTACTGAGCCAACCTGGATCGTTCTCGTCCGGATTAGAGCCGCCGGGATGAGGTTTGCTTTCCTTCTCATATTCTCCGCTGCCAGGCATGACATTGCCACCTGCTAGGGGCTCCGATTCTTGCTTCGTTTTCTTCGCATCTGGGCGGTGGTTGATAGCTGTTGTCTGCGGTAGTAGGTCGGGATCGCGCCAGTCTTGAACACCAATGACAAAATCATCAGCAGCCTTGGTCGCAGTGGGCTTTTGGAGCAAGGGCTTCGCGATGCGTGAAGGCTTGGTTGCTTTCTTCGTTGGGACATCATCGGTCCAATCCTCCACCTGAACCCAGTTCAGATTTCCACTGCTTGGCGGTCTTCTGCTGTCTCCTGAAGACGATGCATGGCCACCACTTCCAAGCCCAAGAGCTGCAAGAAGCGAGCGGAACCACCCAACGCGCTCTTCTATTTCATCGACACCCTTAGAAAGCGGTGTTAGATGAGAATTCTTGCTCTGCTTCTTAGCTTTCGAAGTATGCACTGCTTTTTCAGCGGTGCGTGTAAATGTCGGACGGTCCCCTTTTCCTTTTTTGCCTGGTGATCCATCGTTCTTCTTCGGCGGTTGACGTGCTCCAGTGATACCCGGTTTTGCAGCATCTTCCGAAGATAGGTCCTCCATCAGACCTCCTGAGGGTATCAGGGATGAAAGTAGGTGGGCAGTGGTATGTGAAGTAAACAAAGCAGGGATTGTGATGTTTGAAGTGTCTCCGTGGGCGTACATCCGGATCAAAGCACCTCCTCGGACATCATCACCCACAATGAGGGCCACACCTCCTCGCCGTTGAGCCCACTTGACTTTCTCCAAAAAGCCGCAGCCACCACGGCTCAGCAGGACAATCTTCCCTGTTATTTCGGCTCCTTCTTGTAATGACTGAATATCTGCATGCTCGGAGGCTTTGACGCCTTCAACTGATCCATGCTCCTTGGGCATTTCCGAGTTCGGAAGCGGATGATGGAGGTGGTCGTCAGTGCCGTCATTGTCGTCTGACTTGGCTTCGTCTGATAGCTCTGGCTCTTTGTCTCGTTTTAGCTTGTCGGCTTTGGAGCTAGATGTACCATCACTCGCAGTTGTTGTACCGAGAGATTTCCGCTTGGGATCCACACGGGCGTCAGAGCTGGCTGAGTTCTGATCGGCGTCACTCCATCCTGGCACATCGCTGCAGCCAAGTTCACCTTCGGCTCCGGCAGCCATGCCACCGCGACCCATTGTATCATCCCCAAATCCACTTCCAATCCAGAGCTGACCACTCAGGCCTTTGGAGGGCAGCAGTGGTCCAAAAGCGGCAGGGCGAGCGAGGAAGAAGGTCGAGTTGTCATCGGTGAGGCTGATGATTGCGGAGGGGGGGAAGAGCGATGACGGCGAGGTGAAGGAGAAGAGAGCACGTAGCTTGCTCTTCTTGACGGTCGGCTGGACATTTGGAGATTGATGGGGAGACTGGGCGCCGAAGCTGATGTATAATAGTAGAGTTATGGCTATGACGCTGGACGCGAGAGAAAGCAGGAGGCGGAGAGGCCGCATGGTGGAAATGTGGTCAAAGGCAGCGACGGCGGCAGCGGGCAAGGGAGCTCAAAGGCAGCGACGGCGGCAGCGGGCAAGGGAGCTCAAAGGCAGCAGAATGCCGGCGATCTATGATGCTGTGCACATTTGGGAAAGGCGCGCCGGGAGAGCTGGTGGACGTGGAGCCGGAGGAGGCGGAGAAGGATACGAGGCAGGAGGGGCTCCAGAGCGGCGAGGTCGTCGTGGGCGAAAGCGCGGGAGCGATGCAGAAGGTCGGAACAAAAGGGAGAGGCTGTATCGAAGAAAGAAAGGTAGTCGAAAGAAGGTATGGCGGTGAAGAGAGACGTGAGAGGGGTGCAGTTGATGGACGGATGCTTTCGTCACGCACCCTGGCACCCTGGCACCCTGGCACCCAGCCGCCATGGCGCGCCGCGCCTTTGCGTCACGTGTGAATTCCTGCGCCATGATGATACCCACCGTGCCACCCACTCTTCTTCCACCCCGGTCCTCTCCACACCCCTGTTGTATTCTGCATTATGCTCGTATAAAGAGCTACTGCCTGATCAAATACAGCCCAGAGACAACAGTCCGTGGCTGCCTGTCCGAAGCCGTCAAACCATACGACGGCACATTCCTGACGAAATAGGCTACTTGTACTGTGCGAAAAGCCTCTGCTTGAGAGAAAGCATCACTTCAATGTATACATTGCTCCCGCCAGCATTGCCAGCATTGCCATCGACCGTGTCCGCTTGACTGCTCCCGTCACCTGATCACGTTGCCGTGTGGCCTCGGTGCCTCGCTATCGACTTGTTTCAGCTTCGAATCAGTCTCAGCCGGATGCAGTGCTCCAGCTGTTTGCTGACACTACTACCATCACTCACAGTCCTTTCGTACGCGCGACACCAAGCCGGCTGGCTTCAGAGGAAGTAGCAAGATACCTCGCGGTGCAGTGCCTTCTACCGCTGCAAGGGTAGCCACTGGCCATGGCGTCCGCTAGGGAACATGGCATTCTAGTGCCCGCGGACTGAGGGCTCGCGGTACCTCCCAGCCTGCTCTAGATTCGGCATCAACGACGTCAGGTGTGAGGTATGGCAATATGAGGCCCTCATCAGGAATTGCGTCTACCGTCTCCCTGGCCGTATCGGCTTGAAGACTCTGCCGTGTGTCAATGGTGCGAATCCTGATCGACTCTGCCGAGTCCATGTCCACTGCTGCCCTCGAGCCTTCCTCACTACAACCACCCCCTCGTCAGGAACCACTTCCGTCATGCATCGAGTCTCCCGCCGTCGTGCTTTCCGCGCGACGCCTCTTGCAGCCGGGGCCATCAATACCTCTAGCTATCCCGTCTCCCCTTCTCGTCCATCCTGCTTGTTTTCCTCGCCCAAACAACATCCTTTGAACCCGCTTCCTATTCTTCCAGAACGCTACCGCAAACGTCTTCCCTAAGCTAGTCCTTTTCCTGTCTGTATCTTCCTACACTACTCCTCATTAGCTGTGTTTTCCCTCTCAACCCTTTGCTTCCTCTTCCGTTCTTGGACAAACCCTCACCTCCCGTCCCTACTTGTACCGCTGTTTCCCTCGGCTTCACCATGAATATCAACGCACCGACGGGAACCTTTATGGTGCTACCAGGCATGCGAGCTTTGACCACTGACCCCGATCACCCCGGAGAGCGCCGCCTGCGTGGCCTCGAGTGGATGCCAAATCGAGTCCGCAATCTGGTGATAGCAATGATTGGAGAGTTTGTTGGCACTTTCTTGTTCCTCTTCTTTGCCTTTGCTGGAACTCAAATCGCCAATGCCGCCCCAGTCACTCCTGGGGGTAAACCCAACACCTCGGTGCTACTCTACATCAGTCTATCGTTTGGATTCTCGCTACTCGTGAACGCATGGATCTTCTTTCGGATTAGCGGCGGCCTCTTCAACCCAGCAGTCAGTACCTTTCTCTACTTTTTTAATTTTATTCGCTAAATCAATGCAGGTTACTTTGGGATTGTGCCTAATTGGCGCAGTGGGATGGATCAGGGGAGCTTTTTCCCTCATCTCCCAGATTGCTGGCGCCATGGCTGCGGCAGGTGTCGCGTCTGCTCTTTTCCCTGGTCCTCTTGCCGTCAGAACCACCCTCACTGCAGGGACCTCAGTTGTGCGAGGCCTCTTCATCGAAATGTTCCTCACTGCCGAACTGGTCTTTTGCATCTTCATGCTAGCAGCAGAGAAGCACAAAGCAACTTTCCTCGCGCCAATCGGTATTGGAATCTCCTTGTTTATCGCCGAGCTAGCCGGTATGTGTCTGAATTACTCCTGGATGCAATCTTAAGTACCCTGACAATATCGTAGGCGTTTACTACACGGGCGGCTCTCTCAATCCCGCCCGATCTTTCGGTCCAGATGTAGTCCTTCGCCACTTCGACGGCTACCATTGGATATACTGGGTCGGGCCCTTCCTCGGCGCCCTCATCGCCGTCATCTTCTACCGCCTCGTCAAGGTACTCGAGTACGAAACCGCAAACCCCGGCCAGGACTTCAGTGACCAGGAGGCCGCCGAGTTCGACCCAGATGACGAACCTGCCGACGTCGAAGACGTCCAACGCCCCGTCCCCATGAAGAAGAACTACAGTGAGTCCAAGAAAAGAGGATCGGGGGAATCCAAGTACAGAGGCTCTGAAGAGAAGCCAAGACGACAGAGATCCGCACACACGTCCCACAACTCCCAGTCCCACAACTCCCAAAACAACACTCAAGGGCAAAACTTTGGCTCACGCACAGGCCCCCAAGGCCGCGGCCGCGACGGCACCGACGAAGTCAGCCTCCCGCCGTCCCACGATCGCTGCCGCCGGAACAACACCTCGCAGTCCTCTGGCCAGAGCCTGAAGCCGGAGATGGTGGACATCCCCGGCCGCCCCAGCAAGCCCCACACCCGCAACAACCGCGCCCGCAGCCTCGAAGAGCGCAACGCAGATGCCTACGCCGCCGCCGCGCGCGCCGTCTACCCCCCGACTACCCCGACCATGCACCTCCATGGCGGCGACGCCACCTACTCGGAGCGCGACCGCGACTTCGCCCGCTACCAGTCGCGCGCGCAGGCGCGGCCGTACGCGCATGGCCCGGATGCGGAGAGCGGCAGCGCGGGGTACTCGGACGACACCACTGCGCCGTCCTGACGGTCTCGCGAGCCAGAGGAGGAGGATGGTTGTGAGGGTGGGGTCATGTACCATCTCTGCGTCTGGCTGCCGCATTGCTTGATTAGGTCGTGGTTTTGTCCGTGAGAGGGGCAGTGGGGTAGGGAAATTGTTTTGTGTGCGAATTGCGCTTTGGGTGCTTGGGAATTTTGGGGGCTGGCAGGGAGCGGGGGCGTTGGGGATTAGGTACGGGGTTCAGGTTGAGTTGGGGTTGGGGGTGAGGTGCGAAAGGGTAATGGGATATTGTGATAGGCGTCGTGTACGGTGTATATATGTTACTACGAGTCAGTGGGCTGGTATTGGAATTAATCCAGGGTATCGTTCCTCGTGTTTCTCAGTCATTTGTTGCCTTGTTAGTATGCTGGTGGAGAGAGAGAGAGAGGAAGAGCAGCAGTTCCTGCATTTGCGCCTTGTACATACGCTAACCTCCGTGACATTTGGAGAGGAGAGTCTGGCTTCATTTGCTTCTCGAAGCTATCTTCGTCGGAGAACGGGAAACTGTGTTGTGAGGGGAATGGGGTCTTGTGAGGGCAATGGAGTCTTGTGAGGACAATAGAGTCTTGCGAGTCATCAGGTTGACGGTGTGAAGGAAAGGGTGAGGATACTTAAGTACCAGCCAAAGGGCGGTATACTAGCATCGACGACGGCATTGCGGACAAGCTTACATACATACGTCTTTGTATGTTTCCAGGCATTTGGTGCTAGATAACATGGTCACTGATAAAGCAAAATGTAGTCACTCTAGGCTGTGCTGCGGGAGAGGTTTTGACCGCATCGCACAAGGTTGGAATGGGTTCGGCGTATTTTTGTTGAGGTCTCGGATAATTGTTCGCGGTGTGTGTAGAACCCCTTTCCGTGGGCCTTGCTGATGGGTAGTCGTTTAGGTATGGTGTCGGAGCAGGAGATGTGAGAAGCTATAGAACAATGTTAGTAATATAGAGTCGTTAGGGGGAGAGATGAGTTGATGATCCATTTATAGACGTGATTCGTTGGGTCGATAGGTTGTGGAAGTGAAAACGTTTGCAGAGAAAGTCATAGAAAAGACGAAGTATCATAGGGAAGTATTGTATAGCTAGGTACTGGTGTGTACGGTGGATTTCTGAGCACATTAAGTCACTCTACAGAAGTTTGATAGTCTCTGGATGTCCGCGGAAAGCATGTGAGGTGCCGTCTTCGAGGAGCCTGTCTCGAATGCTGCCAATGCCGATTCTTTCGAATGTTTGAATGTTTCCGGCCTTTCCCACTCGTTTTAGGAGCAAGCCGTCCCTCCATGTGGACCAGTGCTTTGAGTGATACACACAGATTTGCAAAAGTGTAGCAGTCGCCCCCGGCCGAAGCAAATCGGCCAAATCATTCTGTGTATCAATCAAAACGTCTTCCAGGGGGCCCGTTCCGTTGACCAGGGAGCATTGTAGTGCGTCTGATTCATTGCGGGAGGTCACTTTCACGATCTCGAGTACTCCAGTGATCTCGAGATCTGCACGAACGAGTCGTCCCGTCAACTCTGGGCCTTCCCAGTCGCAGCGAAGGTCGAAGTTGATCGCAGGTATAGTAGGGACTCGAGCCGTGTAGCGACGATGTCTGCCCGGATGATCGTAATTGACGCCTTTGATCAGAGACAGCCAGGACCGAGTTGGCATATAGAAGACGGAGCTGTCAACCCGTGTTGATGTTGTATTTAGCTTTTCGTCATGCGACCAAAGTAATGAAGCAGCGAAATCCTCTTTCCACAGTCCTAAAGCTGGCGTCCAATTTGTCTCCCGGGCGAAGTACTGAATCACGCCTGCCATTGCTGCCAACCGATCGGTGCGCTGCGTGGTTTTCCGGTATGAATAATCTGCCACCCATTTCTCCCATTTCAGACAAGGGCCGTACACACCAGTACCTAGCTATACAATACTTCCCTATGATATTTCGTCTTTTCTATGACTTTCTCTGCCGTCTTTGGTATATCGTCACTTTTCAGCACGCCTCCCAATTCCTCTGATGGCGTCGGGCAAGGCTCGGCTTCGAGAGGTTGAGACGTGCTTCTGGTTACTTTAAGCACCTTCGTGTTTTCCCCGCCAAATTGTGCAAGGCACTCGTGCTCGTTCGACTCGCCACTTCGCTTCATGGCGAGCTCAATATGATGCAGCTTGGAGTGACGGTACTCAGGAAGTGTGTTTCGAGAAACGTGAGTTTAGAGAGCGATGAGGATTCGGCATAGACTATACATATTGCGGTCGACGGCAGGCCTAATGGAAAAGGATTTTCATCGCTCTTGAGGTCTGGGAAGTAATTGTAAGGAGACTGGAGTTTGAGTGATGTTCTTGAGGGAAGGCTGGGGCTCAAAGATGCCGCAGCTTCGATCATATGACCATGACCGTTTTGCAGCTCTGTCGATGGAACCGAGGCTTATCAGCTACGCGAAACTTACGACGAGACAAGGACAGATAAGATTGGTGAAAGAGTTCAAGGCGCATCTCAGCCTTGCTTGTAACGCTGTCATGGTGGTGGCTGAGCAGAATGGTTGCATACTTCACGGCCTCAGCAGGGCAGATTCGCTCTCAGCCCTGGAGTGGCAGCCTTGCTAGCTGTTGTGATTTATGCACTTATGGAGCCGCGGGTAGTTAGGTTGCTAGGCAGTGGGTAGTAAGAGGGATGAAATGGAGCCCACACGCCATGCGGGTGGGCAAGGGTCCTGACTGTTCAGGCCTCCACAATATCGGTAAATCAGAGAACTACATTGTTGGAAGCATATATACAGAATTGCAAAAGTAGGGTTTAGTACGAGTTAGTGTGAAATCATGATCCACCATGCACAAGATTCTCACACATGTAAGAATTAAACGTGGAACTGTCACGTGCATATCATGTGAGAGTCACGTTTCCCCCCAATCGAGCCCAGGAGTGTTTAAATAGGTCGACAAATCTCCGCACTTGACTTGGACAGTAGAAACCGTCCATAGGAGTGGATTAACAAAAGCAGATTCGTTGGCACATGGGGTCGGAGTTGGCACTTGATGCAAAACGAAGACGGAAATGAGACCGATGAGGGATGTTTCGAAATGATTGGATTCTGACGATCTCTACTATCAATTGTTTATGCTTCTCGTTTATATGTTGGCCAGTGATGTCGAGCATGTTGGACTAGTTACAGCATATATTTATAGAGACGAAAAATAAATTCGTATGACGGTGGTGGCCATCACTGTCTGAGGTAAAAACGTCAGCAACGCTGTACTCCACCACGTAATGATCTGATCCATATGTGTTTTAAGTCCGCACACAACCTTCAATCATATGACCAGACAGGGCATCTTAACTCCCTCTTCCTCGAAAGCCTTTGTTGGTTTGCAGGCCGTAGCATCTGAACATTGGTGGGACGCGACATTATGTACATAAAAGCGCCCTGTTTGCTACCGGCAGTGATTGCTGTAGGTAATTGTCATAATCCAACAGCCTTCGCTATTCCTCGATGCGTCTTCACAGTCACAAAGTCACGGCTTTGGGCATTAGATGGAAATTTGTTTGGTACGATTGGGAGTGGAGTGCTCGGCCTTCGTCGGCTGGATAGACTATTAGAGAAGCTGTGCATCGTTGAAACACTCTGAGATGCCCATAAATGATGCCTCCCGAGGTCGGGATGTTGAATCCCATACCAGTGAATGAATCGTACGAATAGGGCCGAGGTGGCTCTCTGAACTAATCTCAACCGCTGTGTCTTCCTCCGAAAGTTTGGTTCGTTGTATCGCTGTCGTTGGACTACAATGCTATTTTCCGATAATATATGAGGGTTCGAAATGGCCGAGCGGTGTCGAATGGCCCTACTTTTTCAGTGAATAACTCTAAGTACAGGCTGTAGGTTGGTGGGACGGCTGTGTAGCAATGCTCTTCCAGGCCTGAAAGAACTACGTCCTGGTTTGGAGCAACAGAACGGTGCTGAATCGTGAAGTCCTGTCCTGATGATCCCTTAATCCGTAGACCTCCGTCTCGCTCAATTGTTCGCCCAGCCCTCAAGCACGGCGTAACACTCCCCACGACCTACTGGTTATCGGAATCCGTCCATGACCAGCACTCATCAATCAGTTATATGCGCCAGTTGACCTGTCCGGCCACTCTCCTCGCTATACCGCTTCTCAGGCGTCAGCGACTGCAGCCTATGATGCCCACCGCCCATCTCATCAAAGTCCGCATCCTGCGCCTGCTCATGTACAACTGCCGTGGTTGTGACGAGCTTGATATCCTTGGCGCCAACACGGAACAAATCGTCTGTGCTCCCGTTGAGACTTGCAGCGCGACTTCTACTACGGCGTGGGCGGCCCGTTGCTTCGATGACAGTGGCGGCTCCGAAGCGCTTGCTGGAGCTCCAGATGGTGCTGAACGTGTCCATGCCATCAGACTCGGACGGCGGGACATCGGAGAGGATCATAATGCGGCGGGTGAAGGTGTACAGGAGGACGTCAAGCCAGCCGTTCGAAGTTATCATGCAAGCTGAGAAGCAGAGGCGGCCGAGGGACGGGTTGTGGTTGCTCATGCTGGCCATGCGGGCGGAGGCGAGCGGCAGCGTGCACACGATGTACACGAGGGGGTAAACCATCATCATTCTGGAAATGTTCTTGACGTGGTCGGCTTCGGCGGCGCTGTAGTAGCCTGTGCGGAGGCGTTGGAAGAGGATCAGGAAGATGGTAGCGTAGGTGCCGATGACGCCGAACTCGAAGACAAAGATCCAGAAATAGTGGGTCCAGAGCTGGAGAGTGTTAGGGCTATTGGAGTGAAGATGTGTGATAAGATGTACTTACTCTGACCAGGGCGAAGTCATGGTGTACCCAACACTATGATATCTGAGTTAGTGACGGATATCAAAGGGAGTGGAAGGCCACTTACCCAAGCACCTGCACGAACATATATTTCATGTGGATGGAGTCCGACACCAATGAGCGCCATGATATAGACGAAAGCCCACAAGGCGGCAAGCGTGGCAATGAAGTAGCGGGTCCTCAACCGGTAGTTGAGTATCACTGACGCAAGGGTATGGATTCCGATGGCAAAGCACATAACCCCACTGGCAAGATCCCCCGTGGAAACAAACCAACCCTGGGCCCAGCATATTCGCGTACCGACGGCAATCTTGTTCAGGCGAAGCCATTCCGTGTTGAGCAGGAAGGCTATGGACTGCTGGATATCGGCGAAGACGAGATTTAGAATGAGAATGACAAACTGGCTGCTCCGCTTCGCCTTGATATGCCATCGGATGACTCGATATAAGAGAATGGAGAACAGAGAAAAGGAGGCAAAGAATGAAATGAACCCAAGGGCCGACACTGCCCTCAGCCAGAGTCGGATATGGTGGGGGAGGGGATCGAGCGAGGACGAGTCGACATCGAGAGAGCCGGCCTTGGTCATGACTGCGGGTAGGAAAGCTGGAGAAAGCCTCGACGCCGAACAAAGGCACGCGGACAACAAGACGAAGTATATGTCTCGGACTAGGTGAAGTAACGTAGGTGGTGGGGTTATTACGGTGGAGGTAGTGGTTGAAAAAAGCTTGGCAGGTCCAAAAAGCTTAGGCCACCGTAACAACTACCTCGACCGTGACAACCCCATCACCGACGTTATATGGATCTCTAGCCCCGCTTTGACGCAGTGCGAAAGTAAGAACGATCTGTGCCGCAGATTTAGTGTCCACGGGCCGCACACGAGCTGGTGTGGGCCGAGATGATCTTCTGGCGCTGCTGAAGGCGCCGAGAGGGGCAGAGGGCACCATGTTCCGCGCCCCGTGAATGGCTGGACTCTGACTGACAGGGCAGGGATAAAGCATGCTCGACACCCTGTGTAGGGCGAAGAAGGGTGGCAAGCCGGTGGTGTGGTGGTGATGGCAGAAAGGCATGTGGTAAGGCTGCACGTTGCTCAGGGGCTAAGCGGGGCCTCGATGCGATGGGGCGGCCCGCGCGTGGTGAGTGCTCTTTCGGCGCTTCTCGACCTGATGCACGCTAGGTTTGCATCCTTTACGCTCCACCATCGTCCTTCGTACGCAATTCTCGCTCCCAGCGCCAGGTCCACGGCTTGCCTAATGATCCTATGCCGGTCGATGGGCTCGATACGTATATAACATCCTTTTCGCGCAAGCACGAGGCTCGTGTCGGTCGTCAGCGCTGGCTTTTGAGTTGCGCGCACGGGTCCCACCATCTTGGCTCACCACGACCTTCTGCTTTGCGGTAGCGTTGCTGATACCAAGTTTGGCCAGGAGTAGTAGTCTGTGCCCTGTTTGTACGACTTTCAACATCATCAGATGGTCGGGGTCGGATCGTCCGTCTACATCTTCAACCTGTGCCTCACTTGCTTCACCCCGCTCGACTTCATACAGTAGCCCCGATCCCTGTGTCTGTCCAGCAGCTCTCTTCCAAATCACTGGGACGGAAGCATCGGACCCCGCGACCTCTTGTCATCCATGCCTGACACCATATTTTCCTTTCCACGCGATTACATGCATCTGTTGTTGGTGGCTGGCTGTACAACATGTGAGCCTGTGCTCGCGGTTCCCGGATACGCCCATCTGTGGCCTTCACCATCTCGTTTCAACTTCTTCTCAAGCTGGCTAGTGAGGATTATCCCACAAAGTGTTGCCGGCGCCACCGACGGCTGGTGCGAACTCCTCTAACATCGTCGGCCGTGCGAGGGTAGAAAACTTTGCGGGGTCGTCCAGGGACCCCCGGGCGCATCGCTTGCGTGTGTGTAAGGAATCTGAATCAGGTCCAGACATGGGCAGGGCTGGGGTCAAGCATTGGAAAATTTGAACGCTTGTGGACCGGGCCGAGTTGGTCCTTTGCTCGTTTTCCTCTTTCAGTATCGTATCCCATCTTGGAAAGGCAGGTAAGCCGTGACGTTAATTATTTGGCATCACGTGGCAATCACGTGCCTGGACGTGGTGAGGGAGAAAGAATTGATTTATTCTACCCTGGCCTTCCCGAGGCCCCTGGGTATGGAATGAGGGTATGGAATGAAGATCATCTACTTCCTCTAACTCCTTCCTTACGCTGAAGGTCCCATCCTCTCAATGACCCGTGAGATCTACTATTCTAGCCAACGAGGTCCTCCCGGAGTCGAGCCTACAGAGCATAGACTTTAATTAAAGATTGCCGTCATTTGAGGCTCCTTTTCCCCGCCCTCCACCTATCGAACCATCACGGAGTCTGTCCCGCTCCCGACGTCCCCCACCCGTAAATTCCGTGCCGATCCGTGATGCCTAGCTATGACTATAGCCTGGTTTACGGCCTAAATTCCAGGGTTCAAGGTTGTATCAGGTGTGATATTCAGCGCTTCTGATGCATTCCAAACAATGCCCTATTTCAAGTCGTCTGACTTATCTTTTGCCTCGAACACCGAATCGAACGAGAATATCAATCTCAATTGGTATGGGAAATTGATCGGATTGGGACTAGGCTACCACTGTCCAGTGTCATGATAAGAGAAGGCTATTTCACACGTGCTGTGCTTTGCACTTATGCGAGTGCTGTGCGGTAGGTATTGCGTTGTCGTTCTAGACTCGCCCTCCAGTAGAACTCACGTGAAGGACCAGCTAACGCCGACCGAACACTTGAAGTCGCTGTCGCAGGCGTTTTCAACAACTTCGGAGACAGTGATCTTGTCTGATGCGAAGGTAAAGTCAAGACTTATTCCGGCTAATGTTCTCTCAAAAATCAGCTAGTCAGATAATCCCGTTCCAGGGTCAAGATGCGTGGAACTTACCATTTACCGTCCCAAATTTACTCGTTACATCTTTCGTTCCGTTAATTGCGGATACGAACTTCATTGTAGGAAATTAACATACCCTAATCGTTTACTGAGTCTTTCTCCTTCATAGAACCTAAGAGGTCGTCAAATATCTTCTGGGCCTGCATGATTCACCTAACAGTACCAGGAAGAGGCTTAGTAATGATTCTGAGCGGTTCGCTCCGGAGTATTCATGGAGCGTTGTCGCCAAGACTCGGGAGGCTCCCTGCTGCATTCATTCCATCTCTCGTTTGCCAGACTAATTCCTTCGAGCAATCTTATGGTAACTCGAGGTACCCTCTGATGGCCCAGGCCGTCTCACCGCTTGAAGAATGGGCTACCCGTAGACAAAACCACAGCTCGACACCTGACCCGAGTAGGGCCGCGATTGAATTAACTGGTATTGGACATTGCGGAGTATCGTGCACAGCGGCACGTCCCTAGAGTTTTCCCGTGATGAATTAAAAATTACCATTTTATTGATTGATTCGGAGCCCTGAAGCCAAGGAAGATTTCACAAGCATTCCTTGACACAGCCATTGTAAGACAACGAGACATATCTTAGCCGTGCCCCGTGGCTATCTATTCTAATTTCTGGTCTCAATAATCATTTAGTTCTTGAAAAAGCTTCGGCGTGAGGGTATCGGCTCGGTCGATTCTGGACGATTAGATATGGTCCACTTCTATTTCTGCAGTAATTATCGTCAACGCTTACCGATCTTATATGAGACGCCGTTAGGTAAATTAAGAGTTTATAACATGGCTCTACATGACCCAGCACTTGTCCGATAACAACAGCTGGTAGTATTTATTCTGAAGCTTAGCTTTCTGGAGCTCGAGGTCCTGTTTATGCTTTTCTTCCATGGTTCGACGCCGATGCTCTTCCTCTTCAAGTAATTTCTCGTTAGCCTGCATCTGCTGTAAAAGCTGTTCCTTTTCCTTCTTATACTTTTCCTCCATCTGCCGTCTTAATTCTTCCCTACCCACCTTCATCTTCTGCAGCTCCTCGCGATACGTCCGCATCTCTTTCTCGGTCTCAGCCTTCAGCTCTTCCAATTCTTCTCTACTTTCTTCGTCTTTCCTCGTTAGGGCCTCTTGAAGCTCCTTACGAATTAATGCTATCCTTTCCTCATTTGCTTTGTTCTGCTTCTCGGCTTCCGATACCACTTCCTTCCCAGCCGCAGTTTCATTCAGCTCCAGCCCTTTATCGACCATATCACTTTGAATATCCAGGGTCACCGGTCTTTTCTTCCTTATGAGATATTGGATTATCTCCAATGCTGATTCTCGACCTCGATCTTGGCGAAAAACCCTGCTACCATGATCGATCATCGCTTTCCAGAATTCAGCCTTGAGTTGAGATTCGTGATCTTCTGCTGTCTCAAGCGAGATTGCACTCCACCTCGTTGTCGCAAGAACTACGCTTCCGAGACCCTCCTCTCCACAGAGCTTTTGAAACATGATCAGGTTCTTCAAGCCCGTGCCTGTCACCCGTGGGTCCTGTATGCGATGCAGGTATATTATACCTGTCAGCTTAATGTCGTGTGTATACGCAGCGGTGAGCCAGTGAGCGACTTCTCGTAGAATCTCGGTGTCGGACTTGTATGTATCGTCGAAGCCAGGGGTATCAACGAGAAATATCTTGGAGCCATCGGGAAGGTTGCAACGCGAAATTTCCACGGTGGCAGTGCCTGCTCAGGTCTATCATTAGTTCACTCGAACTATATTGCTGACTGCGCATCGATAGACGTTCGTACAAGCTTCAAGGCCGTGGCCGATCTTCATTTCCCTCTCGGAAAAATACGAGATCAACGTTGTTTTTCCCGTCCCCGTTATACCCATGACCGCAATGACAATGTCATTTGGTCTGAAGCAAACAATTTAGTGGGTCTGGCATGTTGCATAAGTATTGGCGATTGCACTTACCTAAGCTCTGGGAGGTCTGGCTGGGTGGGATACGCGATGGCTTTACCTTTCAACGATGATCCTCCAGTCGATCTCGACATTTTTGTGTATAAAACAGAAGGGTCTCCAAAGTACTAATTTACTGAAAAGTCACACGCTGCTGAGGATGTAGACGTAGTATGATGGATTATGACCTGAAAGTGGTCCTAGGAAGTACCCTTCAGAATAGGAGCACGAAACGAACCGCGGCGATTAAGTATGTCATCAAAAGCACAAGAGGCTGAAAAGGCGACGCACATCAAGTCTCTTTCTTTCTCAGTGGAGGGTACCATCTGGGTTTGCATTTCAAAGCGGCTATCCGAATATGCAGCGCTCTGCAATGTTGCGTGGGGTAGCAGCTTAAACTTGCCCTAGAATATTGCGGATTGCCGAGAATTCGGGTCATATGCAACTCACCGGAAAGGCGGAGGGGCACGGGAGGACTGTAAAACATAATTGGTCACGGTATGCCTCTCTTCCTTATCGTGGTGCAGCAAACGGTTGCCTTTCGAGGATGTTCAAGGAAGCACAAGGAATCTCAGCCGCACTCTAGGCTACAGACTGCAACTTGATCACAACCCCATGGACACCAGCCTCAGCCACGCGAATACCAGATGCACTGCCTTGGTCCTCGCATCGGCTGAGAGCGTTCATCGAACTGCTTAGCAATGTAAGAACTAAAGGTCTCGCATGTCGAGGATCCTACTGCAGTCTTCAACCACCAAACGATTAATCCTGGGCCCAGCCTCGTCGTCGAGACACACCTCGACATCATAAGTCAACATGCCAGATGGCCAAGACGAAATTGTTATCGCTGTAATGGGAATGACTGGAGTTGGTAAAAGCACATTTATCAAAACAGTGACACAAAGAACCGACATCGTGATTGGCCATACATTGAACAGCCGTAAGAGATCTACTGAGTCCTCAAGCTGAAGCCTGTCTAACATCACAGCTCATAGAAACTAGCGAAGTGCAGGAATACGAATTCTGGGACGCAGGCGTCAAGTACGTTCTCGTCGACACTCCAGGCTTCGACGACACGCACCAATCCGATCAAGTCATCACAACCAAGATTCTACAATGGCTCGCATCTTCATACAGGAAACGCGCTCTGCTAAATGGAGTCGTGTACCTCCACCGGCTATCTGACCCGCGTATGGGTGGCAAAGCGCTCTCAAATTTATTCATGTTCAGACGACTATGCGGCCCTCAAGCTTTGAAAAGCGTTATACTAGCCACGACCTTTTGGGAATCCCTCTCTCCGTCCGAGCTGGGAAGCCGGGAAGAAGAACTAGTTGACCCCAAAAAGGACTTCTGGTCTAAAATGGTGGCTAAAGGGTCTCAGGTGAAGAGGCTAGGTCTGGATAGAGAATCTGGTCTGGGAATGATTAGAGAGATTGCGAAAAACCACAAAGTCACTTTCCAAGTGCAAGATGATATCGTCAACCATGGCGTGGATATCCAAGACGCAGCGCGCGAAGCGATGAGTGCCTCTCAAAAGGGCTTCGACGAAGCTGCAGAACGTCTATTGGAAGACATCAGGCAGGCTGGGAAGGCCAATAAACCTCCGCGATGGGAGCGCCCTCGACTTGATTCTCTGGCGATGGAGATGTTGGAGGAGGAGAAGCGATGGGATGAGCAAATACAGGAACAACGAAAGGCAGAACTGGATGATCTAGCGAAAGTAGTGGAACAGCAAAGGGAAAGCATTAGGCGTCGCAGAGAGCAAAATTCTAAAGGCTATGGCATAAGGGAGAATATCGAAAGAAGCAATCATAAAGTCCAGAAAAATGGAGATTGTAAGGAACATAAGGTACCGAAGGGAACAAGACCGAGGTGTTCGAGTTGTAGGATTAAGATCGGTCGCAAGGGATTTTATCGTAAGTTCTCATTCTCTTAACTGGCAAGTCATCGAAAATGAAGATGCTAATCATTATGCACACTAGATTGTTGTCTGTGTGAACAGCGATGTTTCTTACAATGCGTTGAGTGTGGAAGCCAATGTCCAAACACAAGTCATCCGGAAATGCGTTTGGTTAAATCTACCTTTTTCTGGTTTATATAGCACTTATGGATGTATGTATGTCAAAAGCGCACAACTCATCAATCACACTCAAACAAAGACAAAGTTTTGATACTCGTGTTTTTCAATTGTAATTACGTCGGAGTACTAGTGGCTTGTCTGGTCTCCTCAAGGGCCCAGAGATCCGAATCTCCCCTGCATACCCCGGTGAAACGAGTACAGTGTTGTACTTCAACGTCTCATCCGTCCTCCGAGACTCGTTTGGAGGATCGACAATCATGGTACTGGGATTCCGTAAGGTCTGTCCCCGATTCTCGAGTATCGGCTCGGATTGCTTCTTGCTCGAGCGATCGCTTTCTCGATAATCGCGATAAGAGTAAGGTTGGGAACTGCTTGACCTCCGGACCAGGCCCGGCCTCCCGTTGGAGCTACTGTCCGTATTCTTGGACCTAGTAGGTACGGTATCGTGACGTGGCTGTGAACGAGGCCTATCCATGCGGACCTCCGGTGGCTGTGGAAAAGAAACGCTTTGGCGCTGATGATTACTGACTAGTGACCGAGGAAATGAAAAGGAGCGATATGACGACGCAGCTTTTCGCATATCCCTTGTAGGTAGGGCACTTCTGAGAAGCTTCTCCCACCATGTCCATTGAAGCTCCACACTACCATTTCCAACCGCATGTTGTTCATTCTGCTGTCCAAGGCGCCTGTTATCGATAGTGAGGCGGCCCCTGTCACGGTCATGGCTTCTCTCTACGCAATGTAAGGTGTGCTCTATATCATGGGTTTGTTTCACATCCTCCTCAACTTCTTTTTCGTACTTGTCACCTTCTTGGAGTAGGCTTGCATACCGATCTGCCCGTTCTTCGGCAAGATCCTCGAAGGTCACTTCGAGGTCATCTGTCTGTGTGTATGTTCGCTGAATCAAGCCTTCATATTCATGTCGCTGGGCTGAGATCGCTGAGATCGTTGCTTCATCGTGATCCTGTAGGGCCTCCTCCATAATCCCTTCCAGTTCGGCGATCTCCTTCTTCTGTCTTTTACGAACTTCGTAAAGTTCACCAAGCAAATAACGCCCTGCGCTGGTTTCATCCAGCGCCTTGTCTTCATTAATCAGTTGCCGTTGGATGTCCATCACGACTGAAGGATTCATGGACGCAGCACGAGAAAGGATATCACGTGCGGAATTAGCATCCCCTTCATGACGCATAACAGTAGCGCCACCGTTCACCATTCGGCCCCAGAATTCGGCTTTGTCCTTCAGTGTCTTTTCTCGATCAACGGCGATTGCACGGTCTTCTACCCCGAGGGATTCCCACATAGTGCTAACGAGGACAACGTATGGAAAGCATTGCGATCCGCAAAGAGCTTCGAATAAGCGAATGCTTCGAAGCGCCGAGCCGGCAATCCTGGGCTCTGAAATCCTGTGAAGATATATGATTCCAGCTAAGCTGACTTCATTTTTGCGTAAGACTCCTAGGATGAATGCAATCTCCTTCAAAAGGTCTGCATCGGATCTTGACGTGTCGTTAAAGCCTGGGGTATCGATCAAATGCAAGTTCTGATCTGTTCCATACTCTATGGTATGGACTGTCGCGTCAGAGGTGCCTTATCGCAGTGTCAGTCCTGGACTGTGTTTGATACAAAGAAGTGCCTACAGGACTCTAGTGTATGCCCTATTTCCACTGGTCCATCCGTAAGACGGGATATGAACGTGCTTTTCCCTGAGCCTGTGACTCCCATTATGACTACTGCGACATCCTTTCTTCTGTTCATGTTCGCTGTTAGCATTAGGCAGCTTGACTGAACTGACGATACCTACGTGAGCGGGCCTGACTGATATGTGTCGGCATATCCATCAAAGTCTCTCCGCCTCATCTTTGCATCAGAGCGGACAGCTGAATCCGGTGACTCGACTCGGTCCATGCTTAGTGGTCCTCTTCTACAGGGGACGTTTTCGGATCGAGAAGTGGGAGTAAATTGTACCTTCTTTGGTGAAGCAGGCTTTCTCATTCTTTACATTTGTTTGTTGAACTCTCCGAGTTACAGAAAAAGTCGCAGAAGCCCGTCGCGCAGATCGGTCAGCATGTCAAGCGCTCAGCCGTACGCATGAAGAAAGCCGTGTGGGGGCCTTGTGGCAGGGTTGCTGCAGCGTGGCAACATCAAAAGGCTCGCCTGCAGAAATGTCGGCTATTCTTGACGAACTTGCGGTCTGCTGATAACATCGATAGTCTCGCCATTACGTGCCGCAACGGCATTGGGCGGAAAGCCGGCCACCGGTGAACTGATTGAAGCCTTCTCCGAAACGAGCCAGGCTGCAGCTGAGATACATGGTTGCTCACGACGAGTTGATGGCCTGCTTGGCACACTCAGAAGGTGGTGTAATTCAGCCACAAAGATCTCGAGTAGGTATCAGGTGCCAGTGGCCGGTGGAGCCAAATCGTGATTGTCTCTTTAAGAGTTCAGCAGACCTCTCGTGCACCATGCACATAAACTATGCACATGAAACTGGCATTGCTAGCGTGAGTTTCAAGAACAATCATGAATTTCAATCCCGCAGGGAGAGTTGAGTCGAGTGTGATAGCATCTCGACCTATGAGGTCGGCATGCTCACCTTCTTCGCGGTGGGAGTTCCAGCTAACAACCAGCAGTGTTGAGGATATATTCATACCTGTTTTGGGCATGACGGGCGCAGGAAAGACTACTTTCATTTCCACCTGTACTCAAGAGAAACCATTGCAATCTGGAAGAGGTCTCTCATCGTGTGAGTTTTATGGGGGCGTCGGAGTAGTACAATATATGGATAACTGACCAAGGCCAGGCACGTCGCAGGTCACATTGCATACGATGACATATAACGGGAGGACCGTCCATCTCATCGATACTCCAGGTTTTAACGGTACTCACCGGTCGGATGGAGAGACACTGCAAGAGCTTGCATTCTGGTTAATCGGTGCTTTCCAACGGGAGCTACGAATTAGCGGAATTGTCTACTTACACCAAATAACTGCACCACGGCTTGAAGGAAGTTCTCTACGAGGACTAAATGCCTTCAAGGCGTTATGTGGCGAAGAAAGCTATCCCGGTATCGCACTCGCAACAACACGATGGGACGAGGTCGACGAAGACGAAGGAGCACTACGGCAGCAAGAGCTGTGCAGCAAAGCACATTTTTGGGGTGATTTGAAGAAAGGAGGCTGTCACATAACTAAACTTTCTGTGGGAAGGCCGTCTGCGCTCAAACTTATCCAACACATCGTGAAGCAGGACCACAGACTCATCCTACGCCTTCAGCGTCAGATGATCCACGAGAATAAGCTCATTCACGAAACAGACCTTGGTCAGGTAGTGTATTGCAAGGCCCTCGCCGACCAAGAAGCCCTAGATCGTCTAATGGCGGAAGCGAAGTGCGATTTTGAGAAGGCAGCCTCAGAATTTCACGATAGGCGGATAATAGCTTCAAGAAACGCCATGGCAGGAATTTCGACTGAGCTGTCAAAGAAGAAGTCAGAGCTCTCCAATCTCCAGATAGATATGGAATCGCTGCAGACTATATGGGACAAGAAGATCTGCGAAGAGCTAGAGGAGCTAAGGCGAAAGTCCGAAGAGAACGCCGTTCGTCATCGCAAGAAAACGGAAGAACTTGAACGTCTTCGTCAGTCTCCTCTATATTCTCAATCGGTGGAGCATCGCTATGAGGATGAGTTTCGCGAAATCGAGAAAGAACGCAATGAGATTGAGGTCGTTAGGAGACAGAAGATTGGTGCTCGCAATCACACTTCAATAAGTACAGTAGTTGGTACTGGCCTTGCACTGGGCCAATTCATCGCTATGTTAGCTTGCACAGTAATGTAACACGACTACTTCTGTTATGTATCTGCTGGAATGATACCGGTGAAGTGAAACATTGTGATTTATTGGAGTTTGGCCGTATCAAGTCACCGAGACGCAATGCCCCATCTCGCCGACGGCCGCCATATTTCCACGCCCACTTCCTCGACGCCTGCTAACTTTTCGTCACAAGGTAACGATAAGACCAGATGAAATCACAGGAAGAAGAGGGAGAAATAGAAAGAGATCTGTCTATGTTACGTTTGTTCCCCGTTTCTTGCTCTTCGGAGACACTTGTTAATTCCACATGAGAACTAAACACAATCATCGGTAATATGGCGAGCAACATTCTGAGCTGGAGGAAGGGATGTCCTGTCCTCGATAGGCCTTATAGGCTGTTTGCACACAAGAGTTGCTAGTGACAATCCGTGACGAGTTCGGAGCGACGCAGAACGGCCAGCATGGCAAGCCCAGGCACGGAATCAAGGCCTGCTCTTCTAATTGCGGTTGAGCTCTCCTGAAATCCGTTAATGCTCCAGCATATGACCTCCATGACCTCCCTCAGCGATGTGAACGCTAGTTTGCCAGACCGGTATCATCAACGACCTGGTTAAAAATTCGCTCCACATCCCACTTAACTTCAATTTTCGGAGGTGGTTGATCTTGCGCATTTAGCGTGCGTGATGAGGAGTGCCTCATAGGATTGGCTTAGATTTCGAGCTCTTTGTTGGATGAAAAAGCACGCGCCGCCTAAGATTAGGGGAACCGGAAAATAAGTGACGTTATATACTTCCAACACTCTTTCTAAGCCTATCCCAATTTTTGATGGACCTTACTATACATGACTTAGTTTGTGGACATTGTCGAAAGTGATTTTAATGTCAAAGCGTTAAACTTGGTGAATTCTTTCGAACTCCTGCAATTGAAACCCGAATTATTTCCATTTTATTATTGTGATCAAGCCGGATAGGTATTGATATAGGGAAACACAAAGTAGGCATGAGACTACTGAACTCGGGTATTCAAACTCGGGAGAGTATCTAAGGTATTAAGAAAAAAAAAAGTAGATTGCAGTGCAGATGTTACATGTAACCTAGCTCTTTACGAAATATCTTCGAAATTTGCGACTACGCAGGGCATTCCGCTACCTAGAAAAGGAAGTTAAAAGAAATCTATCCTGGTGACGATATTGTTTAAAGCCTCATAAGGAGCCAGAACACAGGTTTCGTTAAAAGTTTCAACGCCAGGCCCCCCACAAATATATTTGCCAGCTCCTTTTTTGGAAACAGCGGCAATCAGTACAAAGTCACCATTAGCATTCCAGAATAGGAATCCGTAAATAACGACCCATGGAAAGCAAACTTACAGCAGTACTTCATCATCGTCCTGAACGGAATCGGTGGCTCGTAATTCGACAGCTTCCAGAACCACTTCCACCGTCCGTTTGGACTCCATGTTGGATGGAAAGTTTGAACCCATGCATGATGAACGAAAGCATGGAGAGCTCGATTGACCCATTGACGTTGCTTGTACGAAAAGATGCCATATGCCATGAGGAAAATAATGTTCTTTGCCGCCGCATCACTAAGACATCTCTTGATCATATATCGTTCCCAGTAATTTATACCCCAGCACAGTGCTTGGCTAATCACGTCGAGTCTATCCGAGTATTGTTTTGGATTTTGGGGGCGAGACAGGCCGAGAGATTGAGGGGTCGAGCTTTTCTCAATGATGAACTCTTGCCCTAAATCCGCTAGTTGAGCAACACATGCATTGTGAAGGAGCTGCTCTGTTATCGCGGAACTGTCGGTGTCACTGTTGGACAGTCGCAAAGGGTGATCGAAATGAAAAAACACCTTGTTTCCGCTGATGCGGCTAATCACAAGCCGTGCGCCTCGAGGATTGGGACTCTCATCCTCGACTAGAACACACCAGCCATTTTCGGACGTAGCAAGTACCTGCTCGGCTGAAGGCGTTAGAGCTTTGACAAGGTATTTGGTTGTCGTATCCCTGCGATTGCTTGCCAAACAAAGTAGCATTTGGTCCTGCCAGACGGTCAAGGAGGAAATCAAGAAGAACCTCAAGCGTCGACTGTCCTCACTTTGACAAAACGTAAATCCTTCCGGGCCAAGCTGTAAGGTGTATTTCCCTGAAAATCTCTCGGGAACGACTTCTCGTGGGATCCAGGAGTCCACCGTGCACCCTCCTATCTTTGCACACTCGGAAAAGAGTAGTTCTACCGGAAGGGTTTCGAGGCCGTAGAAGAGGAGCTTCATTATCTCATTTGTGCTCTTGCATTGCGAGACGGAGTTGCCGTTCATTCCAGACATATTAATCAATATTAGTGGAAGGTCTGCCGACTGGGTTGTACTTCACGACTGGAGAAGGCTGTGGGATTTGACGAACCGTGCTGCTCGGTCAGCCTGCTTTCTGTCAGTGGTATATTCCCAGCCAGAATACGCCTTCAAGTGCTCACTGGTCCTCGTGCATAATCTCTATGTTCCTCAACATGCAGCGAAGCCTTAGTAAATTTCGAGGAGTTCAGTGCAGATGCAATCCCGAAACGGCTCCGCTCCCTTTTTTGCGTGCTTCAAAGGACGATTTGCCGTTCGATCATCCTTGAGAAACTCTCGTAGTACTTCCGAAAGCGAAGCTCCCGAATCGATGTATGTCTATAATATCCGTGGATACGCTAAGGACCCGTCCAGTTGGAAGACAAGGTGGCCAGACAACACGTCTTCTTGCAGCGTCCTGTCCGCGGTCGTCAGTTCAGCATGGGAAACAGCGACATAGGTTACTCACCATGCCCTCCCCATCCAATTCGAGGCGCTGATATGTCCAAGTACATCTGGCAAATTCTCCTCGGTTGGACCATAGAAGGTTGGTCGGCCGCCCGAGGCCAGCGAGGGAGGCCGTTACCCAGCATCCAGTTTTTGCAAGCCAGCATCGAAGACCAAAGTGTGCCAGGCTGCAGCATATATGAGGTTCACCCACTCGATAGCTTTGTGTTTCAAATCGTCATGCTGCGTGTCCTGGGGAATGCAGAAGGCGTCTAGCCAGAATAAATAATGCGTGCGGCTAGGCGGCTCGATGCCGTCCACAGAGCCAGATGAGGAAAGCATCTTCTGGTACCAGTCGCGTAGATGCCAATGCTCGACATCCCGAGGTAATGCAGCCAGCACTGAGTCAAGATACTCCACTTGACACTCAGGAAGCGCATTCATCGCTGAACCAAATTGCCGATCAGCCCAGACATGAGAAACAGCTGTGAAGAGACTTGTCCGCCCATATGGAACGACCTCAAGTTCCAGGCCTCCGGAGAGCGGACGCGTAATACGTATCAAAGGAATACCACCCTCCGCCACAATCGTAGTGACTTGCTCGAGCGGCACACTAACATCATGGCATTGGCAATCTGCAGTGCGATGAAAGGGTTGTAGGAGTCCTCCTTTAATGGAGCACTTTGTCGCAGTGCACTCTCGGTGATCCTCGTCTAGGGCTCGCGGGGGTCGAAAGGGAGACATGAAGTACAGAGCTGGATAGAACATTGAAACCGCCTCAACAAAGTTGAGTCTTTTCCTGCACACCCATTCTCGACCATTCTCTGTATTAGCACCTGAGTCGACCTGGACTGTAGACTCGATTTCAAGATCCCGGTGGAGCCCAAACTATTGGCAATTAGGTAAAGAAGCATGTGGACAGACAGAAGAACTAGAGCGAGCTCCCTGCCCCCTTCCTTCCCTTTATGGTCTCGTTTGAACACCGTCAACTGAGCGATGTTGAAATATCGCAGTATATCTTTCCTTTTCTGCTCGTATGCGTTCGCCGACAGGGTGTGGTGTAAATTGACCCAGCGGGTTTTGAGTTCAGACCAGAACCACAGGACTCGGGTTGTGACAGCTACAACCTAGTATCAACAATTCATACGGTTCACGGTCACCTACGTACAGGCACTCCCCCCCTTCTCTCTCCTTAATTCTCGTTCTTCTTCATTGATTGGTTGCTGCTAACGCGCACTCAGCGTGGCGAGGTCCTCTGTTCAGCTACAACAGGTTTCTCTCAGCTGGGTTCGTTCCTTTCAGCTGGCCTCTATTCAGCTGAGCTGATAAGACCTAGGGGGTGGGCCATTTCCTATTAGTATATATTCGGCCCGTACGGCCACTACAATACAAGCAGAGTTCACATCAATTTCAACCTAAGTAAACTAAGAACCCCGCACCACTAGTATAAAGATTCCTCTGAAAATACAACAGTTTCAACACCAATATAACATGCCAGGTAAATTGGATTCTTATCTTTTATATAATAGCTAATAGTTATTAAGGTGGACGCCCTAAAATAGACCTGGACAAGTACTAACTTAATTTAATCGGCCTCTTTGCTAAAGGCCTTACCTATAGCCAGCTTATTATATACTGTATAGAGTATTATAATATCTAAATCACATAATATTAAGGTTATTAAAACTAATAACAAATTATTACTTTCTACAACTAATATTACAAGGCCTTTAGTATAGTTTCTAGAAGATAAAGGCATTATAATTAAAGCCTTACCATCGTATAATACCGCCCTAAATAGTATAGTAGAATAAGCCGGCTACAGGCTTATAGAGAAAGGCAGGGCAGCACGCCTGTATATAAATCTGCCGGAATTAATATAGCTAGAAGCGTTGAAATTTGCAGTATATACTAAGAACTGTACGCCTATAAAGCAATTTAAATAGAAATTACTATTTAAGGAACTATAATACTGCCTATGCCTATTAGCACAGCCTAATATAGCGTATCTACGCGTATATAGCTATAGGGCCTATCTATTAATATATAATATTCTAAAGCTTAATAAAATGCAGCTATATACGTATATAGGGTACCTTATTAGCTATAAAGCAATAAATATCTATTGCGTCTAGATTTCTAGCGAATAGAAAGTTGTATAAATAATAGATATTACTTTTAATAAAGAACTTTTCTATAAACTATAAACGCTAGATCTATCTGCTAGGCTATAATAACCTGCAGAGGAAATTCTTAAGTGTATTATTATACGGCCGCTACGGCAAACGCTAGCTAGCGAGCTGGCAGAACTTAATACTTAGGCAGATAATAAGGATAAAGACGACCCTTTCCTTAATTATATTACTATACAATAACGCAGGCCTAGTATATATAGCACGGCTAGCAGCACGGCTAGCACGCTAAGTATAGTAGCATATATAGCACGTATAAAAGGCCTAGTAGGTATAGCACGCCTAGTATAGTAGATGCAGTATTTATATAAAAGCTATCCTATATAGGCGATTCCGTACTAAAAGGGCTAATAGTGTATTTACCTACCCCTAAGCTAGAGGATAATACAGCGCTATATATAGATGCTGTAATAAATATAGAACTAGATAATAACCTTTTATTTTAATTAGTTAATTAACGGCCTAGATAATAAGGGGCAGGCTATAGCAGCTACTATAATATAGCTATAAATGCAATACACGAATTGCTGCACGAACTACTATATAAACCTGCTATATATATATACTACTATTAGGCCGTATTCGCAGCTACTAGCCAGCAACAACACTATAACTACAGCTACTGCCTAGTATCTACTACTAGCTAGCACTTACTATTAAATTAACTATTTCCTATTACTTTTTATTCTTTTATATAGCTTATAGCTTTACTACTATTTTGCTATAATCTAAGGGGGTCTAGCAGCTAGTAACACGCCTTTATTCTCCCTTATTTCTCTCCCTTTCTTCTTTTTATAGAGTTGCACTATCTCCCTTACTATTCCTTACTATTCCTTACTATTCCTTACTATTCCTTACTATTCCTTACTATTTCTTACTATTAAAGGAGTTTTATTACTCTATATAGTCCCTTATTATAATATTAATATAACTTATACTTTCCTTTACTAATCTTTTGCCCTTCCTATACTAGCTGCTAGTTATAAGCCCGGCCTAACGCTATAATTTATTATTATATTCTCCTTCTCCTATATCTCCTAACTAGGAAGTTATATACCTTGCTATATTGCCCCTATTAGCTGCTGCACGCGCTATCTACTATACACGCGCTATTTACCGCACCTAAATCTATATAGGTATTATTAGTATATTAGTTACTGTTCTTTTAAACCTAGCTAATATAGATCTATTATAAGTTAAGCTGCTATCTATAACTAAGGTTATCCTAGTATTAGGACCTAACTGGAAATTATAGATTAACTAGATCAAAACTTATATAGAAAGCCTACGCGTCTAGCAATATATTAATCCTAATGCCACCACTTATCTTCCTGTAAAGGCCGCGCCTATTAAGTGTTACAACCCGTAATACGAACAACCCGAGCGCAGAGGCACTCGCGGAGACAAGCAAGCAGATAAGACTGATTACGCAGAACCAGGTCACGGGACCAAGGGGGTCACGTGTAGGACGCATAGGGATCCTGGATTCCCCCACGGACTGCTGGTGGATGGGAACGATCTAAGAATAGGACATCACGAGGACAGGGCCACGTGGTGGCTCGAAGGGCTCGAGGGTGCAAGCCAGGCGAGCGCTCGAGGGGCTCGAGGCTGCGAGCTAAGGGAGCAGCTCGAGGGGCTCGAGGCTGCGAGCCATACGAGCAAGAGGTTTCTTAGGACGGAGCTTTCATATAAAGGGACGCTCCTTTGCATAGATAGGAACCTCGTGTTCAACTCAAGACTTCAATACTACCTATTGGAAGTAACAACCCCGTCTTGTACCTTGATTGATTATTGCCTCACCTTTTGAAGACTATTGCACCCCGACGACGACTTGACCTATACCCTGCCTTAGTGTGTGACACTTGGAAGGTATAGAAGAGACGACCCGTTACATTAAGCCTACTATTCGGATAGCCACGGCAACGGCTAGCACGGACACGGCTAGCACGGCCACAGCAGATGCTAGCGCCACGGAAAACAAACCTGATATTACCGAGCTTAGTAATAAGCAATATAAGAAGTATAACAGGCTGGTTAAGAAGTATACTATAGGGGAAAAGGCCTATAAAAAGCATATTACAGCCCTGTTCTCTGTATAAACAAAGATCAGCGAATCTGTAGTAGTAGCCCTGCAGCACTACTATATAGGCAAGCCCGTATTTAAGTGGCTAGCTATTCTCAAAGCAGCCATAGCACCATCAGACCAGAATAGAAAGCTACAATTTCTCGTGCTTTTGGCGGTCTAGTGCCTCCGTGAAGCCGTCTGCAATTATCGCGGCTGTAGGTATCCATTTGATTTCAATCTCTTGCCGTTGTACTTGCTGGCGCAGCCAGAGATGATGAATGTCAACGTGCTTAAGCTGGGTTTGTAGCTGCGGGCCAGCTCATTTGAGTTGTTGCACTTTTCACGTTATTAGACCACCGTATTGGTGATCACTTCTATCAACCTCAGTAGGAACCTTCACTTCGCGCATTGCAGAATATCAACCACCAGCAAATTGATCAATGTAATGAGTGCAATCGAACTTACGGCCTCATTCAAGGAGGCTCTGTAGTTGTATTGAATTTATTATGGCGTTGTTAACGTGATGCAGCTTTGCGAAGATTCGGTCTCGCTTTTCTGGGCGACGCAGAATTCCCTGCGTGCAGACACGAGACTGGGCTGACCCCGCATCCCGACCAGCGCCAACGTGCTCGTTGCTGTCTGCAATCCACAACTTTGTAAAGAAGTGATGACTGAATCTTTATAGATCTTTGCCGCTCCTTCTATGGCCGTCGTTTGCATCGTCCGTCGCGCTTCATCACCAGAAGAAATCTATCGCAGGTTGAGACGCAACCCGTTGCAGCCTTCCTCCCCATGAGCGTTGCTAGCTCGCCAACAGTGCGTCCCAACAAAAACAAGAACGGCAAGAGTTTATCACCTTCTCCACTTATCTCCGATCAACCGATCGAGAGGTTTTGTTTCCCAACATCATATTATATCAAGCTTCCCTCCAATATTTGTCTTGACCTTGGACAGTTCCGCCACAGCTTATTCGCTCACATACTACGGCCACGGAGCCCTAAATTTACTGCCGGTGACGGTGAATTGAACTTTTCAGCATGATTGGAACCTCAACCGCCGAATACGTCTTTATATGGGCCTGCGTAATTACATTACATCTCATCGCGCCAATCTGCGTCACGTATTGCATTTTGACCACATGTCTACCTTCTAACCTGCGTCTTTCGCAGTGCTTCGAATATTGGGCATCTGCGGAGACATTGTTCTACTTCTTGATCTATCTTTACCAGAGATACCACCTCCAGCGCCCAACCTTACATCCTCCGCCTCTCTCGAAAGAGGGACGACACAAGCTCTTCGACCTCTGCCAAGATACCATTCAGGACCATGGACGATACATATCAAAGTGGTTTCTGGACGTGCCTCCTGCTGCCATTAGGAGAGAGAACATTAAAGAATGGTTCCGCTGGGCTTTTCTGAACACGGCCATGGATGATCCTAACTACGACGACGAGGTAGAAGGATACGTGAAGAAGCTCGAGAGACGAACTGGAATATATTTCGAGCCAGGGCGAGCCAACGTGAAGTGTCTGAGGTTGACATTGGATAAAGTCGATGCGCTACACAGGAGTTTGATATGGTACATGGTGAGGACCTAGTTCTATCGGCCGCCAAGAAGTTAGGGATGCTAATAAAAATATTTTGCTAGTGCATCTTCATGGTAGACATCATTACACATGCCATTATGTTCTTCTGCCATTTTCAGTTTCACCGCTCTTCACTGGTGCACTGTGTCAGTATTTTCCCTCCGCGGCCGCAGACTTTCATAGCCTCTCGTCGTTCACCAGCTAAAGATCTTACGTATTGGTATCGCCCTCACACGTCTCGCAAGGAGTCCCCAATATTATTTCTCCACGGTATCGGGGTTGGACTATACCCTTACGTAAGATTTTTGAACGAATTGAATCAAGGACGTGGGGATGAGGATGGGAAAATTGGGATCCTTGCAGTCGAGATCTTGCCAGTGTCTTCTCGAATTACGCCGGCGATACTCGGAAAGGAAGGAATGTGTCAACGGCTTCGAGCTATTCTACGTCATCATGGGGTTGAAAAGTTTGTATTAGTATCACATTCGTGAGTATACCGACTATTGTAAGACGATTTTACTAATATGATTCTCAGATATGGCTCGGTGATCGCCGCGTATCTCTTGAAGACGCCCGGTTTAGCCAGTCAGATTGTGTCCGTCATTCTAGTCGACCCTGTTTCAATACTGCTGCATCAACCGGATGTAGCTTATAACTTTGTAAGATCACAATTTGTGAACTTCGTCGAGAATGTCAAAGCTGACTAGCTAGACCTTTCGCAAACCAAAGTTTGCCAATGAATGGTTAATATGGTATTTCGGCTCGAAGGACATGGGCGTAGCCTATACACTCTCTCGCCAGTTCTTCTGGTTTGAGAGCATACTGTGGAAAGAGGACCTCATGGAACGTCATACCACCGTATTTCTCAGCGGAAAAGATCTGATCGTCAATACTCCACAAGTGCGTACATATTTACAAGGCGTTGGAGAGCAACAAAACGGCAGGAATGCTAGCCGAGGTGAGGCAAATAGGGCTGAAAAGATCAAGTCACTAGACCGGATGGATGGTCGATTGAACGTGGTGTGGTGCGCAGACCTTGATCATGGAGAAATATTTGACTCTGCTGTTTGGAGGACGCGTTTGGAGAGTGAGGTACTTAAGCAGGCGGCGCGTGCGTCGAGCCCGCTGACGCAGAATTGATGCTTGCATGGGGTAACTATGCATCTTCGGTTTGTGTGGGAAAAACGATGCTGTGCTTGACCGCCTTCAATGAATGACTTTAATGGAGTGTCTGGTCTCCAATCTACGGGCATTTCGGTTCAAACTTGCGAGGAAAGTGGACAGCGAGCCAGCTGCTTAAATAATTGGGAAGTTCAATTATTAGCGATGCCGTCCCTCCAAGGGAGTCAAACGAGCAGCGCAACAAGAAGAGCTGCGTACCCAGGTTATAGGGTTGCCGAATCCGACCAGGCACAGAAATGGTCCTGCGAAATTCGTGCACTGTCCGCCCACCATTCTGGCTCCCTGGGCGCTGGCGCTCACCTTGCGCTGGCGATTCCGATGCGCCAGCGTCATGGAGCCTCACTCAGGACGCTGGCGTTGCTACATGTAATACGCTGGCGATTCTAATGCGCCAGCGTCATGGGGCCCATTTTGGCTCCCTCAAAGCTTGTACCATTACGAAGGTGCATATATAAGGGACCAGTACGAATGTTAGACCATTACGAGAAATGCATGATTCGTTCCATTACTGAGAGTCTACCAGTACGAAAAGGGAAAAGGAACCCAAAGGGGCTCCTTACCATGTACCATTACGAAACTGCAGACAATTGGGCCAGTACAAGGAGCCCGTTCTTGAAGCTTGCATGGTACTAGAGTGGATTTGAGGCCCGCTCTAGTCTACCAATCCCTTCACTGCACGCTTGTAGGAACATTTGAAAGTAAATAGCATGGACAACTTCCCTAAGAGCATGATCGTCCTAAGACCCGTCTTGCGAGCATGTCTATCTTGAGAACATAACCGTCTCAAGACTGGTCTATCTTAGGAGCGTGACTGTCTGGAGAACGTCCTCGTCTTGAGATGCCACCGTCTTAAGGCCATGCCTGTCTGAAGACCATGGCTGTCTTAAGAAATGCCGTCTTAAGAACCTGACAGTCTACAGAGTAGCCCCGCCTTGAGACTACTTCAGGGTCATGGCCTGTCCATGCTCGGAATAGAAGTGGCCCGAAAACGGGCCCCACTCTGGCTCTGGCTACTACAAGGGGGTAACCTGAGCGGGCTGCCGCCCTCCCTGCAAGCGCCTTCCGTTAGTGCTTATAATTGCCACAACGCCACATAAAAACAGTGCTTATTTAGTAACTAATAACTAATATTTTGTTGGGCCGCCATCTGTAGCAATTACAGCCAAGCAGCGCTCCCTTATATTGCTAGTATACTTTTCAAATTCTTCCGGTTAGAGCTTCTCCTATTCTTCCTTAGCGTACTGCCGTACTTCCTCCTTTATTATAGGGAACCGGCGTTGTATTCTCCCCTTTAACAGCCGCTAAACGTTCTTAATTAGATTTAAATTAGGGAAATTTGCTGGCTATTCTATTATAAGCATGCTGTTCTGTTCCTAGGCCAGGCGCGTTGCTTTTACTAAGTAAATTAAGGTATTATCCTCTATAAAAATAGGCTAGTGTTATAGTGTCTACTATAATTCCTATATAAAAGTCTTAATATTAGGGTATATATAGGTACAGTAGATATTGCTATTTATTAACACGATGCAATCGACCCCACAGCATCTTGGAAATACAACCCAAGGAGGGCCCCTAGGGGCTATCCAAGGCCCTGCGAACAATTGTACGCAGCCTCAAAGCCCTACGAGTAGTGCCGGCGGCGTCGCGGTAGGTACACCGCGAATTGCGACCCCTAACGCGCAGCCGCCCCAGCAACAGCATTAACAACAACAACAACAACAACAACAACAACAACAACAACGCCAAAACCAACACTAAAACCCGAAGCCCATTAAGAACGTCCACCAGGACGTCCAAGACCTCGTTAACGAAGCACACGGCATATAAGACCTCCTGCGGAATAAGCCAATCCAATCCCTCGAGATGAATGCGATCGTCCAAACCCTCTACGACTTTGCAGGACGCGTCCTGTTCGGCCTCTCGGATACCGCGATCGACCTACGGCAGACACCATGGAAAAAGCTGATAAAGATGATGGAGGACACGAAAAAGGAGGTACACGCGTTGTCAACGCACGGGAAGACGTATGCCGCAGCAGCAGCAGCAGCAGCAGGCACAACACCATCAGCCATGCTAAGCGGCATGGCTGCGCAATACGGGAAGGCAGCAGGAAATGGGCAGTATGCAGGGCAACCTACAAATGTCCATAAAATCACCATCTATATCGAGGATAACAACGAGCGAACTATAACCGCAGCAGATACGAACATAACTATCACCCAGAAGCTTCAAGCAGCCGGACTACCGGACACAACGAAGATCAGCGGCATAAGGAAGCTACAGAGTGGAGACGTTAAGGCATACGTCGCGGATGAGGCCACAAAGGAAGCACTGCTTAAGAAGAGGGAATAGGTGCAGGTGCTAGGCAAGACGGCACGCATACAACTGCCCGCAGTGCTGATAGAGGTGCATGGAGTACCTAAGAACTCGGACCTGGAAAGCCAAATACTTAAAGATAATATTATCAGGGCCAACGCGATAATTAACCTAGGCCTAGTTATTAAGAAGATAATATAGAAGAATAAGAAGGGTATTAAGGCTGCGCGAGAGAACCTAGGCCGACACGCTAGCTTAATTATTGCCAGCGTGCGCATAGAAGTAATAGCAGATAAAGCTATTATAAAGGGATTTATAATAAGTGGATAATTACTAACAGCCTTAAAATATAAAGCAGGCTTTACAGCTATACAGTACTTTAGATACTAAGGCTATAAGCATATTATAAGACACTATAAAAAGGATATCTAATATATAGTATACGCAGGGGAATATAATATAAAATAATACACGGCAATAAATACTAAAAAGTACGCTAACTATAAAAGAAACCACCTGGTATATAGTGCTAAATATAGTATAAGGAAAGGGGCCTAGCTATAGGCTATATTAAAAAGGTAGGCGATGCTATACTAATATAACACTAATAAAGAGCCGAGCTTATACACGCCCTAGGCCCTGCTAGAGGTGTATATAACCTTAACCTAGTCTAGGAAGAAAAAAGCTGCTAATAATAATGCACGTAAAGGCAGCATAAAACTAAGGCCAGCGCTAACAGCACTAAAGAAAGTAGGATAACCGAAGATATTTAAGTATTCTAATAAGAACCTAAGTATCACGGTATCGACCGCGACACCCTACCTACCGAAATTCTGCCGCAGATTGCTACAACTCCAGCAATCTGCACCGGCCTACTACCGTTGGCCGGCCTCCTGCCCTGCCTACCCTGCTCCGCTCCCGTCTCGCTTCCGCTTCCTATCCTGTCCCGCTCCAGCCACCTACCGGCTGCCCCCTTTTCCTATCACCTGATCTGGTAAGGACCTCGCGTACACGCGTGCCACGCGCCGAAACGGCATAGAGGCCGTACGCCACGCGCTCGGCCACGCCCTTATATCCGGTGGCCCGTCTCCCGTCTTCCTGTTCCTTACACAACGTCTTAATTCTCCACGTAGCATTGTATATAGCACCTAATCAACGCTCCTCTTTAAGCCCTTAACCTCTCGCGTGTAGCGCTATCGTAATATTATGTTGTGTCTACTCTTACTACTATAAACACCCCTGCCGACCCAACTATAATACTTCTAGAGCTCGTTAGCTCTATAAAGGAACAGCAGGCTGCCGTAATAAAAGTCCTGTCCGCCCAGAAACAGGAAATTGCTGCTCTGCGGGAGGAAGTAGCCGCAATTCGGTCTAAATCTACCCCTACTCTACTACTAGCGCCCGACTAACAATTCGCAGGGCCTCCTGTTTATAAATTAAACAATAGCTTAATACCTGCTAATAATATAAACTGTATACAGACCCTAACTATTAAAGTTACTCTGCTAACTTTAACAGACTCCTCCCTAACAGCCGCCGCCCTACCAACCCTAAAGACCGAATATCTAATTAACCCTCTAATATTTAAGGGGAGTTAAAAGGAACTCCTAATCTTTATCCAACAACTATAGTATAAACTGGAAGGAAATGCTAATTAATACCCAACTAAACGTGCTCGCCTGCTATACGCTTACTCTTAATTGGAATCTAACCTATTAATGCTTATTAACCCCTTAATAAACTAAAATATCTGCACTATTAATTAACTTGTCTAATTCCTGCAGGCTATATACGGCGATCCGAACTAGAAACTTATATCCTTAAATCAACTCTATATACTAAAGCAAGAAAGGCGTGCCTTTATATTGCACTTTGCTAAATTCTAATAACTCGCCGCTAATATAGATCTGAACAAAGCTGGCCTAATAACTTAGCTCCGATACTTCCTCTCTAATAAACTCCGCCGTGCGATAGTTGGCGCTACTACCCCGGACAATCTAAATAACTATGCCAACTTAATCGCGAAGTATAATAATAATCTATAATTCCTGCCCGGCTAACCCTCTTAATATTCCCCTCCGTCACGAAAGGACCTAGATGCAATAGAAATTAATATATCTAAATATGCTCCAGCCGGCTCAGCCGAATAAGATAAATATTATTAAAAGGGCCTCTGCTTTAAATGCGGAAAGTATAGCTATATCTCCCGCAATTGCTCTGTCCCCTTGCCCTAAGTCTAATTATCTAGTATAGATAAGCCTTTAAGCCCCCAACTGCGCACATACACGCAATTAACTAATTCCACCCGATTTTTATCTGCCCGCTGTTTTTTTATATCTACTGCTTTGTCCTCTAGCTTTAATTAATCTAGAGGTAGCCGCTTATTCTATATAAAGAAGTTGTTAAAAGCCCTGTCCTAGGGCTAAGTCGCCCCCCAGGACTATTCCAACCCCGGATTTCTATAAACCTGTTTAAAGAACCTAAACCTAACTCCTGGAAATAATAGATTTTTATCCCCGTTTCTATATAATAAGGCCCTACCTGCATAAACGCTGTAGCTCTAATTAATAGTAGAGCTACAGGCATAGGTGTAACGGGTCGTCTCTTCTATACCTTCTAAGTGTCTTACACTACAGCAGGGT